ACCTTTTCTTTCTCTTTTTCTCTTTTAAGGCTTTAGCAATCTATATAGCCTCGTCCTTCTATTTGAAAGATTATGAGCTTGTTGAATCTCCTGGGGAAAACAAAATACTGTACTACCGTTCATAGAAGACGGGAGATTGAATTACAAGATCTTCTCCCGCTAGCGCTTCTTCTTCTCATCCTTGAGCGCTAATTTAAGGTCTTGACAACGTAATATCGCTGTGTTTACGGAATCCGAAGATAACAAATGGATCAAGAGATGGGACTAAGCCAGAAAGGCAACACTGTTCGTGTTCCCTGGATATCTCTTGCTTTAGCAAGAGTTAGGAGCTCAGCTTCAACCTGTTTTGGCCATAGTTTTGTGCTAGCAGTGTAGAGCCTCCCGAGGAAGAGCAGGTATCATTCGCAACCCACCGGAGCATAGCCCCATCTTCGACAGCCCGAGTGGTAAGCGCGAATTCGGGGGTGATCAAATAGGGCAACGATGCCGGTCATGATCCAGTGTCAGTGGCCAAATGACCATCGTACATAGGGCCAGACCCTTCGACCCGGAACGCGGAGTTAGGTCCACCATTAGGAAAGCGGGCGTGAGCACCAAACACACTCATCACGCGGGGTTTCTTCAGAGGTAGGACGTTGTTCTTATTTTTTAGTAGGCCATGAACACGTTCTCGCGGTTTAGTTTCTTTCGCATGGTTGCCGCGAACATCAACATAGGCATTCATTGCCTTCTTTGCCGGCTGGGCGCCATCGTCCACTCTGACGTAGTAATACCCGGTCAGGTGCAGATTGCCATGTCATCGAGACGGGTTTCTGTCAGTGTGCCATTGAAGAGAAGCTGCTGCATCGTTCTCGTGCTTCAGACAGAGCTCAACTCGTAATCTTCCCCATTCACAGCGGAGAGTTCGACGCTCCGTGGAACATTGGCGTCAGGGAACACAAACCCGAGGATCCCAGTTCTGTTTTCTAAGGGCCCATTAATAGGCCGGAGCTTTAGCAGCTTAATCTACCAGTAACCTTTGTCATGGCGCACATAACGACTCCAGGGCCTTGCTTGACGCTGTCATAAATGGCCAGAGGTACATCGTGTTCAGGGTCTTGTCGTTGGCATTGGAGGAATAAGGAGCTGAGCTGGAACTAGAGCTGCTATTATCCGCAGCACCGCTTCCTCCTCCATTTACTCCCATAGGCATGGAAGGCTGAGGCGCACTGGCTGACATGCTCATCGTGCGCGAGTTACCGAATGAAGAGGAGATGGAATTTCGAGGGCCGCCAGCCGCCAGCCGCCAGGGTCACCAGTACCACCATCCATGCTCCCCATCCCACCTGTACGGTTTGTCTCCTGTCCATACAGGATGAAATGCTAAATTATGTTTGTAAGAGCAGTGAGCCTAAAGCGTGACCAAACCTAGATCAACAACATACCTTGGTGCAAGGAACACCCGCATCAACGTTGGCCTCCGTGGACAGTTCGGTAGCCAGACCATTATCATTCAAGGGTCTGGAATAAATCTCTGAACATCCCGACCACCCCATAAAGTGCGCCCGAGTGGTTGGGCCGCCGGCCCAAGAGGAACCTGAAGGCCTTTCTGGTAATAATCTTTGGCAACCCCCTTGGCTTGGGCATAGATAGCCTCCTCATCCCCAGTCGTTGCCAGTGCGTTACTCAAACTCCAGGCAGATACATAGTAATAACCCTGAAGACCCATATCGCCGTCCAGAAATTTGAGAGCATCGAAGGTGCTATGCGTAGAGTTGACGGAGCTTCCCCGGATCAGAGCCAGCTACTGGTAGTAGTAAGTCCCGCAACAAAGACGGATGCTCTCTCATAGGCGGCATCCCAGTCACCGAGCGCTACTATTCAAGATTGTCAGAGATGCACAGCATTGTAATAGTGCCAATATAGTATCGCAGTTCAAAGTATTATTGGTTAGGCAGACCGGCTAGGGGCGAATATCGCTATACAGTGAAGAATGTCAAAACGGTGCTCGGAAAAGCAGAGATAGACGGTATAACTCCGGCTCAGCTGATAAGCTATGAACTAGGGAAACACTAGGTGTCTGGCATTCCCACTGGCCGAAACTGCTCAAGTAGGCTCTAGATCGACACTATGACTGTGCCAGTGACGCGTCGTTGCAAAGACTTAGAACTTCCGCCGCGTCACCCGTGACGAACTCTTGATCGTTAACAGTAGGAAGGACTTGAGACTTTATATGACGTTAGTCCGGTTCATTCTATGTACGGACTCCTTCTCTCCACTCTATATGCCTGGGGGAGCAGCCGTATCTCGGGAATCCAAGTCGATAGGCAATCTTCTCACCGACCAAAGTTCTCCTTTCTACCAGTCATGGAGTCTCATATGTATCTATACTATCTAAGCAGCTACATAATGTAATTTAGCATTCTAATACCTAGTACACTGATACCTTCTTGAGTTTGCCTTATCTAGTCTTTAGTTAATATCGAAAGACTCATCTTCTATGGACGGTACTACGCTAATTCGAACGTGTTGTGTCTTTTGCCATTGTTCAAAAAGCTCTTCCTTAAACTGTGAACACCAGGTCTATACCCTAGCCCAAATAGTTCTAATAGTCATATCTAAAACTTGAATCTCGCCAGAGCTGAACTCACCCTTCGAAGCCATGTGTATATACATCTTGAAGGCACCCGACGTTCAAGAGCAAAAGATATATCGTCTATGGAAACAGTTCTACTGCAGTGTTATGATACCTCCTAGTATATCCAATAGAGACGCTTGATATGCCTAACCTAGGATTACTCACTCTGTGGCTTGGTTCCTTACTAACAGAGCCCTGCGGCGTTAGGTATAAACTATACCAATTCTCCCTACAATTTACTTAGAGATGGATATTACTAGGAATGGGCGTTTTTCTGACCCTGGGACAATTTCAATTTACTTTTAGGAAATGGTAGCCATCTAAACTGTGTTCCACTTGATAATATATGCCTCCCTCGTACTGGCATCCTGCCGGTGGACACGCCAAGAGATCGGCAGGAGGCTTAGCAGAGCTTCTCGAAGGTAATTGACGGGAACCCTCGTGCTTGCATGGCATAGCCGCAGCGAGGGATGATAGTACAAGGCTGATTTGAGTGATGATGCTTGCTTACTCAAGGACATCCCCCTCCGACTGGGACAAGGCTGTAGGTCTCCTTTAGTACGCGCAGAACCGCCAGTATAAATTGATTCGCGCATCCTCCAGAATACCTCTTTCAATGTACTAAAGTCAAGCCTTGAAAGTAAAAGCCGAAAATTCGATCTATATCCTTTCATCTAGACGGAATCAAGAACGAAATCTCTCCACGATCCCTACAAAAGCACCTACCGGCAAATGTGAAACAAGTTCAACCTCACCAAACAATTACGATGTGTTTTCGATCCTCCAAGCACGACAATGATGAGAAATACGCCCCAACCCGCTTGAGCAGCGGTACCCCGGGTTACCACAACTTTGGCGACAGAAGAAGCCCCAACATGCCTTGTTACTACAGCTTTTCAGGGCACCGAAATCAGCGTTTTTATGGGAATAACGCCGTGATTGCAAGTTCGGCAGCAGGAGGGGCAGCAGCAGGGGCCAGTTGCGGCGGAGGTGGTGGATGTTAGGGGACAATATCTGTTTATTCTTGATGATTTAGAGCGCGCGAATGTATTTACGACTGGAAACTGGGATGGATAGGTGCTTCATGCTTTGATGCCGTTGCATGTATGAGTTAGATACCCAAATGCATATTTTAACGTCTCTTTTTCTTACTACACTTCTATGTGTTGAGAGGGATGATTGTAACGGCAGCAAAACTAGCAACACCGATATATATATCCATTAAGAACCCTTTCTACTCACTTGGAGGCCCGTGATGGATTCCGATAGTTCATGTGTACCGGCAGAGATATCTTCTAGGGTCCGCGACTTAGGCTTTCATAACGACGTATCAATCTAAGAACTCCGGTGGCCACTAACACAAACAGTTTTGCTTGAAAAGCTACCACAGCAGCAGCCAGCTCCTATCCCTTCCCTAGCTAGGAGCGGTCGTAGTAGCTGTGGATGGTGGCTTAGTGACGCAATGTGGGCTGTTCTGTCTGCTAGTATGGTGGTCTAGACTGTACACCATGGTTTGCAGCTGACACTGGAGTAATTTGTTTATGTATTGCCGACTACACATCCTGCGGCAATCTTTTCCAAAAGTATTTCAAGATAGTTTAGCTGTTGATGAAAAGCCAGTTATTCTCCAGTGATTTTAGTCAATGGGGAATCGCCTGACAGGTCTTCTACTTTCGGGGGTGAGTTCCGTGGTTCGGACGGCGCTCAAGTATGGTGAGCCCGTAAGCGTTGCTTTCCTGGCCGTGATCTGGATGGACCCAGATCGCTCTATAATGCTGGGCATACGCTATGGTTGTAGTTTCTCTGTTCGCCTACAAATCTATAAAGGAGAATAAGCCTTCCGCTCCCCTGCGGCCTTTATTTCCTACAGCGGCGCTCTCGATAAGCACGCATGAACCAGTATTCCAAGTGATAACCACAACTATGAACATCAAGGCAGTCTTAGCTTTTTATGCCATCGCTAGCGTGGCCACCGCAGCTCCAGCAGAAGATTTGGGAAAGAGGGCTTGCGCTGCCACTCAAAATCGCTTCTGCTGTGAGACCTTTTTCCCTGTCAACTTCCTTGGCATTCGTGCCGTTGGGACCAATTGCATTGGTATGTTTAATTAGAAATGGGTATCCAGAGACAGGATTGAATTCTTTAGCTTCCAAAAATGCACCCTGCCCTCGCGGAAAGAAAGAGGCTTGCTGCACTCGTAATTTCCCATTGGTAAGATCATTTTTGGTCATGAGCGAGAATGCCTGCCGCTGACTCTAAACAGGATGACGGAGATCTGGCTTGTACTGCTTTGTAGTTTGGCTCCTGTTGCGATGGAGATGCAGTGAACTAGGTATTAATTGATTGCAACTTGTGGTGCTAACGTGGGTTCCCAGAGCCAGTGGTTGAAAAAAACACGGGAAAACATAGTATCGTTGTATGGTTTACGTGCATAATTATGATCTAGGTGCTTTTCAGTGAAAGATATTCCATTAGCAACGTAAGTGGTAGTCAAGCTGCTAGGAAATAGCAGGCGTGTCGATCTTTTAGTAGACAATCCTAACAAAAGCTTGCTCATATTTGCAGCCATAGCTCCGACAAATCCCACCTTGGACCTTCCCATCACGTGAACTCCAGCGTAGGGATTGTATAGTATATTGAACGGAGTAACATGTAGATCGAGGACAGAGTGCCTAGGGAGATACAGTAATGTGAAGGATTGCCGGATTTCCCGAATCTTTGGACCAAATCTCAATTCTATCAAACCGAGTTCCCAGGTAGATCGAAAGCTGCCCCTCGTTATCTGCGTTCTGACAGGCTGGCGTGACATCAATGGGTCCCATATTCGTATACGCCGGTACTTGGATCTCCGTGAAGATGTCACCTGAGTCCGGAGCGTTCTCCCCAGACACTGTACTTTCATCCCAATCGGATGATACAGCCTGAGCTAGCGTGACATTGACGGGAAACTGGAGCTGTTGCGTGAAGGTGGGAAATTGGATCGTACATGCTTTCACAGAGGCAGCCGGGACAGGGAGTTGGAACCCAATGAGAGAGCGGATGTAGGCCAGACCACCGGTGTTGGCCTGCAGAGTATTATCGTGGCCGAGGGTGCATTTATAACAGTTGCGATCGGGGCAGCTCGGGCAGCTCACAGTAGAACGGAAAATGGTAGAATCCTTTGCTGCTGGAGTATCGATTGCCAGAGAGGCACTGATCAGACTTGTGAGCATAACCAGGGCTGTGCATAGTGGGTATGGAGTCATGTGAGGCATTTTCTCTTTGGGATATTGAGAAGGTATGATAAAAATGTTGTTATCAATGCTCAAAAAGTAACTTGCGTGGTTGTTGAACTGCGAGAAGCTTACTAGATAGAGACACTTGGGTAGGGGGAGAGACGACGAGGTGATTTTATAATGACAGGATTGTGGAACTTATTCTCCAGCGCTTGTCATCCCTTGCTAGGGCACCTGATACTGTCTGAGACAAATACGAAGCCTAATCTGATCTCATCTGCACGTTCGCCAATAAATTCATGCGAGATATTTCAATATATGAGCCCTGAGCCAATGATATAAGCAAATGTCAGAGTAACAACAACACCCTCACATATCCACAGGCAATCGTACTTTTCTTATCTGCAGGGATAGTGTGTGAGAACAGTATAGGTAGGTCTTGAGAAATCACACCGCCGAATATCAACTTGTAACCCGTCGCGTCTTCCATATGTACCCCGGCTTACTCTGGTTTCAAATCTTGATACGCCAATGCCACTTATAATCGAGACAAGCCCACCTCGCGATCAGGAACAGAGACGTAGAGCAGAGTAGGACACATCCAAGCCAGACGACCACAATGCGAGACCCAACTTTCTCTAACATCTCGCCTCCCACCGGAATGCAAATCAAAGTCCTATTCCTCATCAACATAGTGTAGATAGAAAGCAGCAAACACGTTAACACTCACGCAAAGCTAACCAGACAGTAACATGTGCCGAATCTCATCCCAATCTCCTTTGCATTCGACACCTGACGGATACAGACTGGAGCGAGACTGATGAAGGACCCGGAGCACAGACCGTAAAGCGCGCTGAAGATATACAGCGCCGGCATATGATGGCTGAACGGAAAAAGGATTACAAAAATGCTCAGCACTGCTGATAAGATCAGGACGATGAGTACGTTCAGTCGGCCGTACCGGTCTGCCACTCGGCCGGCGATGAGTCGGCCGATGCAGGAGCACCTAAAACCAAGTTCTTGTCAAACACAACTCACTAGAGAGGGACAAAGCGGTCGAACATACACATTCAGCACCACCAGCGTATATACACCCACGCTGGAACTGTAACCTAGCTTCGCTACGTACGTCGGGTATAGCCCAATGAGGGCAAAAACCTCCAATTCCAGTGCTGCGAACAGTCAGGCCTGAAATAACCATGGCGATGGAGAGGACTATTCATACTAAATATCCCAAAGCTTAACAAGGTGAACCGAGAATCTTTGAAGCACCGGATATCGATCGCTGCCTTCAGCTGTCCCTTCGGCAGACGAGACTTGACCAGGAACGAGCCTAATCCACACAGCACCATGATGACCAACGCCACAATACGCATTCCCCATTTGAAGCCAAGGTTAGCAAAGGCGCCCTTCAGGATAAACGGGAATACCACTCCGCCCAGACCCGCTCCAGCCATGGCCGTGCCCAATGCCATGCCTGCGCGCGCCTGGAACCAGTGTGGGACGCATGACATTCCCACAGTACTCGTGAACGCCCCTCCGATACCAGCCATGATCCCGAAACAGAGAATAAAGTGCCAGTATTGGCTGCACTCGGCTGTGAGAAATATACTCACCACATAGAAGGCCGATCCCGCCGAGACCAGCTCGCGAGGCCCGTAGGTGTCGAACAGGGGTCCCACAAAAACACCCAGACCGAGCGAGACGAAGACAAAGAGACCAGAGATCCAGCCCACATTCTGGCTCGAATAGCTCGCTAGCTGATGAGACTCCAGGTAGGATTGCAATACACCCACCGAGTTCATGAGACCATAGGACGACATGAGCAGCAGAAATGATCCTAGCACTACAAGCCAGGAGCGATACCCTCCATCCGGGAAACTGTCCGCCACCTCAGGGTCTGAGGGGGGAGTATCGACTACTGCCGGGATGCGGTCATGTTGGAAATTGTTCGGAACACACCTACTAGTACCAACCGCGGAATTATCTATCTCGAGTCCGGAGGAGAGGTGTACGTGTGGTCTTTTAGGTGCCTCCATGAAAGCAAGACCGATGGCTGAGTGGTGGTGGGAAGGATGGAGCACGGAAATTCCGACTTTATAACTCCATCGTTCGTGTTGGATTGAGTCATCAAGGTGGGGGGACACGTCGAAGACTGTCGGCGCGAGAGACCGACAGCATCTGGCCTTTGCAGGGAAATCCTTAGATGATAGATCTAATCCCGACCGTTCGGCTTGCCATTCCGTAGGCTGGTCGGATCCTCGAGCCGTGTTCGGGAGGATTATCCAGAAGAAACGCACACCCTCCACAAGAGGGAATATACCTGTTGCCTACTGCCGTTGAGTAGCTATCAAATGAAAACAAACAGCTAGTGAATTCAGGGCCCATTGTCGGCGAGACATATATGGAAATTATCACATCCCAACTACAAGAGCAACTAACCAGAGCTGTTAAAGGCAGTATCGTATCAAGGGCCCAACTAGTTAGATCTGCTAATTTGACCCGGGATACGCCTCTTAGAAGGGTCTATCCTCCGAATCCGATATTTCTCTCACTTTTCTCGTCGCATGTCTCATCACCTATCCGCCCAAGCAGCGAGTTCATGTTCAGCACAGTATGTCGTCTGCATCAAAGCCACCCTTGAGGAGATGTATGCCGCCCATTGTTCTCCTCATCCGCAACATCGCAAACAAAATCAAGCTCTGGGACCATCTCGGGAAGAACAATATGTATATGCAGTCGTGAGGAAGAGTGCTAGCAGGTCCATGGCAATCGACAGGATGATGAGGATGGTACCTGCCAGGAACATCCATTGGCGTTATCATACGTCCCTCAGAGGATATGGTGAATGTGTCTACCCAGGCCAATATTGGCTAGATACGCAGCGTTGTTAAATGCCCTAGCTACCGACACGGTCACGGGAATTCATCGGCCACATACCGACGTTTTCCAAACAACGTCTTGAGACTGAGGGCCAGCAGAAACCACAGTTGTTGATCTCTACATGCTGTATTCGCTGGGTGTGTCATCATCGTTGAAGACCCCGTTAAGACTTGACCAATGTCGGGGGTATAATTGCCAATTGTGATTGAGTATGCTCCAAGTCGGGTATCGCAGTTCTCATGCCTGGCGGTGGAATTGAATCGCAAAGGATACTTCCGTGGAAGAACATTAAAGCCCTCTGCTTGTTCAATACTTCTTTCGCAGAACCCACCGTGTGAATGTTTCCGGCCCCCAATGAAGTGGATCGATTCATCCCGCCGAAGTGATCGGCATACCAATAAAGATCCTCATCACCATCTAAGTGGGCGCCGATCCCAACGCCAACCTGATAAATCCTTAACACCTCCCAACCTCTCACATCTTACCCACGAGGTGGCAATAGTCCCGATCACCTCGTGAATGTAGCTTCGAAGACTAGTTTTCTTCTACCAATGCAGTTCTCATGTCTCAGAATTTGAACGTTACCCCCGATGCCAGGATCGATCCCTTGTTCCTCAGAGCTTTCAACTATGCCGACAAGACTACTACGCTCAAGCTAGAGGACTGGGTCTCCATCCTAACCCTTTGCTTTTCCCCATTAATTGCCCATATCCTCGCAGGTGTGCCAACCGTGGTACGACGGTGTCCGCATCCCCCTAACTGGCTGGATACTCTCTGCCTGTACAATCCTACCACGATCCTCTGGCGATACCTCGCCATTGCGGAGCGGCGCGCGAGATACCGCCACCACTGGAATGCCGCCAGCATGGCAGCTAGCAATGCACTGTTTTGGACATCGCAGGGCTTCGATGGATCGGAGGAGATGATGCAGCAGAGTCAGGCGTTCTGCACGCGCATCCCCCATTACCATCGCACGGATCTTCTGTCCACCGACTCCGTTAAGACACTTATCACTACCCTTCAGGGCATCCAGGCTTTCGTAGTTCTAATCCGCGGTATCCTCGCCTTGGCCAATATCGGAAATCAGCCATTCAACGCCAGCATCGCCATGAACTCGATTTTCTACCCACTGGCTGTTTTTGGCCTCCTCCGTCTCTTTGCTGCCCCGTGGCTGACGGAAGACTATACCTATGCGGAGCATGAAAGCTATGAGAGTAGCCGGATCTTAGCCTTGGGGCAACACGGTTTGCATCACTCGCCCGCCTCCACCGTCGTCCAGGGTAGTCACTCCGAGAACAAACATGCAACATCTTCTGGTACCCCACTTTTACCGATGAGCTCGTCGAGCATTCGGGACCCCTCGCTCGACGCGCCCCCTAGCGTGACCGGCAAAACCCTCGTCCTGAGTGTCCGGATTAGCTATCTGTTCCTCATTTGCGGTATCTTGGCTCTCTGTGTCTGTTACATGGTGCCCCAGAATGGCCTCTCAACCATCCCTACGCAGTCCCCATCGGTATCCGTGCTATGGATGCTCCCTATAGTCTATATTGTCTTCAGTGTACTGTCGATCATCATATTCCTCATCTACCTCGTCCGCTGCGGGGGACAAACAACCACGGTCATCCCTTGTATCCACACCTGGTGGTACCGGGCATACACGTTGGGCCTCATGGCAGCGATCATCGCCCTGATCGTGCTCTCCGGCGTCTATACGCGGCGGACTGCGTGCGGGCAGCTAACCGTCTTTCCACCGGAGTACGACCAGCAGCTGTGCAATGGGACACCACTGCGCGCCCACGCAGGTCTCGGGCCATTCGGGATTCTTACTCAGGCGCCGGCACTCACACCCCAAACTTGGATCATGCCATTGGAGGGGTGGTGCTCGGGGACGTTGACGGGAGAGATTATTCCCGTGGTATCTGTATCATAATCGGCGTATAGATAGTATCATAAACCAGGTACACATACTATCCTCCCAGTTAACACTTGATAACGTCGCACAAAAGAAAACGAACGAAAAGGAGGAGAGAGAAGAAAAGCACCATGTAAGAACTTGGAACCGATTGCATGACCTGATGTATATATATATTTCTCAAGGCGCAAATGTCGAACGCTAAAGCAGCATTTGGGCTTTTATTTTTTTTAACCATTCCTCGCATAGTGATAGCCGAAGACAGGATATAGATATCTATGAGTTCTACCGAATGACGGACAGAGGTATCTTCTTGTTCGAGGTTAGCGATGTACAACGTTGTGCTCAGACTTGAACAAAGCCTATACAGCAAGGGTAGGAATACCTTACCGTAGCGGAATACACCGTATGTCCTTTCTATGGCATAGTATGAAGGTTTAGCTCAAGTACTCCCTAGGGTCTCCTGGAGAGGAATCTCCACTCCGGTGGTGTGGGAGTGACCTCACTTTCTGAGATCAATCATTCACAACCGGCATGAAGTGTGGCGGCCAAAGACGTTATATGCCCTTTCCTTTGTTGAGGATGGAAATATCTCAGTTGGTAAAACGTACTAACTAGACAAACATAGAACAAGGACCAACTTTAACTTCGGAAGAGCTCATTGGTTACAGTGATACATATATTACCTATGGGGATCGCTCACTCGTGTTCGGCGATTGTCGGGGCATTTGCCTGCTATCTAACTGATGAAGCACCAAGAAAAATCTTCCTCGTTGTTGTGATGCGGGCTCCTGTAGGGTAGAGATCCTTGTAGTGTGCTTTGCAGATACGCCAATAGGCCATCACAGAACCCCCGGTGACCAGGGCAAGAGGAAAACGGATTACTAAAGAAAATAGATACATAATAGCTAAGAGTGGAGAAATATCAGGCCCCCATCAGTCCATTGGGGCCAAGAACAAGTATTGAACGTTGATCAGACCCACCCGACCGAATCCTTTCATGTTCAAGTTTCTTCATCGCCAAGTATCGCCGAGCTCTGTGAAGCTTCGCCCCCCAAACTCTTAGATTCGGATCAAGGCTTCTTCGTACCGCCACCCATCAACCCGAACCTCATAGCCCCCTGTTAGCCCAACCAACGTCTCCTGCGACTTGAATCCAACCAGAGGTCGCCGTACTCGCACCACTTGCCCATCGTCCAACACCCGGCTCGTGACATATGTTGTCTCTGGGTCGACTACAATGGCCGCTAGTATGATGGCAAACATGGCGATAATCGTGGCTAAAGTCGCCGGATGACTGACTCCCTCGGTCAGGCAGAGGGCCAGATATACAACAGAGAGGACTCCGATAATGATAAAAAGCCATTTCACGGAATAAGGACGATAGTAGTATGTTTGTGCCATGCTGCAAGAGAAATGATGAGGGTAAGTTGGAAGGTATCTAGAGTGGAGAGATTTATTGTGACTTGGGGCCAGTACTAATCTTAGTTCCTGGCGGTAATAAACGATTGCCGAGTGAGGTCGCAGATATGAACCTCAATAGGTAAGGATATACTAGCGCTTTTAATCGAGAGGGGGAAAGACAATAGTTTGGAAAATGGACGGACAAACCTGTTGACATCCCTGACTAGGGCCGCATATACGCTAAAAATGTCAGCCCTAAGCATGACTTGGCCGTATATGACGTTGTCTGCAACCGGGGATGGGATATAAAACCTCGGTCTATACGCTTGCTCCACAGTACGAGAGGCTATTCCCGCCCCATTGGGGTTACATTGAGGAATCTGACCTCAGAATTATGGACGAGATCTCCTATCATAGCCCCTCCAGGTACCGGTAGCACCGGATGCACAATGTCCAGTTCTTATGCACACAGGGCAGTGCGGCTGAAGGATTCAGCTACAAGGTGAAAAGGCCCCACGTGAACTGGATACCTAGGCCTACAGCATGGGTATTAATACTGGGCATCGGGCCTCTCCAGTAAAGCCATGCTTTGAGCAAGAAAGCGCCCTCGCATCTCCTGCCAATACACTGCCAAACGAAATCAGCCAATATGGTTAAGCTGATTCGAGTCCGATTCACTTTGCACCTCCCTTTGTTACTCGCTCTGGCATCGTTGAGCTTTGCTGTTGTGGACAAATGGACTCCAGAGAGCTTCAACTGGTCGGCTCTTGATCCTGGCCCCCGAGAGTCATGGCAAGGCCTGTACCTGAACCACAACGGTACCTCGGCGCACATCAATGCGCTTGCTACAACCACTCTCACCGACGTGAGGATCGCAGATGATGGATCCACCGTTTTAGTTGCCCCGTGGCTGATCGGTCTTGCCTGGCATACATTCAATCTTGCTCTGACAGGGGCCGGCCTGGCGAGTACGATCAAAACTTGTCAGCAAAACGAGGGTCAAGCAGACAACATCTTCTACTGTGTCACGGGGCTACTCAGTACCATCATCGGAGTGGGTGGTGAGGTTTCTGCAGCAAAGAAATTCCTCCAGAACAAGGGATACCTAGGAGTCGCTGCGAATGCTTGGATGCAATCTGGGCTGGAACAGATCGATATGCATGTATTTGGGCGCGACTTGGACGGGGTGGACATGACGCCCCAGAAAGCTCATAATCACTTCGTCCACAGAGCTCTGCGCAGTCTGTCGGTGGATGACGAGGTGGACTTCGTGGGCTATGCACCCGATTCACACAAGTTAGCTAGGCGGGGCTCGTCAGTCCATCCATTAGCGCCTATGTTCCGCTTCAATCATCACAAATACGGCCCAATGGAGCTGACCTCTCGCGATACGGGGGATAACGGTGTGCATTTTACCATCTCCTACGCCGGCCATCCCACCCACCACGCTAGCCAGGAGAAGCGCGACGAGTTCTTCCGCCACGAGCGCCTGGATCAGCATCTGATGGAAGCGCGATTCGATTCGGAAGCCTCTGGGGCTGACCCCGGAGATATCTCCTTTAAGGGTGCAGAAGCGTTTGGCAAAATCGAAAAGCAGGTGGAGTGCTTTGCTGGGACCGAGTGGAATGAAGGAAATGTGTTGTCGGTGCAGATGTATGACCAGGCGAATAAAGCCACCTTTGGGTTTGCATCCATTGGCATCTTTCCTGATGACAGTGTGGATTCGGGACTTAAGGACTTCGGGCCGCGGGGCTTGCCGTTAACTGGTGGGCAGGACTGTTGAATATTGGGTACTCGGGATGTGGTCCCCAGGTAACAGAGGTCGGTTGTAGGGTTACATTGAGTGCAAGGTGCGGAAAAGTGTCTTGGGATAACTCTTTGAAATGCGGTACTTTGACTCACTCTTAGTTCGCGTTGTTCGGGATACCGCTTCACAACCGAGCATTCTCCTGGCACATACAGTTCAGTACTGGTTGATTACCATGCTACTATATTAGAACTAATTCTCATTCTCAAGGAACTCTAGGCCTGACTGGTAGGAATGTTGAAGAATCGCTCCGTACTCTACTACCTACTAAGTAGGATTTGTAAAGGGCAGGGTACACGTTGATCTTTAGTCCTGCCCACCATGAATATATCTATGGCCTAGATAGTGCTGGCCATGGTTGACAAGTTGACAAGTAGAAATTTTGATAGGAGATATGTTGCAGAGTCCAAGGATTACAGAACTAATTTCGTCGTAACGCATGTTCAGATTTATATGCGTAATCTAGGTCCATGTTCCCAGGGACATTACTGAATACGCCTATGGAATTACCCAGTATCGCAGGCACCTGACATATGCCTGGTGAATCGACCACCTGCGGGAGTATGTGGATGTGCCACATATAAAAAGCCACCCCATTCCCACCTAGATATAGCCTTCTCGAGAGCTTGATTAGGATTATAAAACTGATCGTTTCAATATCGTTTTATACGAACACCTTACTAGATATTCTACAGATATTGACAGCGGGGATGTATTTCTGTGTCGTGATCAATTCACAGATATATATAGCCTATCGATGATCATTCATGATGTACATAAAATGAGTATCATCTTTCGTATACACCTATTTCCCATGAAAAAGCATTTGGAAAGAATACATAAATGCTTTTGTTTCCCCCATCAGAATGACTGAGTGAGGTATCTTGTCGGAGGTCAGGTACAGAAGAATGAGGGCTATCAAGTAAAATGATGCCCTGCCTGCTGCCTTGGTGCCTTGTTCCCCACCTGATCACCACCTGATCTCCACCTGATCCCCACTTGACCTCACTTGACTGGCCCAGCGGACCGAAGTAGGAAGTTGTTGCTTTGCTTTCCCCGCTTCATCCTCAGCCTTCTTTCCCCATACTCTTTAGATCTCAACACTCATGGATTGTCCAAGTCGTGCGCTTGATTCAGGATGAATTCCTCCTTGGATTCGCCCCCCAGTGGCAATCTTAAGCGTATCCGGCAGGCATGTGCCAACTGCCGGTAGGTGCCCGCTCATAGACGTCTTTCTCCCTCCCTTTACTAATCAATTGCAAAGCCGGAGGAAGACCAAGTGCTCCGGGGAGCGTCCGATTTGCTTCCACTGTTGCCGCAATAATCATGCCTGCGTCTACGAGCCTTACTCGGCCACCGTTGGCGATCACAACCCCTATCCCTCGACTCTCCAGAATGTATGTACAGCACATCATCCGAACTCGGCGTTTGCCTTCCCAGCGCTAATTGTTCCCGCAGGCGGAGCTGTTGCAGAGGATTACATTAATTGAGTCGCGATTGGCAGAGCTGAGTGGCCGGACCGTGCACCAGACCGGGTATGTCTTCGGAATTGCCGCTTGGAGTGCCTCTATCCTTTGCTAACCACTTACACAAGGACCTCGCGCAATTCTACCGGCCCTGACCAGCGTACTACTGCTCATCCATTCCTGACTCCTCCATCGTCCGTCCGCCGCGCTGTCGTTTGACACCTACTTCGTCCACGTTCATAACCAGCCCTATAGCTACTTTCAAGAGGTCTCCTTCCGACAGAGATTCGAATGTGACTCACTGCCACGATGCTTGATTCTGTCGGTGCTCGCATCTGCAGTCCGGTTTTGCGACCATGAGTTTTATGCGGGGAGAACGCTCGAGGCGTCAGAAATCTATGCCAGGGAGGCATGGCTCGCAGTACTCGCGGATGATTTGACGACGGAAGACAACATGAGCCTGCATGTAGTGCAGGCCGCGAATATGCTGGCCGTAGTCGATTACACAGGTTGGCTCATCCGTACTCTCTACTGCCGGCGTGCGTGCGGCTAACCGTGCCTTTTAGCCGGCCGGGTCAATTCAGGTTGGCTTAAGATTGGTCTTGCTGCCCGGATCTCCCAGGCTCTTCATCTCATGCGGGAATCCGATCACTGGCTGCCATTGGTGGAGCGTGAAGAATGACGGCGGACCTTTTGGTCCGTATATCTTTTGGACAAGCTCGTCTCCTCTGGACGATCCCGACCGTTGGTGATCCTGGACCAAGACTGTCAGGTGCAGCTCCCGTGTGAGGAGGAAGCATTTTGCGCTGGAGAGGAGAAGGAAACACATACCCTTCATCAGCTATGCAATTGGAACACCGAGTTGGCGGAAAACCCTAGCCCGTTTGCCCTAGTGATTCTACTGGCCTCAATCTTCGGGTGCTGTGCAAGGTATGTCCATGGGCACCAACCCACCGACGACATGCCGCCATGGGATACGAGGTCCGAGTTTTCCTCCACCATATCATCTCTCCTGCTGTTCGAATCATATTCGAAGGTAGCGGATCAATCGATTTGGGATTCTATCGACCGTAAGGGGCTGGGCCACCGGATTTTCGCCCAGACACTCTTTCATTTGTGCCATTGTCTGTTGAACCATCCATTTCTCTTGCACCTGCGCTTGAAGCCGTTTGGGTGCAAAGCACCGCGGAGCTTTGCTGCACGAGCTCTTCAAATGGGAGTGGATCATGCCGTGTCGCTGGTGGGTCTCCTGCGCGATGCGTTTGAAGCGGGCTGCTTGGTCGAATCCTCATTTTATGCGTACTGTTTTTCTATTGCCACGGGGATCTTCTCCGTCGCGTCGCATGCGGCGCCCGACGGCGTGGCGTACCGCCCGTCTGAGATGTTGTGCCATGTTCATATCGGTCTCGAGGCTCTGGAGCGATTAGCCCACCTCTGGGTCCACGCAGCCAACATGGTAGGTGTTGTCCCAAAAAAAAAGATTCTGATCAATAAATGGTAATAACAACTTTCGGAATAGTCCGTCCGACTTCGTGAATTTCATGCCCAATCCCATTGCCTCACCACCCTCCTCGACCCCGCTTGCCTGGCAGATGATCTGGATCCTGCTTCAGAGGACATGCTCTGGTCTATGATTGACTATGCCCTTCTCGGGGAAGATCCACGGAAGACCTCACAGGCGATGGGGTCGGAGATCCCCATTCTACCATCCCCGACATCTTGGGCCCTGGACGCAGAAATACTTGCCCCCGTGTCCAGCATAGTGGACGCTAGCCACGGGAATCTATTCAGCGCCATGACGCCTACCCTGCGGTTGAACGAGGTTGAATACTTTCTCAATTGTAGTTCTCCCAACAATGGCGTTCTTTGATTCGTGTAGTTGGCCTGACGTGTGAATGCTCTGTTGTCGGATCTTCCGTTCCGCGGTCCGCTAACCCGTTCCGGTCCGCTCTACATGTTCTAGTGAAAGATAGTAGGATTGGACTACCATCCCCGATATCGAGCATCGAGTCGGACACACTAGCGACTAATATGAGCGGTAGTCACCAGTCTTCGCCGTGGGTGGTTTTCATCTCGGGAACCTCAGCCGCCATCCTGGCGAATGTCGCCGTCTATCCTTTGGATATGTATGATCCCCTTTCCGTCTATTGACTTTGTTCATGGTTTCAATAAATCTAACTTGTTGGTCTACCTGATCTGGAGGCTCATTTCCCTACTGATCCCTATTGGTGTGACAGTGTGAAAACCAAATTACAAGTGCAAATCCAGCATCGACAAGAACGAGGACGAAGCGGAGATGAGAGCCAACTTTCTAGTATGGGGGGCGCCGCCGCTGACTGTGATAGCCTCATCGGTGCAATCTCTCACGTTGTCCATGAAGAAGGAATTTCTGGTTTGTATCGTGGGTTGGGCAGTTCCATCCTTGGCATGACCCTCATGAATTCCACTTATTTCTACTGGTCGGCGAAAGCCCGCATTCTTCATCAGTCGGTGCTTCGATGGTACAATATGTCTGATCGAGGTGGCATTCTCAAAGAACTTGCACTGGGAGCTGCGGGAAGTGCTATGGCTCAGTTGTGCACGAACCCCATTGCCGTGATTGCCATGCGACAGCAAACCAGCACCACTGCGGATCAGACAAAGTCGGCATGGAACAACGTCAAGGAGATTGTCTATAATGAAGATGGATGGACCGGACTGTGGAAGGGGCTGAAGGTTAACTTGATACTCGTTGTCAACCCGACGATCACCTATGGTGCCTATGAGTGGCTGCGAATGATCTCGGTGCGATTTCGGAAGCAGATTGGGCCGATTGATGCGTTTTGTATTCTTTAACCTTCTCTATTGTTGATCCGTGGGGTTCATAGGTATATGTTCAATTTGCTAACTCGTGGGATCCGTAATAGTCCTGGGCGCTTTATCCAAAGCCCTGGCAACTATTGCCACACAGCCCCTTATTGTGTCGAAGACAATACTACAATCCAAGCCACCAGAATGCAGATATGGCCGACCGTTTCGGAGTTCTACCGAGGTTGTCATATATATCGTTCGCCATGAAGGCTTCCGGAGGCTGTACAAGGGTCTCGTGCCCCGGCTACTGAAGGGTTTTCTTGTTCAGGGATTGATGATGATGCTGAAGGAGAGGTGGGTAGAACTCCCTTCAGCCCAGCATTTAGTTACCTATCGTTCTGTTTAGATTCAAGTATTGACAATTTAAAATAGGATTCAAGTTCTGCTGACTAGTGTATCTTTGCTAAACCGGCTACGAGTGCAACGGTTAACTTCCGCAAGTTACTGATCGTGTGAACGTCCGATAAACTCCTGTCTTCTCGGATTGTATAACCCAAGTATGTCTATGATTGATGAACCTATGGAGACTTTATTCGGCATGAAATCAGACTATCAAATTTATTATAGCAGTGACTGTTAGCTAAACTTTCACTATCTTTATTGTACCAAATTCTTCAGGTTTTTGGTATGTGGCGTAAACTAGTCAATTTTCGAGAATGAATTGGAAGTGTCGGTCCGATGCACTGGAATCGGCGGCCCGCTCGGACCGATCCCTACGCAAACAGGATATCCTGGGGAAGTCCTCTGTAAACCTCGGGTGTATTATGCGACAGTGTTCTCCACGCGGCCCGAATTCGGACGATGTGGGGAGCCCATATAGTATAGCTTGGCTCTCTATAGCTTCTTTTGAGGGCCTATAGTCGAGGTGTTACTCTAGCAGTCCGCTACACAATCCTGATCGATATTAACATCATGTCCCTTGTTTCCAAACTTCCATTCGCCGATCCTCTATGGCTCAACCGCACCTATAGTCCGTACTACAGCGTGACCCACCGGCGCCTACAGGCAGAGGTCCGCGAGTATGTTGACACGCACATTGCGCCCTTCTGTGAGGACTGGGAGAAGCAAGGATTCGTCCCACTCGAGGTAGGACTATGTACCCATTGACGACGCTATCGGACCAAGGACTCAATCCGTCCATCATAACAGGCACAGAAACGCCATGCCACGCTCGGCTACACGGCTGTAGCGACTTTCCCTTTGGCCGCGGACTATTTGAACGGCCAGCGTCTCCCCGGAGACATTGATTCTCGTGCATGGGACGGGTTTCACGATCCGATCGTCATCGATGAATTGGCTCGTTGCGGATATCTTGGGATTGTCTGGGCGCTGGGGTGCGGGAATTCCATCGGCGGACCCCCCGTCATTAATTTTGGCAATAAGGAGCAGAAACAAAGACTACTGCCGCCCATGTTGACAGGCAAAGTGAGGTTCTGTTTGGGAGTGAGGGAGCCAGCCGGTATGTCGAAATCTGTGTGACCTAGTGGACTTTGGTTTCTAATCTCTTCCATATGCCATAGCCGGCTCTGATGTTGCAGGAATTACAACCACTGCCGAACGACGGGGCAACGTGTACATCGTCGATGGCGCAAAGAAATGGATCACGAACGGCATCTCCGCAGACTATTGCACGGCGGCCGTCCGGACGGGAGGAGAGGGTATCCAGGGCATCTCAGCGCTGGTGATTCCACTCAACTCACCCGGAGTGACATGCAAGAAGATGGAGAACTCTGGCGTCCATGCTAGCGGTCAGTCATACAACTAATGTTCATCCTTGATATATCTGCTTGGGCCCGACTAACAGGCTTAGGATCAACGTACATCGAGCTTGATCAGGTGGAAGTTCCGGTGGCCAACCTGCTGGGAGAAGAAAACAAGGGATTCCCAATTATCATGAGCAGTATGTCTCTAGTCGTGGAATATGAACGTGAAGCCAACCAAAATTATTGAGCATGGACTTCAACCACGAGCGACTATGGCTTGCCTGTACCTCGCTCCGAATGGCCCGAGTCTGTGCTGAAGATGCCTAGCAGCACGCACTGAGCCGTGGAACATTTGGCAAGAAACTGATCGAAAATCAGGTCATTCGATCGAAATTTAGCAGTATGGCCCGTAGTCTCGACTCGGCGTATGCATGGATGGAACAGTTAGTCTACATCTCCGAGATGGGCAAGAAGCACGGCGCCGACCCAGCAATGGGAGGCCTGTTTGCGAACCTGAAAGTGCTTGCGGGAAAGTCTTTGGAAATGGTGAACAGAGAAGCACAACAAGTCATGGTCGGACTGGGGTACTCTAAGAGTGGCAGAGGGGCGAGAGTGGAGCAGATTAGCCGCGATGTCAGAGTGATGGTCGTCGGTGGTGGAAGTGAAGAGATTCTGTCGGATTTGGCTGTGGATCAGGAAATGAAGGCTATGGCGCGAGTACAGGGGAGTAAATTATAGTCTTCGATATGTCTAACAGGAGAGGAACGAAAGAGAACTGGTTTTATTAGTGATATAGGTCTTTGGTAGTCGTGCTATTGCTTATACTTTACGATTTCTCATCGTCTAGCTTAGGCTGAATATTTAGTGGTATTTCATCTAATTTTCTATATTACCGAGCAGAAGACTTTCCCTTCCTCCACTGCGTCCCCCTTCTTCCAGTCGGTTTGGAACTTTCCACTCGTCGATACCGTGATGGTCACCTCCATCTTCATGCTCTCAATGACCATCACTGCCTCTCCTGACTTGACCTCGTCTCCATTGTTTCGATCGATCGACAGCACCTTACACGGCATTGGTGCCTTAACCATTCTCCTTTCCGCATCGCTTTGAGACCCTTCAACGCTACAAAGATTCTCTGAGAAGGAAAGTAGAGTATCGCGCTGGTATTCCACATATGTTGCGAGCGAAGGGAAATGACAAAACACACGTTGAGGACTGTCTACCAGCCCTCTGATTGCATGGGTGCAGATGGAAGGCATAGCGATGTGCACTAGAGTCTTGCTACCGTTGATCGAGACCTCCATGGTAGATGTTCCCCAGCATTCTGGAGATCCCACGTCACCAGCGGGATGCCAAGAATCAACTTGAAGTCTATATGAGGAGGCGGACATTGCAATAGCACCGCGAAGACTGTTACTGAGAGCATTGTATTGATTGGTGACTGCTGGTGACTGTTGATTCGGCACCGGCGTAAGATATACCACATCTGCATGCACCAGTGCATCTCTTGTTGGGTGATCCCATATACACATCAATGACGTTTCCTGGGGCGCTCCATCAGCAGCTGTGATGATGTCGCAGTGAACGTTGACCAGGTCGAAGGGCTGATTCCGGAACTGCTTGCGAATTCTCCGGAAGGGCCTCTGGTGCTTTGAAGCGACGGGGCCAACCTGATCGGCTATCTTTCGGACCGCTAGACACGGAATAATTGAGAAGACTGTGAGATCGGCCGGCTCGGGTGGCCGGATAAGCCCCTCAAGCTGAGATGGTATAAAGGAAGTCGTGTAAGTTGACTCATGAAACGCCCTGTTTAACAGGCACCGCTGCAGAAATAGTTGATTCGTTTTGACCCCAATGCAGGCCGTGTGCGCTAGCACTTGGACCATCCTCTCAATAGCCAAGGCTCTCGTGGGAGCCCAGACGACGACCTTTGCGATCAGGGAGTCAAAGGAGATAGAAATCTCGGATCCCGTTTGGATGGCCGTCTCATAGCGCACATCGCAGCCCGGAGCCTTAAAGCCATCGGCTGGACGCCACAAGTGGATCTTCCCATGCTCTGGGAAGAAGTTCTTTTGCGGATCCTCCGCATAGAGACGGCACTCAATGGCATGTCCATGCTGTCTCACTTGGGAAAGCCTATGGAGACTACCACCGGCAGCTACGAACAGCTGCAATGAAACTATATCCAAGCCAGTGACCTCCTTAGTGATGGGGTGTTCGACTTGAAGGCGTGCATTGACCTCGATGGAAACAGGTGTCTGGATTTCGCAACAACTTTCCCGATCTAACGCGAGCCGGGCTGGAATAGCTTTGGCGGCCAAAGCAAGGCCTGATTCTCCCTTGACGTTCCCCAAACTACCCAGCTTACCATGGTTATTGGTTTCCGGGACAGACGGGCTGGATATCTACCGGGTCGGTGTCAACCTGAAGGTAGTCTTAAACCGGCCCCGAAACGGCAATGCATTAACTACAGCCATGATCTCAGCCCTAACAGCGGTGATGGAAGAGGCCAGTCAAGACCTATCCATCTCACGGATAGCTATAGCGGCAAAAGGCAACTTTTTCTGTACGGGAATGGATCTCGGAACGAGTAGGACCCCAGTTGGCCAAGGAGGTCATGCTAGAGACGCACAATTTGAGCGCCTCACAAAGCTTTTCGAGGCTATCGATCGATCACCCAAAGTGACCATCGCATGCATCAATGGACCGGTATTCGGAGGCGGAGTCGGCTTAGCGTTCGCCTGCGACATTCGAATGTGTGCCAGAAATGCCACAGTGACCCTGAGCGAAGGCAAGCTGGGGCTTTGTCCCGCCACTATTTCCAAGTACGTGATCCGTGAATGGGGAATCTCGTTTGCTCGAGCGGCCATGCTTTCGGCTCGTCTAGTGTTGGCGGGTGAGCTCAAATCCATGGGTCTGGTGACCGAGGTTGCAGATAACCAAGAACATTTAGACAACATCCTCAATCTCCTACTGCTCCGCCTCAAGGCAGTGTCTCCGGATGCTTCCCGCATGTCCAAGGAATTGGTTCGACTGGCCTGGTCCAACCCTGGGAACGAAGAACAGGCCCTCGGGATTCGGTCTGTGTTCGAAGAAATGATGCGACCTGGGATCATAGAATACAAGTGAGGTGATCGTGACTCAATAGGAAAGGGATATAATTTATAGCAACATGGACGCTTATCCCCGTCTTCAAACTGTCCTGAGAAGCAAACAACGAAGTGGCTAGCTAGTCCCAACGATAGTAGATAGCCAACCAGTATAGCCAATATATCTCACATCTATGTATATATGCGTTAGCGACTGATAAGGGGTATGAAGTGCTGTTCACGGCTACTAATCAGATCGACAAGACGCTACCTACTAAAGAAAGTTTACATGGCCACCGTGACATATATATGTATATAGTATCTCGTTCCGCGCTTAGTTTGTGCCGTCTCATTCCCTTCACAGCGTTTTCTTGGGAGAAGTTAGTGTGACTTTTCACTCTCAAGGACAGGATGCGCCCCGTGACAGAGATATCATGATATATGAAGAGGGGGCGAATAGGTGCAAGATTATGTACACGTCTAGAAGAACTTGAATCTAGATCCATGTTATGCGGAACCTGCGCATCGTGCTGCGCAATGGCTCCCTTTAACGATGGTGCCCGAGCATGTTCTCGGACAAGCTACGACATTATCCATTTATCTATGCCAGGCCGTTCAGCATATGAGTTTTAAATATGAATTACGATCGAATGTGGCGTGCAACAAAGTCTTTCTACAAGTCACAGCAACGACAACAGGCGTTGTGACGTTGGATAGATTCCTACTATTGCTGTTAACTGTAGAATTTTATATAGTACGTTAACTATAGACTACTTTTGATAGGATAATTTATTAAAATCTACCTTAGAACAGAATTAATGGTTTGCTTCTGGCTGAAATATCAATAGAGAATCTATAATTCTGCTGATCAACATACACATACACCCTAACAAACGCGTTAAGGGATATTATAGATTTATCTAATACTATCACTATACATCGTAAAGTCCCTATTTTTGAATCTAGCTTAGTAAAAATTCTAGTAGAGTTTAAAACTTCCTTTAAATTTAATTTTAATCGGTCTGGTATTGTTAAAACATATATATAATATTTAGAAAACTTGTATAGGATATAGGAAAACCCTAATAATCTCTACAATTTCATGCCTATGTTTAGTATATCAGTAGCGTTCCGACCACCGACCGGCGAAGTCGGACCGGCACTAATATGTATGTCTACATCCTGAACCTATACCTCTTAGCGATTACACCGGGCCACTGCCGAGGTTCTTCAGAAGGGCCAAGCGTCCAGGGGTGGGTGAATATGGGGGATATGCAGAAAAAAGATTGATCGCCCTCACAGGCAAGGCCATCAAATATGCCAACTCCAATCCACTAGCGAATCACGTCTGCTATATGACTATCTTCACCATACACTTTTTTAAGCTGATACGGGTTTAGCACCAGTACTTCCCTATCTTCAGTCCTTCCCCTTAAGGCCTCTGAAGCCCTCTGATTGGACTTGTTATTGGTGTTTGGCTTGTGCAGTGTATAGCTGGTCTTGGAAGGGGTCCAAATCCTTCTTGCATCAATTTTTGAGGTAGGCTGGGACGAGCAGGCTTGAGAGATACCCATGTGTGTTGTTCCACAGATCTGGTTGTTAAACAGAGTACCCTCACTAAAGCGGCGACGCATAGAAGAGGATATCTACAGTTGTTCTAGAAATCCAGGCTCATATAGGAGTATATGTACCATTTATTTTATGTCACTACGGCGGCACGACTGCAAAAATTAATCAATCCCGTAAGAGGGTCCCACTGATTATAGAATTATAAGATTGAGGCTTCTATATAAAGGTGCTAATGTCTTTAACTATAATACAATACAGACTATTCTAATAATAATACAGTCACTATAACGAAGATCTATGGGACCGAATCTCCCCTCACCGCCGGTCGTCTTCATTCCAAGCAGCTGGATTCCACTGCTGAGCGATTGCTGGCTTTATTTAGGAGCGTCTTTGTATTTCTTGTGGAGATCTTGGACAGCCTTGTCGACGTCAGTCATAAACTTCTCGATCTCGGAAGTTTTGATGTCCTTAAGGTCTCGGAATTCGAACAAAGGCACATTGCGAGTCCCTTGGTATATCTTCTCCGTCTTGGATCCAAGGCCTCCAATGGAACCATCAATGGTCTTGTCAAAGGAGGTAAGCAAGTCTTTCTTGTCGGCGATCCCGTCAATCCAGTCCTTGACGGTCAGGGTGGCGGCAGCAGACTTGGCCGCCGTATTTTTGAACGTGAGGCCGGCAAACTCCTTGTTGGGCACTGGAGCTTTGGCCGTCCCGGCGCAGAATTTCTTGTCAAGCCTGCACTCTGTCAGTTGGGCAAATGGAGCAAGAAGAGGCGTGTCAATACTTACGCAAGCCTGCCAGCTGACACTTTGTAGCATGCGAGCTTCTCAAAGAGAGGTAAAAGAGGAATGCCCTTGAGCTTAGACTCGACTTGGTTGTAGAGGGTAACAAAATCATTTCGAGGCATGAAGGGCGTGCGCAGCTTAGGACTCTCGTCCGGCTTAAGTGGTTTGCCGTCCAAGGATTTCGCATATGATAAGACCAAGGAGCAGAATGCAAGCACATCATCCGAAAGCGCGGCCTGGTTGATTTCCTTGACAGCGGTGAAATATGTTTTGGTAACGAGGATAAAATAGTCTGTTCTAAGCATAATTCCATTGAGAACGTGGGCCTTGTTGCTGCTATGCATCTGCATAATGCTGTACAGTGCCTCAAGGGGCATTGGCGCAGTGACCTGGGGGTCCCATGGCACATTCTCTGGTTTATCTTTGATAGTTGGGCTAGTAATCTTCCATGGGTTGCACTTGTTATTCTCAATCTGCACTTCGGTCTGCGGTTTTTGCCATGGGTACCATTTTACCTGACGACGCGGGTTAACAGGACAGAGGTCCGGATCAGAATTCATGCAACCCTTACCAGATCGTCTGCTGCTGCTTTTCCAGCCTTTGCAAGCTCTCCAGTCCCGACTTTGATTTTTTGGCCGTCAAAAATGAACTCGGCGTTGAGTTTCCCGGGGTCGACCCCCGTGTCGGCCGTTAACAACCAGTTTGTGCCCCGACGTTTGTCAACCACCGCTTTCTTTGCCGCGTTGGTGTTGTCCATCGAACAGCCAGGGTGTGCAAATTTGAAGAATGGACTCTCCAACTCGACACCTATGCCTGCCGATCCATCGGCAGTAGGCCCGTCGAGGTACACCATGATATCTTCGACATGCTCCGTTTTACTGCGGGCGATGCTGGCTGCCGACGCCGTCAGGAGAACTGGTAACATGTAGGGGAGTATATGCATGATGGGCAGGTTACTCCTTTACGGAATAAGATCTGCTAGGCGATGGCAATGGAAAATAATGAGAGACTTTGCACTGGGCTGATTTCCTCAATCATCAATGGGACCGGCCTGGCTTTTATAGACATCACCTGGCGAAGCACCAGTTCCCGGACAGACAATATGTTGACAAAATATACAAAGGATTTGCTTGATCTACGGCCGGACGCAAGTCGGTTCCGACATGTAAGGATGGAGCAGCACATGCAGATTGACACATTCTTCAGACCTGTAGGATCAACCGACAATTTGGGGGCCGTTTGAGGTCGACCTCGTGTGGATGCGTATTCGGAGCATACTTATACTCCGCGGGTCCGCAGCTGTTGTGTTGGTGGGTCCCATCCCACACGCTAAAATCCCTCCAGCCCCTATTCTGCAGCTTTCACTGAAGTAGAGAGTAGCATGTTTTGTCTGCCGTATCTCTCCTCCCTGCTATACTGTCAGATGACTCTGGTTGGTTTTATCGGAGGAACGAGGGGAATTTCGCCTCGTGCCTGTGTTCATTTCCATCCGTATCCTAGCACCACCATGGCTGTGTTCACGCAGTTGCCTAATGAACTCCTGGAAAATATTATCATACATTCCCTGCCAGAGGGGTTTGAGAGCTTGGCCCTAACCTGCAAGCATCTCTATGCACTCTGTACCCCGCATATTAAGCACCATAATCGACTGCGCTGGCATTTCGAGAGCTTTGAGTATGGCAAGACAGATCTAGTGGTCCAACATAAGCTGTCGCTGCTCACCCTTCCCTACACAGTCTGCTCTGCATTCAATTTGATTGCACGCATCGCGGTTGAGCCGACGGTAGCCCACTACATTCGAGAGGCGGATTTCGAGAAAGACGGTCAATTCACAAGGGGCATATCCCGCGCATTTGCCACTGATGCCAGCCGTGATAAAGCCGTGACCCAACTGCTAGCTGAGTCTTCATACTTACGGGAAGCAGGCCTCGAATGGCAGGAATACTATGCAGCGATTGAAGATGATCTTGACGCCGCCCGCTATTCACAACATGCTGCGGCTTTTGTTTTGACACTCCTGCCCAATCTTAGGGTGCTCAGGTTACCAAGAGAGTGGCAGCCGGTCGCTGCAACTAGCAAGCTCCTCGATGCTATTGTGCGCCGATCCAGGCGCGCACCTATCCCTCACCACAAGCCTAGCATGGCCCAAGTCACGAGATTCGAGGTATCAGCCTCGCGGGAAGCTGATGAAAGATTTGATCTAGATTGGGCAACTTGTTTCCTGACCTTGCCGCACGTCCGGTCCTTCTGGGGTCCCGGATGCGTAGGCACAGGTGACGGATATGGGGCCATCACGTCTGCATATCTGTCCAGTGGCTTCCAATCCCTTGAAGCAGTTCATTTCATGAGGGCTTCTATTGATGACAAGGCCATAGCGGGCTTTCTAAAACATACCCCAAGCCTCAAGACATTGAGATACTCGCATACCACAAACAACAACGGTGGCCTCCAGGATTGGGATCTCTGCCGATTCGTTGCGGCAATCGAGCGCGAGGCCGGGGGCCACCTCGTGGAGCTTTCCATCTCGATTGATGAACTGCGCGGCTCGATTACTCTGGGCAAAGTGTCAATGCGCGGCTTTCATCGGCTACAAAAGCTCGAGCTCCCCGTCGAAATCATTACCTGCACTCTTACCGCATTAGGAGATCACCAATCAAACTATTCCGATCTATTTTTGGGTGACCTAATCCCTGATTCGGTCTCTCAGCTGTCCTTGATCTCGCACGGAATGGACGGCTCTGAGAAGGCCCTCAGTATACTGTTTCGTGACTTTGCCGCCAAGAAGGATTCTCAGGTGCCTGCTCTTAAAGAAATCTACCTATCCTGGCCGATCGACGTGGACGATTTGGACCAGGAGCTGTATGCCACGCTGGCTGTGGAGACCCAGAAGGCAGGCGTGGTCTTGGATATCATGTTGGACCCTTTGACTTGGGATGGGGAAGAGTGATCAATCCAGAGTAAAAAGGGCATAACTAACCCATCTGTGCTGCTTGCAGAACAGTTCCATCAGAAACCGGTCACTGGAGCCTTTCAGCACATGGGGAAACGAGTCTCTCCACGTGTACGCGCACCCAACGAGCTTTTTACTATCATTGGGCACGTCTACTCACGCCGTCCGCGAGATGGCCGAGTCCCACCAGAACAGTAGATTATGAATAGCTTTAACAGTTTTGTTGTGACCTCAGGGGAAAGATGGGCAGAATGATGCTGTATCAGCTACACGTCCGTAGCCTACTGAGGACCGGATGCCATTCTGATAGGTGCTCAATTCTATGGATGACTGTATCAACTATCTTAAGCGCTTCTCCTCTATCAACTACTAATGGGTAAAGCCTTCAGGGGCTCAAGAGTTGGTGATCCGGCCAAGCCACTAGGATCACGTGGTCGCGTATAGATTCATATCAAGTTTTGTTTGTCACATACGACCATCAGATGGGGAAAAAGGGAGCTTCCCGTCCGCTCAGCCGCACTTAAAACCACACGCGGGTCAAGTAGTAGTACTGCTATCAAGTCCCATCCCCTTATGGCTTAGAGATTCAAATTCTACGAACACAAACCGTTAATGTTTCAGACGGTTTACCTGCACTCCGTTTTCCCTTTCCAACCCTTCTACCTAGGCTCGAAATTTGGCCTCTCAGTCCACTCAAGAAAGGGACAAGAAGAGAGGTACAGAAAAAAGATTAGAGCTAGGCACCTATCATCTTGCAGCACCGTAGCCAGTTAGGGACGTCGGTAACAATAATAGTAGCAAAGAAAGTGAGACAGGAAGATCACATTATAGCTAGATTAAGATTGTCAACACCTTTGGTTCTAAGTGAACACGCCAAAACAAAAGAAAAGGCGATGTCTGACAGGAAGGAGCTCATAGGAGTGGAAGAAAAACAGGATCCAAAACTCCGCAACAGGAGGGCGCAAAAGGAGGATAATATTGCTCGACGGGGCTTAGCGTTTGAATTGAACGTACATATACCACCCCTGAATGCGATGTCAGTACAAAACGGAAGGGCTGGATATGTATCCGATTCCCCAGCCACAGGCAGTTCATTGGCTGCAGATGTCCTTACTATCATCACGGCTTGGTGGATAACCTTCACCGTTGTCACGACTGTCGCGTCTGTCTCGGGTTTGGACCCGCTGGTGTTGTGGCAGGTTTGTTTCCCTTCTTAAGAGCATGGGTATCTCGGCTCTCTCATATTTTCTTTTGAGTAGCGATCTAGGTCTTCACCCCGGCCGGTGGGAGCTTTGCAGCCCTTACTAGTGTGGCGATGCTGAGGATTTTGATGTTGCCTTTTGTTGGGTTTGTGGGTTGCTGTTATTGTGTGCAAACTTTGGGGACGGGAGATGATGGGCTTAGAGTCAGTATAACCAGCTGGACATTTCATCCAGTACTTCTGCATCCATGCTAGTTCCCCTGACTATAGTGGGGAGACCTGCAGGACATCCATGGCGATGCGTTATCCTAATTGGGCAGGACAGATGCAGATCCCACTCATTGACAGGCTGTATGTCAATCAGCAGAACGAGGCGGCTCAACGCCTAGCTACATGGCTAATAAATGATCATACTCGCGATTAGCAGGTAATCCCTGCAAAGTCCATGTTAAATGGGTAAGTAGTCTCAACCAGCCACCAAGAGTATTAACGCGAGGGACATTCCGCTGCAGCCGAACAACCCGGTATACACAATCATTCAGAATTTTACCCTTGGACATCCATCGTGCGCCAAAGATTAATGCCGCAGTTGTAGGCAAACAACCGATATGACCAGAAATTGAAGGTCTAGCTGACCCTTCAGCCCGACGTGGATTTCGATGCAACATCAGCCCCAGAACCTCGCCTCTGCACGGTCAAAGAATTTACCACAGGGATTGTGATCTATTAATGCTTCCTTTTGTCACTATGGTGCTCCTCCTGATTGAGCTATGTGGAGTTGTTCCCTATAGACGCTCCCTATGCTCGCATGACCTCTCGGATTGAGGTTTCTTCGCACCTATTGCTTCTCCTTAGCCTTCGATCTTCCTTGATCCAACTTCGCTTCTTATTGTTTGAATCGAGGGACGGTCAGAGACAATAGAGATCCATAAAGAAACTGATTTCATATAGAATCACTATTAATTTTCCTTCGATCTGTAGTAGATAAACCCTCGGGTTTACGCGAGAGACTGGTAATAATCAATCTTCCTCTGAATCACAGCAATTATTAATATTTCGCCCGCCAGAGTCACCTGGTTTTAACCGTCTGTAAAGTCCTCGCCATCCCGTCTGTTCCGGTAAAGAGAAATGCTAGGTCGAGTCCTCTGTCCTACTGGAAGTAGTTGTAAAGATACGATCGGACAACCATTTTATCGTCTTGCATAGGAGTGGCGGCATAGTGTGCATATAGCTGCAGTAAGGCTTGCATGAAGTTGAAATCCTACGGGGGTTATTTTTCAGCTTCTCCCTGTTCACCCGGGACTGGTACTCATAGTCTGCCGAAACTGAAATCTCTCAGCTGATCTTGAATGTGATGACCCCTTTTAGTATAGAACGTAAGAATTTCTTTACTCCACCAGCAGCCGATAATTGGAATAGAGATGATCGTTGCCTGTAGTATTGCTCCTTCGACATCACGCGAGAACCATAGAGCATGATCCCTGTCGTCTCAATGTGAGAATACATCCTGTTCAGCCTGCTCCACACAGTTGCTTTCGCTTTCTTCTTCTAGCAACCTGTACAGCACCAGCCAGCCCCATTCTAGGTGGAGCTGATATTGGCTACGGAACTGTTTGTTACTAATTTTTGAACATGGATCCATTCTTTTCGGCTGCATTAAACTCATGCCGGGAATTTTGGACTATACAAGTTAGAAACTGTATATTATAATATTTCTAATAGTACGAGAGAGGATTTATTGCATATCCCGCGGCTAGGCAATGTAAACATGTGCAGAATTGAAGGCATGGCATTCAGCTGTGATGATCTGTGCGACACTTGGGCTGGAGATGCCGATCCTCATGGTCATGTACTCCGAGGGTTGAACATAAATAGGCATATCTTCTCTTTCAGAGGAGCAAGAACAACATTTTTCTCAGACAATCAACAACCGCCAGCGAAACAACAATCATGAGATACTCAAGTGCAATTGCTATTGTTGCTTTCCTTCCATGGGCGCTGTCCAAGCCGTCGGCGATCCCAGATGGCATGGTAAGTGGTTCGAATTAATGTAAGTTCGCCTATACTAATACATGATAGGAGGAACTATGCGAAAAAACTGGTAATAGATGCATTTAATGGTAAGACTATTACTAATCATGCAACAGGAAAAAGCATTGACTGGAACGAAACCATGAAACGGTGGATTTGCAAGGAGAAGGATACGGGAATTTGCAGGCCCGACCAGGATCAGGCGACATGGCATCAGGATCCTAAGACAGGTGAATATGGGTGCTGCGACAATGGACAGGAATGGTGCCTGGATAAGAGGAACACGGAGAAGGGCTCTTGCTGCGCCAAAGGCTCAATTTATAGCTTTGACACGGCCACTGGTAAAGGGGCATGCTGTGATCCTGGACAAGTCTTCAGATGGGGAAGTTGCACAACGCCCGGAGGGAGCGATAAGCCCGGTGAGTACATTTGTCCATCCATGATTTTATGAACCACGAGCGCTGATGGCTTGTAGTTCCCATTCCTCAGCCAGGAACCTGCGGGCTGCATCTCAAGGATGCTGGGCTAGAAAGTCTGCTTCGAACCTTGCTCATGCAGTGCTTCCCCCACGGCCAGACCACCCTGGATGTGTTTATCGAGTACTACATATCCATTCTCCATGGGGGTATCGACCTTATTGAGGTTATCTACAGAAATGGGTGTGATCCTAAGCCCTCTCCTAATCCCACTCCTGACCCTCATCCTGGGTGGAAATGCCCTACGGACAGCTCGCCTTGCAGATGGCTCGCCTTGAAAGAGGCCACGACGAAGCTAGGGCTAACTGCCGGTACCACTAAAAAAGAATTGCCCAATCCGGGTGCTTTGATAGCTGTCTACGAGTACCCATTTGATACGTGGGTGACAAAATTTCCAGGTGATGACCTGGATATTTATATTAACGACAAAAGCATCGAGCCTCAAGGCTCCGGCACGAGCTATTTGATTCCTGGTGGTAGGTGTTGATCCAAGCCTACATGTCGAGACAATGTACCTAACAAATACTAGGGACCAAGGGCAAAGATGTAAAATATCTCTCCTCCAAGGGGGCTCAGATCCGGTTTTACGGGGCCTGCTCGGCGGATACACCATGCATAGGTGATGCTGTGGAATCTTGGGTTAGGGAAACAGTTACTGTAGGGAAGGATAGTCTCGATATTGACGTGACTAAATACGACTTCGACATCATCTTCACCATCTCGGACACTTTCATCACAACAGAGCAGTACACCATCTTTGCCGATGGTGAGAAAGTCGATAAGACTCACGGCCGATTGACCCTAGGTGATGATAAGTATAACACAGACCACATTAATATCCATCAGTCGGGAACAGCTCCCCAAGTTATCGCCAATGATGGCTTCTGGGGATCATTCCGAATCCTTAAGGGTGAGTACTCCAGTGATATATATCGATGTCTCGGTGATAGCAGAGGGTAAAGAACGTGTGTTAATTCTGCAATAGGGACCAAGAAGATCACGGTTAAGATGACAGACTACAAGGCGCCCTATCCCTGGTATGAATTTTACTATCGCATTGACAAACCCTGCCAATGCTAAGGGGGGTGTATCACGGAGGTTGTGCCATGAGCGTCATGGAGTATATGTACTCGTCCATACACATTCAACATTACTAGTCAGACAAGATGATCACAGCCATTCAACATAGGCAGAAGTATATTATCCTCTCCCTTCCAGTCCTTTCCGGCTATACGCCTTAGTCACTTGGCATTCTATTCCTGTTCACATAGGTAGTCGTGATTCCTATTGTTCCCCCCCTTTTCATTGGCATCTCATACAAACATGACCTTTCCTGTGCCATGGGCCCTGCGTACATTTACTGTCAAGAGGATTAGCCGTAATAAGAAAATGCAACGGATTGTCTTCCTAGCCCACTCTGAGAAAAACGTTACCTACTAAAAAACCAGCCTAAATTACTATTCACGCCTCCTATACCCTCTACCAAGTCGGATTGCCTTCGAGTAAGGGCTGCCTCCATTCCCCCGTCGTCTGATTGACACCTGTCGCCCCATCTTTATAATTACAAAAGTAGAAAATGCTTCCGTCCAGGGTTATCAGGATATAAAGTTGTCGGAATTTGGCCTTTCGGTTGGATTTATAATATTTTGGTCTATATAGTGCTGTCCTGTTTTAGGAGAATCGTTGCGACAAGGCCAAGTGCCTTTCGAAGGGGTAGATGTCAAACATCATCTTGATATAGCGCGATAAGGTGGTGGAGAGGTCTTAGCCCTTGATGTTGTTTGCTAGTCGGATGGGAAGGGGAAGCGACGGTTTGAGGGCGAAGGCCCAGAAAACCCTCACAACCACACCGTTTGTAACAGGTTCAACGGAGGTGGTGGTTGCCACCTACTCGTAGGTTGATCGACAGTACGAATACTCCCCTGATATGTAGCCAGTTTGATTTTAATCCTATTAGTGATATTGAAGAGGATGATATTGAAAAGAAATAGAGCAAGAGCAGAGGAGTAAACTGATAGAGGGGATAGAGGTAAAAGTTCGATCTTAACATGAAGATAACCCTCCTCTGCCTCCTTATAAGGGAAAGGATACTCTGGTACGGGTACCAGTAAGATCTCGGAAGCGGGGGCACTTTTCAACTGTTATATTAATTAATACAGGTGATTCGGGACTTACGCTGGTGGGGTTATTTATTCATCTGATTATGACAGGTACTGCTCAATGTCCGTGTCGGAGAGGATTTAGACCTGGGTAACGTCTACAAGGGTCCAGGTCATGCGGTTACTTACGATGTTTTAATTTCATACATTTTTTCAGCAAAAACGAGTGTGCAGAGTACTAGGTGAGCACCGCCAAGCTTGGGGATCGCATGATGCCGGTAGTCAATTCGACATGTCTGTGCAAGAAGCAATGCAATGCGAAGAATGCGAAGATGTTGACCGCCGAGTGGACTCCACGATACCATTGATGTTTCAAGTATGTCGCCTTTCCGATTGTAGACAATGGATGATTCCGCCAAGTTTCGTTGACGCTCCACAATTTACACCACGCAGAGAATGGACGGCTCCTATCGCGACGGAGGTTTGAATGACGCTACACCTGGATGCTCGTGGACATGTTCATGCCGGTTGAAAGTGCAATGAGCCATGCGTAGTAAGCGCAATCCGCGAAAATGAGAGCTCCGCTGAGCCAGCAAGAACATGTATGTCGATCTTCACTCTTTACTCCTTAACGTTACTCCGTAGGTTGGATTTCAGCCGGATCTTTTTCCTCCATCAGCCGATGACTCAGCGGCCGTAAGCAGCCGTCATTTTCTATGTACACGATAGTTAGATAACTATTCATTCGTTACGGCCGCTTATATAAGCCCATCGATGGCCACAACGTAGCGTAGTGAGAAGACCAAAACCCTGAGACCCAGGGTGGGCCACGTAGTTAAAGCATTAGTATTACCCATGACGACTGTAATCCACTACTTCATCACATTTACCTCAAACCCAGTGGCATGGCATCTAACGGCCTGAAGGTGATCATCGCTGGGGGAGGCGTCGCTGGCCTCACCCTGGCGAACATGCTGGAAAAGTTCGATATCGACTTTGTCATTCTGGAGGGATATTCGCAAATCGCACCGCCAGTTGGGGCCAGCATTGGCCTGTTCCCCAATGGGCTGCGCATTTTGGACCAGCTCGGATGTTATGAGACCATCCAAGGCCTGTTTAGCCAAAAGCTGGAAAAGGCACATAGCCGGGACAAAAATGGGAAGATAACATCCACCCTGCATTTCATGTTTGAGCACCTAGAGCGGCGGTGAGAAGTTTTGTCCTAGCCAGACAGAGGACAGTCTCTAACTTGCGTCTAGACATGGTTATGGTCTTCTTTTCCTCGATCGCGAGCAACTATTGCAGATCCTACACGACCAGATCCGGCATAAAGATAGAATACTTCTGAACAAAAAGGTCACCGGCATAGATCTGATTGACCAAGGTGTTAAGGTATCCGCTGCAGACGGCTCGGTTTTTACTGGAACTATCGTTGTCGGAGCCGATGGCATCCATAGCAACGTTCGGTCTCTCATGGTATCGCTGGGAAACGAGCTCCAGTCAGGATACTTCCCTCCGAACGAGGAAGGCCACATACCATGTTACTACCGCTGCAGCTTCGGTATTGCCCAGCATGTCCCGGGGTGGATTTCAGGGGAGCAGCACTTTGTGACAGGCAGAGGCCAGTCGCAACTTGTTGTCTCGGGGCCGGAAGATCGAGTGTATTGGTTTTTGTTCGACAGGCTGCCTGAGACCAAGTACGGGACAGACATACCTAAATATGGCAAAGACGATGAGGCCGAGTTCGTGAAGCGGAATTACCACCTTCCCATTACCACAGAGATCTCTTTCGGTCAGGTCTTCGACAAGCGATTGTCATCAACATTGACTGCCCTGCACGAGGGGGTTTTTCAGACGTGGTTCTTCAGGAGGATCATTACCCTCGGAGACTCAGCACATAAGGTAATTAGAACAGGAGATCCCTGCCAGTACCTGGAACCCTTAACATTCGGATCCTAGCTAACAATGTGCCCACGTTCTAGCCAAACCCGATCGGCGGCCAAGGTGCGAATGGAGCCATGGAATCCTGCGCCGAGTTCCTCAATGCTATTCTGCGAAAGAAAGATAGCCGTGATGGTAGCTTGACGAACCTAACGGACCAAGACATAGAGGATATATTTACAGAGACACAAGCCGCGAGACATAATCGCGCGGAAATGATCGTCCGACACTCTCATGAGGTCCAGGCACTCAACGCCTTTGAGAACCCACTAGTCTCCACCATCATTGGAAGCCTTGTCCAGCCCTTAGCGGGAGACGAATATATCCTTAACCGCCTGGGGCAAGTGTTCGTACATGCTGCCACTGTACACAAGCTTCACATCCCTGATCGGCAGAGGGCAATCCCATTCGCTGATGAGCTCCCAGCCAAGCCGATCAGCAAAGCCACCTCAGGATTTGTCCGTTATGCCTTCATAGGTAGTATGGGGTTTGTCCTCGTTGTCACGGAAAAACCTTTTCGAATCCCTTTCCCGAAACTCCATGGCTGGAGAGAATCGGATGACATCATTATATCACGGCTAGGTAGAACTCCTGCCTCGGGTTTCTTGAACATGCTTATGTCCGTATTGTCCGTTCCAATCTTAGATACCAACCCGGCAGCAAGGCTTCATCTCCTCAACTTCCTCCCTCAGTTTATCTCCCCACTGCTGATCTACACGATCGAAGGCTACCGTATGGGAAACCAAAGGAATATTCTCGCCCTCCCAATTCTCTTCACAGCGGGCATGCAGGTCCAGGGTATCGGCCGCATGGCCTTGGTACATGCTATCCTCAGCGCCTTATATATACATCAAGAAACAACAGGTCGTGTTGTGCCTAAACGGGTAGCTATATCTCTGGGCCCCGCACTCACCTTGGGCTTCATCCTTCCCACGATAATGGTCTTCGCGCAAACCCCCAATCTTAGGGCATGGCAAAACTGGATGGCACTCTGGCAATTCGCGCCGCCTTTGGTCAACGTCTTGACAGCTGTTCTTTCGGTCGGGCTCGGACGGTGGCAGCGCAGTGAAGGCGCCCAGGAAAATAGCCCGGGCGGATTCCACCGCTATGAAAAAGACGATGTGCCAATCCTAAACTCTGCTTATACGTACGCTTTTATCGTGCAGGCTACGGTTCACGTCGCAACGCTCGCATACGCGTGGTCCCACCCAGACATCTCGATTGCCAATGCTTTCTTTGGGTTGCCTAACCCATTCCGGGCCCAGTGGAACATCGTGAGCCTCTCGAAGCAGGTAGCTACATTCTTCCGGTACGACGGTGCCACCGCCCTGGCGGCGTACGTAGGTGGCAACCTGTACTCGATCTGGGATCTTCGGCGTCTGGGGTACATCGAAACACGCACAGGCATCAAGGCTGCGCTTGGCGTTGTCGCGGGTGTGTTCATTGCTGGTCCAGGGGCTACCTGGGCCGCCTTGTGGTCCTGGAGAGAGGACAAGATTGCTAATATCGGGACATGATTGGGTCCATCGAGAGCCCTTGAGCGTTGTGCATTTCCAGTCTCATACTGCTTCGTGTAACGTCGTTTTCTGCATATTAATCAATCTGCCCGACATATAACTGCATTTGCTTGTGTTCCTTTTCTTCATCTAGCTGTAGACTTGCTTCCTTCCGTAAAAATGGAAGATTATGCGCAGAATCCCAAATTCTTCCCAAGGACATTCAAATTGTGGTATCTTGGGCTTCGGCCTTGGGAACTGAACAAAGTGCGGTAGTCTCAGAGCGGCGGCGGAAGTTCTTCACGAATCTTCAGGCATAAAAAAATCTAGCAATGAGCGAACAACCCTTTTTCTTCTGTGATACACCACAGTTGTTTCATTTTTCAAATCTCTGAATTAAACCGCAGCTTGGCGGATCGCGTTCCGCGCAAGACGTTGAAGTTCCAGACTCAGCTCCTTCACAAACTCCAGCTGCATATTAAATGCGATCGGAGCTGGTGTCCGTAATTGTGCAGCTTGTGCCACCATGAGCTCTCGAATCATGTCCATCAGCCCTAGATCGGCGTGACAGCCCGGGTCCAGAGGATGAAAAAGGATGTCACAGAACAGATGGATCATTGCTGCGGTCAAATGGGGAAGGCAGAACCTACGTAGAGCTCCGCGTCAGATCGTCCATCGCTCATTGCGATTGTATTACTTCACTCACAGTATGTTGTAGCGGTGGACCAGGATTTCAGAGTGCAAAAGCTTTTGCAACAGCGATCGACTTGCTTCCACGCTGATGCCAAGGCTGGAACCGAGGCCACGAGTGTCCTTGTTCTGGGTCCACGTGATGCAGCGACCGCTCGCTTGGTGGATGGTTGCCATACAATAATGATACTCTAGTTGAAGGATGGATGACTCCATGTCCACATCTGTAGATCGATGCATGAAGGTCGGTCTGGTTTCCACGGGGATTGAAAGCTTCCAGTCTTCCAAAAGCTCATCCAGATCGCGAATGGTGGCGAGCAGTTCGGCGTCCGTTTGGTTCAACGCGGCGACCGAATAGAGCCTGCGATAGATCTGAGATTGAATGATCCCCAGCCGAATGAGTGAAATCAGGAAAGACGGACACCCTCCATGCCTCTGGGGATCCAAGCCAGGGGCCTCAGGAAGGGTAAGGTCACAGTTTGCGTCATCGAGATTAGGAGGAAGTCCAGTCCGCAAGCTACACTCCTGGTTGAAGATGTAGCAGACCCAGAAAAGATTCCGGATATGTGATCGAAGGCCTAGTGATCTGTTGTTATCTCCCTCGGACTTTCCAGGGGAAATATGGCCCCCAAGGTGAAAGACAAGTCGTGTCGCAGACGACAGCAATACTTCCAGGCTGAGAACGTCCCCTAACATGGCTTGACTGTATAAACACTAGACGTGAGCCCATTAGATCTGCTCCGCAACCATCCGTAGGGGGAAACCTACTAACATGAGTAGCGCCTGAAGCCCGTCAACTGTGACTGAGTGCGCATGAAGAAGACTCGCTAGCAAGTCATAAGCCACATAAGCATAGTCATCGGGATTCTGAACCCCGTCATCATCCGAATCATTCAAGATTGTAGAGGTCACTGCCATGAAAGCAAAAATACAGGCCCTGGAACTAGAAACATCGCCAGTGAGGGGAGATTGTACTTCATATGCCGCATGAATAGTCCCCTCGAACAAGAAGGGATCGATAAACGGAAAGAGTTGGGAGAGCCTCGACGATTTGTATCTGTGGACGTGTTCATACAGTACTTCCTTCCTCGGCAAAGGAATGGTGGGAATTGGGGCCTCGCCACGGTTGGGAGGGTGATACTGGTTCAAGTTCACATCCTCGCCTGTCTGCGCTTTGATCCACTTCCTCCCGGCCGAAGAAAAGAAGGGTAAGCCGTTGAAGGCGCATATACTCCCCATCGTTAGGCCCGGCAGGTAGAGCTTCGTGTTTGAGGTTTCCGTGTGCAGACAACGAAGCGGCTGCCATGCCGGATCGGGCCTGGGCTTGTCATCTTTTTCTGCGAGGCATAATCAGCACACATGATGGACAAGCTTCTATCTTATCATGGCCATACCTCGAGGCTTAGAAATATTCTCATAAGAATTGACCTTGGATTCTCTACATGTAGATAAGCAATATTCCCGTCTATATTGTCAAAGTTATTCGCTCTCACCTTGAGTCTTGGTGGTGTGGCTGAGCTTGACTCCGAGTAAAGGAACAAGGAAGATTGTGATGATAGCACCAATTGCACTTTGGAGCCGCTCGGTCACATCGGATCTTCAGGTGTTGAATATAAGATTCAGGACGTGAGATAATATATTTAGGGGTCGATGAGGATTAGTATACCTTTCTCTTGAAACAAGCATCGCAAGCCCAACACTTGCGGCGTCGGCGGCGAATCTGGCGAGTATCGCGGCCTGTCATGGAAGTGTGGAGGGAGGGAGGGAAACAGTGACAGTGTTTTGAGTCTGTGGTATTCCGGAAAGAAGAGAGAAGAGGGGAGAGAGAGAGAGAGAGAGAGAGAGAGAGAGAGGTATGTGTTATAGTGTTAAGTGTGCAAGATGGGGGGTTTCAAAACGGGTAACAAGGATGCGCTCCGATTGGCTATTTATCATGTGATCACCTGGATCGTCTGTCGAAATTGGATCAACAATTCTGATCCAAGTTTTCATGCATTAGATGAGGTATCTGGATATAAAGCATAGTCTCGATCATGGAATTGAAGAAACCACTCCAGAGGATCCACATCTGCGGAGTGGTTAGAGTTGAAAGTAGTATTGATTATGCTCACTATACTAGTAGAATATGTCTGTATCAAGGATACTTGGTATGCTATGTAGTATTTCGTAAAAGCTCGTATCGGACTAGTCGTAGCAAAGCTACCCGATGCCCTAAAAGATGACCGGTATCCAATCAGCACGTTTATTCTGCAGCCTTAATCAAACGCATTTCTTTTTGCAGGTTGATCGGAATCAACTTGTATATCTAAACCCTACCCTCTAGGGAGTCATAATAGAATGGATCGGAAGGATTGGGATCCCGGTCCCTATATGAGACTGGAATTATTGAACCGATGATCTTGGCTATGAAGATACTAAAAGCGAATGGGGGCGAAGAAATTCCCACGGCCAATTCGGATCCCAAACTCCACTTCCCCGAATACCCATTCTCTGGACCATGACCGATTTCCTGCCTCAGCCAGAGATGCCGGTGCTCTGATGTTTTGCATGTTTTGACACCTTGGCAGGGATTAGGGAGAATTCCGGGAGAGATTCTGCTGTTCGCTGGAGAGATTTCCGGGTCTTCCCGGGCTCGGTGAGGTTTCCGTTCGGGGAAGTCAACAAACTAAACAATTGCTGACAACACTCTTTCAACTCTGCACTCAAGAAACCTACTCTTGTTATTGATCTCGCCCAGAGGATCCTCGCATCGCCTAACGCCTCTCAAAATTACTTCAGGTGTTCAACAAAATTTCAACACCGATCCTTCGCGACTCGCAATTGTCCCTCGAAAATGTGACTTCCGTCACCACTGGCGCTTCTTGAATGTGCTGCTGGAACAAGATCCTCGACGTCTCACTAACGTGACGATTCCTCGACTATCGATATAATTTCTGCACGATGTGAAACCGTTTTCTAGAGTCACTAATGAGGCTGGCGATTCTGACCAATAGATATGTCGGATATATCCATGGCGGTCCGCAGATCGACAGCGATGACATCGCTTCATCTGCGGCATCCGCTGTTTTCACTTAGTGATGCCACCTTGACTGAGGCGACACGAGCAGCAAAAGTACCCTCCCGGACGTTCAACTCGGGGGCGACGATCATTAAAACGAATAGGGATTTGGACATCAAGGCGTCAACGGGCAACTCGGTGGACAAGTCGGGAGTGGAAGACACAGCATGGGTTGGTCACAGGGTGCCTACGAACAGCCGCTAGTGTGATGACTAGAGACATGGACCCATGGTGTTTCTTCACCTCCTACAATGACTTGCAGCGGATCTCTAGGTTATGAAATGCCTGATATCAGGCTTCATTTGAGCCTACGGATTTAATCAATGTCGCTGCTTTGAATCGAATATGATTCGGTGGCTATCTCCGGGCCCGTATAACTCATTCTTGTCCTCGTACTACCTTTGCGCAGGCCCTGCCAGTAATTTGATCTCTAACGCTTTCGGTACTTTCATTAATTCCAATGACTATTCGGAGTATCACAGAATCTAGTATGATAGCGACTGGTTATTTATAACGCACCAGGCTAATGCGGGTACCAGCTCAATCACGCCCAGTTTGTCGTTTAGCTTTTCCGGCACTCACTGCGAACCTGTATCGATGACGTTTACACTGCATCTCACTTCCCAACATGAGGGTGAATCTGCTCGTTCTGCCTCCATCCGCCCCTCCTTGCCTATTACGATATGCACAAGGCTCAGCTCCTGTTTGCTCCCTTCGTGCTCTGCCACGGCCGCAATTCTTTGCCCTCGCAGTAGCCTTGGAGCAGAGAGTTAAAAATTGATTTGATGTGTAGGGGTGTATGTGGATAATAAGCCCGGCGGTGGGACTTGTCAATACCATCACGGATCGACACCGTTTACCTTGCCTAATCCCGATGATTTCAATGATGCGATGAACTCATTACTAGGATGTCCGTTCTGGAAAAGCGGCCCTGTGACCAGCGCATAAACCTATCAGAAGCAGTCGGCATAGGTGTGGGTACACGTAGTTTCTACATACCAAACTTGGGATGGACTAGTATGCCATCCGCAAAGACGTCTACCGAGTTAGGGACAACCCATTCCATCAGCCTATCCCAGTTGACACATTCATGTGGGCTCGTGAGGTTCCCAATGGGTCGAAGCGCAGTATTCAGCCACATCATGGTCAGGACAGTCGTGTCTCCTTGACACATAATAGAATCCATGAGCATATGCAGACAATGGTCTACGTATGGTTGTTAGGAATGCCAAAGACTGGGACATTCATGGAGGGAGAATACCCGTGTGCTCCCAACACATGGCTTTTGCGTGACCTCCCAATTTGTCCAGATGGTAGTATTGGGGATGCACGGCATGTTGAATATTTTTCTATCCCAGCTCAATCTCAGTTAATCTGGCCTTGCCCTTGACGAAGGATTTCAGGTAAACGCACCAGGCAGTGGAGGAGATGGAAAACCATGATTGAGCCAAAGTAGGTCCCGTCTGGCAGCAGGATCCCCTCATCTTCCCTCCCAAGTTCATGCATCAGGTCTGCGGGGATGCCAATGTTCTGGTCTGTACAAACCGCCATCAACTGAGCCGAACTACAGGGTCATTATGTCCTTACATACGTTCCATTATCTCGTGCAAGTTGTGATCAATTTGCCCGCTTGGCTCTCCAAAGTATTGGGGAGCTGTCATGGCTTCCCTCTGCCCTATTACCCGAGGCTCGTACGTAATATAATCATTTGCGGGAGCTATAAAAAGCCCAGTCAGCACTACAACCAGCAGTAAAGCCAGGCTATAAGAAAACAACACAGATTTGGTAAGTGGTAGAAGTTCGCATTTGAGGAAGCGTGTGCCATAGCGGCGGCTGTCCTTGATGGCACTCTTGGTCACACTCCAAACCACAACGATAACCATCAACGCGTACATTGCAAGGGCCAATATTCCTGCAATAACAATGCTAGGCCGCATTAAGGGAGCGGGACCGATGCCAGAGAGACGCTTAAATTTTCGTGTCAGACTTAGGCTCCTCCTCGTTATTGATACGGATGTAACGAATGGATTCCTTCACGTTGGGTCTGCTCCTCTTGCACTGTGAAGATGGGAGCTGAGGAGATGAGAATGACCATCTGTCTTCAGTTGTTCTATCGTCAAGACTCCGAGGGGAGGAAGAATTGACGCCCACAAGCCTACGGTGAGGGTACAAGAGCGACGTGGGAGTTACCGTGTGTAGCCGGCCTTGCGTCTAACGGTCTGTGCGAGCGAAATAGCAATATCGCTTCATCCACATAGTGTTGAGTAGTTCCGGTCAGAGTGTGACAGGCAAGATGCCAACCAAAGCTAGGCACTATTCCAGAGCCGGGGACTTTTACGTGGTCCAGCGGTTTGTACAACAGTAATGGGCCTTTTATCTTCAGTCGTCAGAAGGTATCCGGGTTTCTCGACACCGTAAGTTTAAATCTCGATATTGGCATGCATACATTACTGGACATCAGAGATATAGAGTTGAATATTGATTAGCATTATTATTAGAACTAAAGGCTAGTACGAGTCAGTGTTAGAATACATGCATATCTGTATTGGGTATGCCCTGGGAAAAGAAACGGGGCCTCCATCTAGGGTCCGGACACTTTTGTGGTCTAACAATTGCTTGACACAAGACAAGGACACGATGTAACATATATCCTCTGCCTGCATCTGGTCGTGACCGTTCATCCAGTGCCTTTGGGATTTGATATGAACCCGTCAAGCATTTGTCCAAGCTCGCTGAACCCGTTGACATCCTTTTTGAGAAACAGTAGTTGCTATATATTCGACCCTTCCCCCATGGTTCCTCTCCCATAGAAATCTCCTCACTACCAGTGAACCTCAAAGAGCAATACATTTCAATACAAAAGAGACGCGGATCTCCAACAAAAACATGAAGCTATTCCAGACAATCTTGAGCATCGCTGTGATTCTAGTCATTGGCGCCTCTGCTCTGCCAACTGACCCTAACGGCATGTTTATGCCATCTTCACATTGCAAAACTAACCTGACTAACTGACTCTTTGGCCAGCTGATATCGATTGCTATGAACTGGATGGTGATATGGTCTATGGGAAGGCCTAGAGTCGCGCCTGAGATATTGGGAGTATGATTGGAGTAATTAATGCAGCTAGGTTTATAACGGACGTGGTGGAACATCGTCGCAAGGGAGAAAGGAACAGCATTTAAAAGTCACTTGAGTTGGCGTGGGAAGAATGGAAAAGCCGTCACTCTTTACTTGAAGCAGCGTAATTGCTTCGTACATGGCAGGACTTATGTATTTTGTTCTCTGCGGATCTTCGCATGATAGTTATTTGTGATTTTGGCTTCACTGGCTATGTACGAGGATAATTGTATTTGCTAATTGCGGCACTTGAAGGGATTAGTATAATGGCTCTACACAGTACACAGAATGCTAGGGAATACCCACGGAGAACAAGCCAATCAGTGTACTGCATTCTTCATATTCAGCCTATTGAATGTTTTCAATTGCTTTTCGACAAAGTGAGACAACGGTCCAATCTAGGGAAATATGGGCCATATTGGTGCCCGTCTTGGCCTGGTCATTGGCTCTGCAATGTCGTTGTTGTTGTCCCCGGTAAGAAAGACTGCGGGTTGGCTATCGAGGACAACAATTGTAAGCGCACCTTGCATAAGGCCGTCGGCCGTATAGCCGATAGTGTTGGTTTGCTTCACAACGGTGGTGAGGTGGAGGCTAACGTGCTGGTAGAACATTAAATCCGATCAAAACCTTGAGCAGCAAATGATTTGGATAAAGGTGAGCTAAATAGGTGCGTTCGTAGGAAGTAAGATATACAGATAGTTATATTATCATGTATCCTCACTTAATAGGTTGATTCTAACCATCGATAATGAACTCAAAAAGCAGCCAAACATGCCGCCAGCACCGCTCCAACCCAGGACCTATCCACTACCAGTTGGGCGTTCGCGCTCGACGAGGTAGTCTCTGCCGCTACCTCACTGGTTGGTGTAGAGGTCTGGCTAGCCGCTGTAGGCCGCGTTGGCTTTGCCGTTGTCGATACTGGGGAAGTAGACCAGTTTGTGGGTGTTTCCCCAGTGGGCACTGGGTTCTCCCCCGTTCTCGTAGCGGTGATCGTCACGACGTAGTCGCCGACGTTGCTGAGGAGGCTGGCGGGGACGGGGGACACCATGACCGACCCGGAGTCACTGTCTGACATATAGACTTGGCACCTGACAGACGAGGGAGAGGCAATGGTGCAGCTTTGGGACATAAGACTGAGGCTGTTAGTTTCCTCTTCCGTCTAGAGAAGAGGATTATGGAGGTAAAGGGAAGATATACTCTCCGTCCGGATAGACATAAGATTGGTAGTACACGGATGGTCCGGCGACGATGGTAGCGGGGACGCCTTCAATCACATAGGAGGTCAGCGATCCCGACTACCGAGGCATTATGTGTTAGAATATCCTAGGGCTCACGGCAAAACGGTAGTTTAGTGGATGGGTAGGGATACATACAGAACCAACCACCTGTCCAACCCCAGACGTAGGCCCATCAACTCCAAAAATGGGAATGGTAATGACATCAGTAGCAGTTGCGGATGCTACCAGCGCCGAAAGGACAATGAAAGCTTGAAAAGGATAGAGGGGCATGGTTGTTGATAAAATGTAGATGATGGAGCTCGATTGGAAATAGGGGGATTTATATTAAATCGAATGAGCATCGCGATGTAACCTTGGTAGAACCTCAGGCACGGTAAAGAACGGTTAATTACATGGTATTTTGCCTGCAATTTACACCACCTGAAACACAAAACGTGCCTCAGGCCGCAGGTACCGCGGTCGTTTTCCCGCTTTTCAGTATATTTATGATATGTTGCCATTATAACCTCAAGTCCGGCATAAGTAGTGTCACAGCGATGATCTTGTTAATCGCTGTACCTGGTTCGACAGGTTATAAGTAGCCAGGCTGGGATGACCCCAGGGTTCCTGCTTCTATGTAATGTATAGTCTTTATGCATTTCCGACGTGGTGGCTAGAATTAGTTGTATGAATTGGACAGACTCGCTCAAATCCTGTAATACACTGCGCATGGGTCGTATTGTACATTATTATCATATCTCTCATCATAAAAACACCCGGCTCTTAATTTATATCAGACTTGACCTCCGTCTCTGGAAAATTCCCTCTATCCCCGAGGCTTCGGCCAAATTTGGACTTGGCGCCGAACTGATCATCGTGTTTCTTGGACATGAAGAGGACCACGGTACTGTCGCCCATTAGCAGCGGTGCCGCTTTTAAACAAAATTCAGCAAGACGTACCTCGCAACGGTGGCAACCCATCCGGGCCAAGCGAGAACTACGGAGGCAACAGCCTTGGGATTGGTCCGGTAGGCTGAAAGTCCGTTAGCGGATGCTACAACAGGACGATGAGTGCCACTGTTCCTAAAATGTGGGTATACGTACTGAGAGCGGGCTTCTTCATGGCCTCCTGCCAGATCTTTCTGGCCGACGCTGCATCGGTTCCCGTGATTCGCGCACTGTGCATCGCGGTGATAACCTACAAACCCCCAGTGTCAGCTTTCTGCTGGACTGAGTTGCGATGGTCTGTGAATCTCGTACCGTCATGACAAGAGCCGAGCTCAGCATCATTATTGACACAACCACCGCACAAATTCTCCACGCCAACCGAACGGACGGACTCTCGTATCGTTCCGGCCAAAACAGATCAAAGAAGAACGCAGCACCAAAGATTGTGGCGACAGAGATTCCGACGAAAATGTTATAGGAGGCGGCACCGATGAAATCGTTATTATGAACTTTGACTTCAGGATGTTGGCCTTGTATATCACTTTGTTGGTCGAGGTAGTCTAACAGAAGAGAGGCAATATCAGTGGGATGGATCCAATGGTTTGTAGAGGGGAGTTTCAAATCATACCTGATAATGCCGCGGTTCCCACCGACTCGGAGCACACACAGAGGATCATGGCCAATTGGTACACAATCATTCTCGTACGTCGTAAATGATATATGCGGTTGAACATATGCTTCCCCTTGAACTTGTAGAATTGAATCTCGTGGAGATCAAGGCCCCAGATGACAGCCATCGTCAAGGGTAATTTAGAGTGGGTATTGAATGAGACGGCAAAGGGATTGGGATGGAATTGCTTGTCTTGAAGCCAAGCCCCTGCGGTACGATAGATAGAAAATATGTGGAGAACAACCAAATATATATAAGATTAGTGTTTAGGGGATCGACATGTCTCGTCATCATAGGAAGAATAAATTAAAGTGGATATCCATTCCATCATCTCCTTCACTGCATAAATTCGTGATTTATATAAACTTGTTTTTGCGGTTCCACGTCGGCACTGACGTCATTTACAACCCCTCGGCTTAGGCACTGACTTTTGTGCCCTAACTTGGATCTATGGATTGACTCCATTCCTTTCTTCGCCACTAATCTGCTATCTATAGGTTTTCTGGTGAGTCCAGACCTCGGGTTCCTGCTTCCAGTAGTCCGCATTCATATAACACATGGTAGCTACACATAGTGATAGTCACTTTATGCTTCGGTCGGGGCGCTCGCCTGGAGGATTAAACATATGTAGACATTCAGTAGAGAGAATACATGCTTAGAAAGACAGCCTTTTAAAAAGAAACTCTTCGAGATAAACAGCGGTTCACCGTGAAACCGGGGTTTTTCTCACCGGGTGATCGACAAGTCATGGATATGTCTTGCCCTCCTCGCATACTCGCTTGAACACCTCGTCGGTGTGCTGCATAACGTTTTCCACGGCATCCTCGCTCCTCGTCTTTTCTATTTTTGGATTCATCGGAAAAGCCTCACCGTCCCAATTCACCCAGTAACAACCGCTCCCCTTCGTTCCATTGCTACCGACCGCGACATGCCCTTCCATCGCGGCCCCCTCGGCTTGCGCCGGAAACCTCCCACTGGTTGCTGCGAATAAATGCCTCTCACCACTCTCCTGGATTGGGATCATAAATGGGCTCATTAGGGGCTTCAACACCGCCGACAGGAGGCGTCCGACCGGTAACTCCCGCAACACCCCCGTCGCGACACCAGATGGGTACGTGTGGACGAACGAGGTATGACGGGATCGCTGCGCCATGCCCTCCAAGAAGAAATTCCCCATCAGACTGGCATGGGCGCCGCAGGTCTGGAGGCTGAAGGTGCGCTTCAGACTGAGGTCGTCAAAGTCGAGCGTGCCGGAGCTGCCGGCGCGGACGGAGACGTGCGGGTCGAATACGGAGAGGACGCGCGACAGTCTGGCCGGGACGGGGACCGAGAGGTCTTGTGCAGCGCTACGTAAGAGGGGGAGCAAGTTGGCGATAAATCGCATCCGTGCGTAGTAATGCAGCACCAATTTGCGGTCCAGACCTTCCGCCGTCTCCTCTCGCCCACGCAGCGAGATATATCCCGGGGTCATAAAGAGCAGGTTGAGTTTCTTTTCTTTGGCAGCGATCTCAGCACACACACCGTCCACGTTCTTGAGCAGTGAGATGTCGGTTTGAAGAAAGGTGGGTTGGGCAGACGGGTTGATGGTTTGAATGTCTGCGATGGCAGCGTTGGCTGCGGACTGACTGCGCCCGATGAGGTAGATTTTGGGAGAGAGAGTATGACGAGCCAGCGCCAGAGCGGTAGAGAGAGAAATACCAGAGGTACCGCCAACTGTGGAGGAGCATGAGCCCGGGGAAAGGTCATTAAGAGAGAGGGAAGTAATGTACTGGGAGATTATGTTGGAAAAGGTCGCACCTACCGAACACCGCGACGAGACCGGGGATCAAGGATTTGAGTGCCGCGTTGTGGGCGTGGATAGATTGGAGGCTTACCATTGTTCCTTCGATCTCGGGTGAATAGATCCTGAGTTATAGGATTACTATATAGGATGTAAATGGCAATCAATGCTGTTTCCTGAGATTAAAGGCCTGTTCATGCAGAGAAACAGAACTGGTAGTTAATCTTTAAAAAGCTCGTACTGCTGGACGTCATTCTATATAGTAATCCAGCACCGATCTGGCTGACGTGAGCCACCGACTGTGGCTGATGAGAGCCATTCCTTGTGTGGAACCGAACCAGAAGATCATTGCGATACAACATTGAGACCATTTTTTTTTTCTTTTTTTCCCTCCCGCCGTAGCACCCATTATCTCATGCCTTACTATTGAAGATTGGGAGGTGCACTAGACGATGTGTGGTTTCATTTAATTATGCTCCTTCTCTAGTGGCAATGAGTAGTAATACATTGGGCTTACGAACGACTGCAGAACCTAGAAAGTCTTCAAGGGAAATTCCATGACCTACAGAGACTGTGAGATGACGGTTGCACAATGTACCACATAAATCCATAATGGTCGTATACTGAAACCGCGTGCAGTGCAGTTTCAATGTAGACCATAGGGATTTATAAGATTCGGCTTACCGAGAATAACCGAAGATGATGGGTCCTTTTCGATCTTGGCAGGCCCACTAGCCGTCGGGCCACATCTATGCCCTGAGTATGGAGTAACACGACAATCGCCGAACGCAGACACTGAGAAATCAAGGGTGTTGACTGTAGCAGGTTCGAACCCCTGAGGAACAATCGTAATGTCTACTGAGACAGACCTTGATACTATAAACCCCGTCAGTCGCTAGACTCGACTGTATATAAGCCGCAGTGAGTCGAGTCTTTCTTTTACTCGCCCGTTTGTGGGCCCTACCAAGGTATAGGGTCTTTTTTCTCCATCTCCCCATACTTTCTCTTACGTATATTGAAAGGTCTGCCCGATGCCGGCCACTCAAGGAGTGACTACAGCACATTCTGTCCGGCTTCGGCCATCATGTGGCTCAAACAACTGAAATCTCTTAATTCCTTTTTCTTTGTAATTCCAATATCTAGATTGCTTGCACATATGAGGCTTTGAGAGTGCCTTGAGCATCATTGAGGGTGGCAGAGCGTACTCTGCAGTGTGAGATGACAGCAGGTGATGCGAATATGCTTAACACCGGGGCCCTAGAAGACGGACCAATCCACAGCACAATGAGTCTGTCGTGGAAGGAGAACGACGGTGGTGCACTATCTGTACCAGTTGATGCGTTTGGGGATGAGACTGATGCTGACGTTAAATATAAAACCTTAACATGGTGGTAAGCACGCTCCCAGAATTGCTGTAGGTGTTACTCCCTCTCGCTAACAATGACTATTAGGCAGTGTGGAACATGTATGTCCAACTATAGTACCAATCGCGAAGGTTTGTCTAACTGACCAGCTACCAGTAATGATAGCAGAATCAATATCACTTGGCGTGCTGTCGCTACCGGCCGCGGTTGCTACTCTAGGCCTACTCCCGTGAGTGAGATGCCGAACCACACAATCGTGATAATAACTAATATGAATTCGAAATACTCAGAGCGGTTGTCCTCATTGTCGCAGTTGGCATCATCTCGACCTATGCCGGATACATTTTGGCCCAGTTCAAGTGGAGATACCCGCAGGTTTCCAATATGGCCGACGTGGGAGAAGTGCTTTTGGGATCCTTTGGTCGGGAGCTTCTTACCATTGCTCAGACGTTATTCCTTATCTTCCTGATGGGTAGCCATCTCTTGACCTTCACCGTGGCTCTTAACCAGATCAGCAGTTATGCCACTTGCTCAATGGTCTTTGGTATTGTTGGACTGGTCGTTTCATTTATTTGCTCCTTGCCTCGGACATTGGCAAACATATCCCTTCTGTCGTTTCTCTGTGAGTCTTACGCCTTCCCATTTCTGCAGTATTTCACTGATCTATGATTTCTACAACAGCCTTTATAAGCATCGTATCCGCCGTGTTTATAACCTTAATTAATGTAGTCATTACGAATCCCGGGACCGGCCGCGCAGTGACGACCGAAACCAACTTCTATCATGCTTTTGCCGCCGTGACAAACATCATCTTCTCATTCTGTGAGTGTCGCAGTCCAATCCTGGACCTCTTCCCTGCGCAAAAAAGCTAATTTGATTAAAGCCGGTCATATTGGCTTCTTCGGCTTCATGGCTGAGCTCAGGGACCCACATGACTTTCCTAAGGCGCTGTATATGGTTCAGGTCATGGAGGTAGTGATCTACATTGTGGCAGGCGTTGTGATATATATTTATGCTGGTGACGACGTCGCCTCGCCCGCCCTCGGTTCCGCATCACCGATCGTCAGCAAGATCGCTTATGGCGTTGCCATCCCAGCCGTATGTCCCAATCCCTGACACCTCTCTCACCTCAGAGAGTAAGACTAACCCAATCCTTAGATCCTGACAGGTGGGGTGGTCGTCGGCCACATAGCTGCCAAGCTCATCTATATGCGCCTTCTGCGCATGACCGGCCGCATGCACGCGCGCGACTTCTTGTCGGTGGGGACATGGGTGGGTATTATGCTGTCGCTTTGGACCTTGGCCTGGATTATCGCAGAGGCAATCCCCGTGTTCAGTAATATGCTGACTCTGATCTGCGCGCTGTTTGCGAGCTGGTTCTCCTATGGTCTGTGTGGGCTATGTTGGCTGTTCATCAACCAGGGTCGGTACCTGGAGAGTTGGAAGAAATTGCTCCTTACTATCATCAACATAACATTGATTGGTATGGGTTGCTGTTTATGCGGGTGTGGAGTGTATGTTGCAGGAAAGGCGATTCATGATCAGCAGGCCGGGTCTAGCTTTTCGTGTGCTAATAATGCTTGAAGCAATAGCTATACAGATACATATATGTAAATATATGTTGCCGACGTAGGCCTCCTAGAATAATGTGTACATTGCTATCACGATACCTAAGGGAGATCAGTATGTGTATGGAGGAAATTAAATGTCGAGATCAAAGACCACGAACTTGCCTTCCAGTTATCAAATATCCCATATCAAGTATATCCTCCGATTTTTGTTATTTTACGTAGAGAGAGAAAGAAATTAGAGTATTTCTAAAGATATATCACTCTCATTTCTAGAAGATATATCTTTAGAAATTATCAGTAAAATTCCATCCAATCTGTGGATACTATTCGCTATACTGTATTCCCCGCTATCACTGAACCCCAGAAGCACATATTCAATGGTCCACTTGCGGTACTGATTCCTCTTGTATCAGGAAAAGATTCCATTAGATTGGAAGTTACTTTCTATGTTCATCAGAGCGATCGGCAACTAGAGACTCCGTGGCACCAATATTAGCTATCCGTAGACGGTATGGATTGGGCCCTTTTGTGCATATTTTTGGCGATATTGTTGATATGATAGATACGGGGCCCCTCCGACCTCGTTTCGTACCAACAAGACATGTAACATTTTTGTGTATTTCTCTGCAAAAAGGAGTTATATCAACAGCACCCAGTACAGGGACCTGCCACTCTAGCTTTGTAACCTCGGTCACCGCGGCATGGATACGACACGAGCTACACCGTGCACTTAACGGGGACGATATTAACCAAAAGGAAGACGCGTCAGGCGAGAATCGGGAACAGACCACAGAGCTGCCGCGGCGACGTGCAAGAATTGGCTTGGTTGCAGTCAAGGTCGCGACAACCACCGGGATCCCAATACTTTGTTTTCTGATGTAGAACGACGTGACCGGAGCAAGAGACAGGAGTATCCGAGCAAGCCTCCTCGTGGACTAAGTCAGGTTGCGGCGGCATCTACGAGATCCGTGGCAGTGTGATCCTCAGGGTTAAATCTGAATCCTTGCTGAAATAGATCCGTATCTTTGCTTCGATAAACTACCTTCGTAAAGAGTACCGCCTAGTAATCAAAGGCTGAGTTTTGTGATATATACCGCCTGGCGTCGGATTCACACCTGTCTGGAGTACTAGCGAGTACTAGCAGCTCCGGGATAGAGCTCCGTCATCTCTCCAGGAGGAGAGCCAGCAAGGTCTGACAAAGGACGGTAAAGTGGTTGAAGTTCTATATAACGACCATTAGGGCAAATCCACTGCACGCAAAGCACCTTTACCTGTTGGCTCATTTCAAATTAGTGCAAATTCACCCCAGGGATACCAGGAACTTAGCACTTCGTCACAGCGCCCGGCTGTTTCTAATTAAAGATAGAGCATTAATAAAATATGACACAGAAGCCAGCTATTATCGTCGGAGTTACACGATCTTGTTATAGTGCCTTAACCCAGTTGTTCTAGACATATCTGCGTCACATTCCACACAATGCTAAGAAAGACCTTGACTTGTACCGTCTGATCGCCAATGCCGGATAGCCCTGGACCAGAGATCCACACAATTGAATACTGGGTAAGGGCAGTCATTAGAGTAATTTTTTTTCAACTTGTGAAAAAGCGCTTCTTCTACCCGGAACACAAGACCCGCGAGGGACTCAAGTACTTCTATTTGATTCATGGACTTGCGCTAGTTCCGTTGCGAGTTCGCTATCCAGGAGGTATCCAGATAGAATGCCAGCACATCAAAGCAAGTGCAACAAGAGGCACTCGTTATACAACGCCATTTTCACAGCAAACAGCCAATGGGTGGTAATCGCAGAATAAATTCAATTCCTAGCTAACATTCTTCTCTGGTATGGTCATGCCCTCATATTGCGGCGGGCTGATTGTCTCTCAGCGATCAGGGACCACATCCTGCAGTCATTTCTAAAACACCAAAACTAGACACATGTTGAGGTGTGACACCATACATGCCGTCTCCAGCCGTGCAGCCTGAGTCGCGTTCTCCCTCGCATTTGACGGTGGTCACCGCTGCTCCAGATGAGTAATATTCCTAGCGGTACAAAGAGTCAGCGTCCGGGCAACAATAAAAACATCGTCATGAGAAAGACTATAAAGACAGAAATAGCATTGTAGGAAGAGAAAAAGTATATCGGGGAAACTCACGATGCCAAAGTGGTGGAAGCCCTGCGGAGACACATACATGTTCTAAAGACAAATGTTAGCTTCCAACACGCTTTGGGGACTTATGAGCGTCGTTTAAAACATACAGGAACCCCGTCACCCTGGTTGTTGCCACGCATGATAGTTCCCAGTTGTGAGCTCCCAAAGTCGGCGAATTCTTTATTTCCGATCGGGAAGGCAGCCAGGGCAATACTGGTGAGAGGCTTCCCCGGAAAGTTTTGTGCAAGCGCTATATAGCTAAGGTAAGTCAAGGAGCCCCCAAGTGAGTGACCAGCGGACTCCAGAGTGTAATCTGGGTACTGTTTGATGAGTCGTTTGACTTCAGTTATGACCTCGTCGTGCACAGCAGCCCAAGGAATGTTAATGCCGGCCATAATCTTTGCTTCCGAAGGGAAGGTCACGCCCGATAGCTTTGGGGTCACCAATGCCGTACTAAGATCATTAAAGAAATCGGTGGCTATTATAGTTAGCCCAAGCTTACATGTCAAAAGATTAGAAAGGCAGGTGGATACTTACGAGACGTTGAGCCCCTCATGACAACAGTAATTGTCTTCTTCTCGCTGGAATATCCGATGTATCCCTATCTAGCCATTAATGTGTGTTCCTTTTCTTGGGCTCAGAGCTTTAATCACACCTGCGTATCTGTCACAAGGTTGTTGATTTGTTTCGTGATAGTGACATCGAATGCGCTACCAGTACAACCACTGTAGGCCGCGGAAGAAAGGAGCGCTGCCCGGTGAAGCGTTGGAAAAGCAAAGGGGTCTAGTATCAAGTTAGTATTTGATTCCTTCTATAGCCTGTTCACCATAGTACCCGGAATGGCACGAGAGTGGAGCGTTGGGACCGCGGAGGCCAACCCAACACATGCAAGAGTCGCGATAGAGGTAACGAGTGTGGCAAACCCCATTTTGCTGTCAAATAAAGATAGTTGAAACGATAAAATGAGCGAGTGATCTAACGAGAGGATGATTCGGTGAGTCTACAGCAGCCCTAGGGCATTCTTGAGGTGCTTTTATATATTTTCAACTGGTGTAAGGTCTGGGACTTTTACTCCCATACAACAAGCTGTACTTGCTGAATATCTACATTTGCCGACATATGATACGGGAAGGGCCGGAGTATAGTAAATTACTCTCGAATTGCTCAGGAGCAGACAGTGCTTGTCGTGAGAGCAGGTGTGCCTTGTTACTATGAAACCTTAGCGGGGGGGTCAAAGAATACTCCCAGCTCTAGTAATTCCAAACTAGGCCAGGAACCTCTCAACAAGCTTTAGGATCGGGTCTGAGATAGACTACCTATCCAACTAGAGGATCAACATCCTTGTAGGATCGGGTTTTTTCACATGGCTTGATTCACGTTGATATTACTGGAAGACCTCGGCAGGATTGAGAACATATAGAAACCGTCATCCAGCTAAATCTCACGGGCTTGTGGCTCGGACCCCCCCAGGGAAAACGAAAAGTAAAACAAATTAACTGAATAGTACATTCTCGCAGGTCGAGACTACGGGGCAAAGGATCGGAGATATTTAATTATTTTTTTTTTGTGTGGATTGTGACAACGAATGCAACACGAGTGTGTTCCGATCAGCATATTTGTGGAGATACAATCTTTAGGGATGGAGCGAAAGAATCGCTAACTACTGAACCGCGGTTTGAAGCTGACGGCCATGGAGAAGGTTGGGGTACGATCGCCCAGGAACCACGGCGGCTGATCTTAATCAAATTAAAGTTTATAACAAGAAGGGTGATCGACCTTTGATCCCGTTATTTCGTTAACCAAATACCGAGGGTAAAAGAAACAACATCATTCGGTAGCGTATGAGGAATGGTCAGATTGTTACACTCAGTCTTCGTTCAAGAGCCCTACGACTAAGTAGCTGTCTTTCGTAGCGAGGGTAAAGCCTGGTTGCAAGCGATATCTACAATACAAGGTTCAAGACCTGTTAATCAGGTAAAGATATATATGCGCCAGAGGAAAGCATCGTGTTTATCCCTGTCATGGCGGTTGCGATTGGGAGCTTGTCTGTGTTCTCTTCACGCGTCCACCCCACGTTTCCGGAGAAAAAACGATTATGTTGTAAGCTGATGGGCTGTCTGGCTTATTTGACGTAACTGTTGTCGGAGGCAGGGGGAACTAGAGTATCCGGGTTCAGACGATCATAAGCGTATGTGCCTGGGCCAGGGACTGTGGAGCCGAGGTTTACACGGATGGGTTGGGGATTGGCAGTGTCCTTGAAGAGAATTGGAGACCAATATCCGCAGTCGCACACTGACCTAGGGCGAGCCCCTATGATGACTTCGGAACGTGCGCATATTGGAAGCCTTGGCCTCCATCTGGGACAATACCGAGCAGCGACCAGCTACTACAGAGGGGAGCGCCTGCATTAGGCCCCTCGTTGCCAGCTGGACCAGCCAATCCATAACACCCTGTGGATGCTGGAAGAGAGGTTACCTCTCACAAGTATCTCGTAAGCGCTAAATAGTTAAACCACACTTAAGGATACCTGAGTGACGATGCATGATGTGACAATGGACTAAGAGGCAGATTAGATTGACTATAGCAAGAAATCTGTCCTAGATAGTTGCATGTCATGTTGGAATTTGAGATATAGTGCCCTGATTTAACGATTTAGATCACAATTTCCACACTACCCTCCCAGCAATCAACCACTGGTCATCATGAGCCCCGGCCTACAACGTGAACAATGTGATGTACAGTGTGAAGATAGAAACTTAGTCTTCCACCTTCGTACTGGTCCGCAAAAGCTTAGATTGACCTATTTTTTAGCGCTCGTAAATTTGAAAGAAGACAGTACTGATGTAGACACTACTGCTATATCCTGGTTGTGCTAATTAGATACGAATCAGATTATTCTATTACACCTGTGGAGCTACACTCTCGCCCCTGCGGGGAATTATCATTATCAATGAAACAAGACTAGGAAGCTGAGGAGCTGAGGGTGAAAGGGGGATGAGGGGCACGTATTACTAGTAGACTGCTGGTGAGCGGCCATCCTTTTGACATGCTGCCGCACGGATATCAGCGCCTTTTCACCAACTTGCACTTTCTGCGAACTTAATTGCGAGAATTTGCTTCCCATCCTCTCCATTGGTCCTGCAACTTTGTACACGCTGAGAAGGTCGATTCAAAAATTGACTGGACACCCAGCTGCTGAGCATCCATGAATCCTTGGTGATATGACGAACTGTGGCAAAAGCCATAAAGATATCATCTGCACCCCAAGCTCTCAATAGTTTGGACTGGACAATCCTCGTAGACGAAGGTGTGATTAGAATCACATCCCTCCGGTCTTTCAGTGCATCCTAATTCAGAGTCACAATAATAAATGCTCGAGTCGCGAAACACTATCGTACTAAAGCAAAATCTCTATGATACCCTTGCACATTGATGAGAAGATCGGTCAAATGCAATATTCAGCCAGGAAGATAAGCCAGGGTAGCCCACTAGTTCAAGTATTATCCCACCACATCAATGAGGACGAATGATAATAATGTATACTGTTAGCTATGACTTGCTTGAGATTACCGAGTGTATTTGGAAGCTTCCTGGCTACCTTAACACGATAAGAGTATCAGTACAATATCACTTGGTAAACTCATCTATTACTTGGACATACTAATAGGCCTGTTCCAGATGAGGCCATCCGAGTTTACTAGGACTGCCCAAAAAGAATTATGACTAGTCAATGCTGTCTCTAGCTCTAATGACTTGTGCATATATTTCTAAATTCCTGGACTGGGGCGCTGCTTTGGCCTGTTTCTCTTGTTCATTGAGCCCGACCTGCTTACCAGGCAAAGGTGATGGAAAAACTCGAAGGTCCTAATAGGGGGAAGTTTATGTTGATTGTTTGTTTCTACATCTGAGGTTCTACCTAGGTAACTATCTAACAAAAACGCACAGACTCTAGGGCTATTTAGGAAGGCTGTGCTAACAGAAAATATCCGTCGTGGGATCTTCGATTACAATTACCGAAGTCATGATGATATCTCAGCCTTTTATTGTCTACTTTGAAATAATAGTGAGCCAGATTATCTGATCAATAACATATTCAGCGATGATGCTATGACAGTCTTGTACCAGTATTCCAAGTACTCCTACGAACCGAAGGCTATATATGGAGGGAAGTAATTTGGATTTGGCCACTAGCTGGACATGTGTTTCTAAGAGCTGAGAAGCTATCCTTGCCCCCCTTTTATCCCTTTGCCCTTACCCTCTGTTTGTATTATTCCTTCATTTTTTATTTTTATTTTTATTTTATAAAGAAAATAAAGTGGTAGATGCTAGGACGCTGATCATAGGTAGATATTATGGATTATCATAACTATAAAAGTTGACCTGCCTCCGAGTATGTTGAGATATCCATTATGTAGATGTCTCGGTCACCCAGACCATGTTTGGCTTGACCTCCATTGCGATTTCCAATATCTAGTAGAGGATGAAAATGGCGTTACTGTACTTTTTGAGTTCTTAATTCTGTGGGAGACAGATATGCTGCGTCACCCAGTTTTCTCACTGCGTTAGGTTAGTCCTGCTGTCCCCGTCCTCCAGGAGGGGCGGCTGCATACATAGAAGGTGATTATTGAAATTGTACGATTGATTAAAAAGACAAATGCGTTTAGGGATTGGCTTTTAATTATCCCAGTCTGCCATCACGCCCTGCGGACCACGGTGTGCCGTTATCATTTAAGCATGACGACTCCAATTTTGTGTTTGGCGGGGAGGACAATGACCCGTCCGCATATATGGAACACGGACTCACCCGGCTTTTGAGGTCGACTCTAGAGAGCTAAGACATTGTATTACTAATGAAATAAATTGAGTTTACCCAAATATTAGAATATCAGGGGTTTATTTGTATAGACAATAAAAGTGCATGAACCAAGTTTAGTTAGCAGTGGCTCTGCTGGAATTTACCAGGAGATTTAAAACCTAAACTCATGCGGCCAAATCATTCGATAGGAAACGGTTATTCTGGATTCTACCTTGTCCAGGGAGAGAGGCTCTCAATAAATATTACCGGAATAAGCAGATCTAGGCAATGGATACCTATTTAATCCCTACTGTCGGCCCCCTTTCGTTCTTTATAATTTGTTTAGTGCCTAAACCTCTTTTGTGTATCACTTGCACTACTGCGGGCATTTTTCTGTGCTCTTGCTTTTTTAACCCAGATATTCGCCCACATGGCCGCAACCGCCAACGATTTCAAGTTAGCTGGAGTTGCCGCTGGCTTCACGTTAGGGTTTGGATTTCTGACAGTCTGGAATGCCATAAAACTGACTCGGGCTCACCCAACGCCATATAAAAGTCCATTTTTTATTATGGTATGGGGAGAGATTTTTGTTAATCTAGCAATTGGCATTATTGGATGGCTATTCCTAGAGCGAGTCATCCCAGCAGGGTAAGTAGCACTCTTACTATGTTCCTATCCGATGTTTAACATGTTCGGTATTATACGCGCTAACTTCGCTATTCTCTACAGGATTCCTGTTTTCTTTACAATCCTCTTCTTGTGGGCCTTTGAGATTCACTTTCTCATGCAAATTCTCGTAAATCGAGTTAAGATTGTGGCACCAAAGAAAAGCAGAGTACTGGCGGTCAGATGGTGGACGGCTGGGATCATTACCCTGATTAATATTGCGGTCTTCTGCATCTGGATTCCAGCGCATCTAGATCCGCCTCCTTCCCAAATGTATGTGACGGTGAACAAATATTGGGACCGTATCTCGAAGATTTTGATCTTGCTCGTGGATGCCGCTTTGAATATCTGGTTTACACAAAATGTGAAAAGACGGCTGATTAAACAACACGGCCTGTCCAAATACGTATCTTTGTTTCAATTCAACGCTCGTTTGATAGTATTGTCCGTTTGCTTGGACGTGAGTGATCTGTGGGTGGAATTGGTAGCTATCATTTACTGACATGGATAGGGCCTCCTCATCGGACTCATGTCACTCCCTAACCCGCTTGTCTATATCCAGTTCCATCCGGTAGTATATATGGCAAAGCTCAACATCGAGCTCTCATTGTCAGAGCTCTTGAAGGATACTGCACGGTTTCCTGTTGTTGGAAATGCAGTACTCACCAGCAACCGAGGGGCGCCTCAGTTCTGGTGCTCTGTGCTGCCCACCGATGGGTATGCTCTACAAGATCGGAAGCACACGGGCTCTGAAACCCAGATGCCTCACATGGATTACCAGCCGTACACTGAGGGTCGCATTCTCAAAACAACGGATGTCCAGGTGGTTGTTGAATGAATAGTATGTCCGCTCGATTCATTTTATGTTCCTACTACTCCAACAATTTTAAAATTTACCTTTCTTGTTCTGCAAGTAAATGAGAAGGCCAGGGGCACGGGTATCGTTGTTAGACTACGTCGGCGCCATCGGTGTTATGGAAATGGATCTAAATTATACCTGGCTTATCTGAATGCATAGTACAGTTTCCACATTTCACTTGTCCGTAGTTGGACCGAATTTGCCTGTTCCAACAGCAAGGCTCTCTCCGGATGCTGAGTCAGACAACGACCCTTGGTCTAGAAGACAAGACAAGCCCGGGCGGTGGACTCCAAATACCATTCGAGAGACCCCAACCTCAGCTTTCATTCCTCCATCTTACCCCAATGTTTAAGTTCAGAAGTGGGGAGTTACATAAGGGCTGAACTTAGGGAACGAGAGAATCCGGCTGACCGGAGGCACGACTATTTGCTTATCCTAAGACACGTCTACGGTGTTCTATTGATAATTTGATCGTTAAACGTGATCTGCAAGACTTCCTTTGCCCTTTTTCCGTCCATTTATCCCTTCAGCCAGTTCCCCTCAACGCCATTGCCTTCCTTCCTTCCCCACAGCTACTATGACCACACCGGCCACGAATAGCCACTAGCCGGCTTTACATTTTCCATACTCGGGCTGTTGTCTCCTGTCTGCCAATCCACTACAGGTAGCATTTTGGACGTGGTCAGGACCCTCCATGTCTCATCCTTCGTGGGATTCCCATAATTCCGAAGAAGCTCTGTTCTCCTGTCCGTTACTGTAGCAACTTCTGGTATTAGTGTTTGCCCTGTCCATCTTAGCGTTAATTGAGCAAGTTGACATAGCTCTTTCTGGATGCTGTCTACGAAGTAGCTTTAGCTTTCTATAATGCGGACGATAGTTACAAGGTTGTGCTTTACCTATCTAACCCAGACTGGGGTAGGGATGCGCACTACTGGCTTTCTGTGATAGTACGAACCTCCCCAGAAGTGCTCGGAACCCTGAGATGGAGATAGATATCCACAGAAACTAGAAGTCTGCCGTGCCCAGCCTCGGTATTTGCTATTGGCAATGATCCTTCTGCATGTGCAGCGAACGGGTCGCATACCCACTATTGCTCTTGTATCTTCATACATAAGTCACATTCTGACGAGGATCATTGAGGATTTATTTACCTGGTGGGTCAGGCGCTATGTAGGTGCTCCGCTACATCTACCAGTTTGTCGGCGATAGAACGGGCTATTTTAGGATACTAGGTGCGGTATCTTATCTAAGGTACTATAATCGGGTAAGTCGATGGCTTGGAGTTGAATGGCAGAATCCTTTACTGAGCACCCTGAAACTATCCGTGGGGCTTGGGCTGGAAAACCCCAGTACTCGTATAGCTTAGCCTCTAACAGCACAAATTAAGCATTTTGTCCCATAAACGAGCAGTTTGGAGGATCTACGGTGACCGTATCTCGATACCAACACTAAGCGTCCTCAGAAGATCAGGTCGCCTTCATTTCGCCTACCGCGGAACTTGATTCCATGGTTGTAAACCCTTGCTAGACTAGAATACGTTCGACACTCCCTGTCCCTCTCTGTCACTATTTGTTCGACACCGGCCTCGACGGTAACCAGCCGGTAATCATCTCCAAGTTCCTTGAAATTCCGCCATGTATATTACACTGAACAAATCTATAAAATCTTGCGTATTGCTCATTTCAATCCGCCCTGCCTACACTATCCTCGCCAGACGTATTTAGCTCTCATTATCACTTATGACATATGAACCTACGCTCATCTAGATGTGACAAGCAGAATCGCACATGATACCTGAGGGACTGAGTCATGCTGAAGGAAATGCACATTCCACTTATTTTCCAGTGAAATAAATCTTCATATATTAGACCCGCCGCGGAGAACCCCTTGCAATGGGTAAGCGTTCATCCGCCCCGGTATTTAAGGTTTCCCCTATTTGATACGTCGCTTTTCACTTCCGTTGGGGGTCGAAGGTTGAGCGATTCGATACAGAACATCCAAGGTACCTCAAAGTAGCCTGATTGGTCCACAGCGTCAAGAAACCATGGATCAGCGGGAATTGAAAGCAAACACGAGACCCAACCCAATCACACAGCAGCACATCATTTCCTCATAAAGTAATCAGTTGTAATTATTTGTAAAGACACAAACTTGACTTGACCTCTCTGGTGCAAAGAGAGCAACTGCACTTGACACATCTACAATACACAACACATTGCATGATATTTCTTCATATTTCTTTTCGAAATAGAGAAAGAAGGAAAACCAAATCACAGAAAGGTGACATAAGGGCATAAAGAGACACAGCATAGCTCTTGCTTAATTTAACGGAGTTACATTATACATCTAGTTGAAATCTATCATAGTTACTATGGGTAGTCTGGACGCTCACTACCACAAGAGGGTACGATCCCAGTATCCAGTCACGGCTGCATCCATCATTAAGTTACTGTTCTGGTCCCATATTACAGACCACGTCCCACTCTCAAAAGGTCGATAGACAAGCTTCTGGAACGTGCATGCCACTATGCCCTATGCGATCTCCGTAATTCCCGAAATGTCATAGGAGACACTATAGGCTGGCCCCACCACTGTCGCTCAAATTTGAGATGGGACCATGTGTGAGTGCACAGAGGGAAACTCAATCTTATCGGCAATCCCACCGACAATTCGCACTGAGCCATGCATGGACCTAAAACCACTCTGTTGATGTGACACTTAATTTGTATATGACCGTTGTGATTGACCAAGAGATTTACTATGTGTTACAAGGCTTTATAGGCAGACAGGCTTTGGGAGCTACAGACAAGCTGGACAGGCAAATAGTCATGAAAACATGGCCAGAACAGTATAGGTCACTGGTATATTAGTGGTATTTCAAGCGGCGGTACAAAGACAACGCCATCGCTGACCACTATGAGGCAAGCCTTGGTGGCGGACAAGAGTTTAATATGGATCTAGAACCCTGCACAAATCTTCCCCGATGCTGCTGTTCATCGTCGCTGGGGCTCGTGATCAAATTCGGACACTGGGTCATGATAGAGGTCCACTGGTCTTTTGTAAGTAGCTTGTTGCAGAATTCTACTAAGCTGAACAACCCCCTTTTTCACAGTCCTGCCCTAGGGCTGCGTAGATTTCGTTTTGTACACTACGCGGAGTATGTTTGTCTATCGCAGAAATTTAATAATGAAAAATATTATAAAATGATGGTAAATCCCTCAATTTGGTTTTCCTATGACACTTGTTCTAGGATAAAGTTCTACAACCGGAGAATGAACCAGGGAAATGTGATCTTTATGGGACCAATGATTACGAACTAATTATATTTGAAATCCTCCAACATCCAGATTTATTTTTACCTAATGCAGAGAAATCTGCAACATCCAGTAGACCGCGGAGCCGAAAATGATCACATGATCTAAGTGATAAACGGACGGCATAGAGCGGTTTAAGGATGGTTCGTGACTTTCCTGACTGTCCCTTGTAATCTGCAAGATTTTGCTGGCCCCTACTATCCATCTTTTTGTCAGAGCATACCCCAGTGACTTTACTCTCCCCCATCTCTAATCATATAGATCGAAAATGACTGCTAACCCAATTAGCATATATAATTCGTCAAATTGATGAGCTAAGCCCTGTCTCCAAGAAACTAGTGTTAACTCCTTAAATAGTGATTCCAATTTTCATCATTTTCTGCAGATCAGCTATACCGAGTATGGCAGGACACAGTACAGCTGCATTCCTACTTTTGTGCGTATATGTATATCTCGTGAATGGAGTACCTACCCAGCTGTCACAGGTTCTTACTGGGATATGATGAAGAAAGCCTGTGGCTTTCCTTGTATGATTCTCCCAAAATACCTAGGATAATGTATATCCTGATTGCTTGCAGGGTTGGAGACGCTCGTTCAACCTGGGCAGACCCGCGATCTAAGAGATGCTAGTAAAACCTGGCCTCGGCAGTTTCGTAGGACGATGATCAACCTGGCAAAGACGTCTTCGAAATCTGTTATTCTTTACAAGTTCACCCTGGAGACCCCTTTTCATGAATACCATATATCGTACTGTACGCTTATATTTTCTTTGACTAATAGAATCTACGTAGCGCCTCACAGAGTATCAAATCATGGCTAAGCCTCTAGCTAGTGGAAGGTCCAGTTACTACAATCAGTAACGTAGACGGAATAGTATTTCTGGAACACACTGATCGACAGGGAAGCATAGGAGATTCTTCTTTCTTATCGCATACACCGTGTGAAGATCTACACTTGGCGATCGATTCCACAGGGAGTCATCTAGATTACCCCGAAAGAGGACGTCAGATTCGCAGATATGAGACATTCACCATGGTATAGGGACATTGGAGAAGCTTTGACTCCACTACTATTTGATGGTATCGTTGGAGAAACTTCTACTCTATTACGACTTTTATGATATTAACTGTTACATGTCTCCACTGAACTACAGCCTAGTTGTTTGAGGATTCTTCTCTGCGTTTTGGCCGTCAACATCTTACATATACTTTATTGCCACTCAACCGTTATCTATTATTCGTCCTACAACTAAACTCCAAACATTCCACGATAAATTACGTCGCGGCGGCTGGAATTTAGAGATGAAAAGCAGAATAAACCGAATAATCTGGGAGGCTAAGAAGTCTCAGATAGTAAGTCTATATCGGGATGAAGAATGGCCTCTGAAACAAGTCATCAAATATATAGCTGATGATGGTTTTCGCCCAAGGTGAGGGGTATAGAAACTCCTAAAGTCGAATGTTATATTAAGGATACATTCTAGTGAGTGCCAATTGCGGAGCAAGCTGAATAAATGGCGCGTCACCAAACCATCCCGTCGGGCTCGGTTCAAGAATCGTCGTCACCATGGATGTACTCAAGGGGGTATGATTGCACGATAGCTTTTATATCATATGTAAGTGTTACAGACTAACATACGCGTTAGAGCCTACAGAAGATATTCAAAATCAAGAAGCCACGGAACTGGTCAGTTCACCGAGCGCCTCATCTGCCACGACCTCGACACGAAAGGACAATTCCCTGGATGGCTGTGAGTCTTGTCCGACACACACACAGGGCCAACAAAATTACAATCCACAGAATCGGACTGGCTGTCTCTTATTTCCCGAAGGACCGTTATCTACACCAGCAGGAACCAGCATGGACAGCAGCCAGACTTGCCCTTCTACAGCCCCTGGTATAGTTGATGTGCCTGAAACAACTTTACAACCTATGTACAACCATCCACAGCTGGCAGACGGCATTACGCACCCAGTATCCATTTGCCCATCTTTGAACTACTATTGCTCTCCATACACCACTCAAGTGTGTTTTACTGAAGATGCGTTCGTAAACGGCATCTTGAATTACTCTGCAACAGTATATTGGCCCCACTACCCTGTCACCACTATGAACTAGCCAAAGATTAGCATGATAGGTGGATGGTGGAGTTATGGGCAAGTCAAAATAGCTACTAATACAGGTGCAGAGAATTAAATCGCTGCATTGAAAAACTGTCATATTTTCCTCTTAAAGAGATATATTGCAGTCAATGCCAAATTAAATACAGGCCCTGCAAAGCTTGCCGAAGGAGATGCCTATTCTTGCCTTTCTACGAATCTACTATGGTTTCCCATAGAGAATAGAAGCTTTCCACCGCCCTCCTGCGCAACTCATTGAACATTTAAACCCGAGGGATAAGTTGACAGTGTGGTCAGCAAACGGGAGGCGCTAAGCGCTTACCCCTTAACAATATTGGCTGTAGGCGTGGGCAGAGAGATTTCGTTTTTCGTACATTCTTCACCTTTTCCATAGCATCGCCTTGAAAAAGAGCTTCTATCGGTTGCATTACTCACTGGCGAAACTGCGAGAATTATATTTTGTGAAAATCAGAATATCCAGTAAAGTCGAACAGTTTAATAGAGCCCAACGATAGAGCTCATATTGGGAGGGTACCCCATATAAACTACATATATATATGTATATTGAAGATATGACCAAGACTAGGATTATATCAATCTGTTCCCTTGGTATGTCAAATAGTAATTTGGATCGAACCCTACAAGGGTAAAATAACAGATGGTCCAACTGTATGTTATTCCTGCAGTTCTGACTGGGTTTAGTTGTTTAAATAAAATTTACAGTATATACAAACACTATTCCGGAAATATTTGAGAGACTACTTGGTTAGAAGGACATATGAACTCACCATGTTCCATTATATGGCATCTGCATATTATGTCTTACCCCGAGAAGGACTATTCAATCGACTTTCTCCTTTCTTGCCCATGGTTCACCGTTCACATTCCCCCTGATACTCCTGGCAACAGTCTTGTTTTGAAATTGAGTCCAAGTCCCAGTATTACACATGCATTGGAAGGAGTACATGAAGCAGATCGTCGCGACTATGGGTCGGTGGCGATACTCTCCTCGATAGCGCAAGCGTATTCGGTTTTCTTCAAATGTAATACCCTGACCGGTGCACTGAGCCAAGCCCTTCTAACTTTCACCGAACTGCACTGATATCTACGAATCCCGCTTTAAATAGTTTATCGTTTTGAATCATGTCCCACGCAGCGGCTTTATCTAAGAGCTTCTCACCCGCCTCACTCTTACTGTCTCATGACGTGGATGGTCCCCATGTTCCAACCCTTAGTATCGAATCTGAAGTTTTTAACGGGCGTAGCGGTATGTAAATCAGTCATCATCCAATGCAGCGCTTTTCCGTAGTCGAGATGTTTTTTCTCAAGGACGTCGCAAAGACGGTACTATTCTCTACTGCCAGTTCTGCAATCACCAGCTGCAGTTGCTCATTGTGCGCGTGGAGAGTTGTATTTATTTCTTCAAGGTCGCCAATCTTGCGCCTAAGCTTGAGAAGTCGTTCCTGCTGTCGCTCACAGTAGGCCCGCTGGCTGCAAGGGGGGATTAGAAGGAGTTAGAAGCCAGGATGCACTACCTCTAGACTGTGCGAAACGTACGCTGTTATTAACTGTAGCCTTCGCCGGTCTTGGTCCGCGGCCGGCGAGACATGCTGTGCCACGGTACGACTGTTCATTGCTGCTGGTTCATCCCCGTCTTCCCTGGGTGTCACTTGCATACTAGCGCCGGTGGCCTGGGGAGCCCATTAAGAATAAGAAGAAAACGTCAATAGAACGGACCGACTTGCGACACCAGGTATTATCAAATCGAACGGACAGAGTGGGCTGGGGCGTTGGCGGGGAGGGCACTATATGATTACGCCGCCCAGTTAACTTTCCCAAAAAGAACGCTGGCTTGCCATGGATATTCGAAGGGCCAGATCGGAGTAGCCCTTCCATGGTGGCTGGGGCAAAAATCAAACCAACTCTGACCCCATTCGCCAAATCAGAGGCAGCGTTGGAGGTAGTTCTCCTCCACTTGCTGCTCTCGCAACTCGAGGCGGAAAAATGTTTCCGTCCAGTCTAAGACATCACACCAAAGCTTAATGTTCGTATTACGGAGTAGTTAATTTGTGGATACCTCTTCAAACATGGTTCAAACACGATTTGAGCACCATGCAATCGCAGTACTCATTCTCAAAACGTGCTGCACGTAGACGGGTGCACCTACATGTAATCTAAATAGTTGGGCAAAAGCCCAATGGCCTCTAGCGATACCGGACCCATGGGATACGGCACGTAACGAATTTTAGTTTTGATACCATAAAATCAATGGGTGCAAATCTTAGTTGGGTGGCTAGCTAATTAATCTACAGAGTGCCGGGCTGAACTTTCCTGGTCTCTAAGCCTTACTTAGGCAGTCGAATCCTGGACCATGATGGAGTCCCACGGTTGCTTATCTAGTATTGTGCTAAACCTGGCCGGTTCGACCAACCATTTCCTGCACAGGTCCAGTGGGTCAAGGTTCTTATATCGCACTGGGCATTGAAGGGTGGGTAAGGTTTTTGACAACCGTCCAGCGCCAGAGGGGTTCTTTTATGTGAAGTGCCTCGACGGGGCGGGTTTGAAAACCATGGACACCAAATAGACATTGCTTTTTGAGAGGATAGATTCATAGGAACACTAGTAGCATTCAGTATTACTGTAGATGATATTCTTATTTTCCAGCTCCACTAAGTCATGATCGTCGTACCGTGCTCCGAACCAGGATCGAACAGGGCACTGCCCTTCCTGCTCATGCTTCGGCTGTCATGCCCAGGAAGCAAATCAATTTATACCATCGGTCATTACTATGTGTTGAGATGAGATACATGAAAGTGATAACGTGTTACTCATAACCATCCTAGTTTGTTCTATATAATGCGACCGTATGAATCCCTGTAGTTCTTGTCGTTTGCGGAAACGTGAGGCACTGGAACTAGATTTGATAGAGCGGCCCGTCTTAGTGCGATTTTAGTAAGGGAACGATCTACCTCTATGGCCGATTGTATAATTCTAGCTTACCTCGTTCCTGGCCACGGGCTCATGGGCTCATGGAAGAGAATGTAATGTCTCTGCTCCCTGGTCTTCTGTCATCTGATAAGTTGTCGATAATTTCATGCCATGCTTGCTCGACAGACTCAGTCAGTAGAAGGACACCAGTCAGATGCAGGGTACCGTCAACAGGTCGCATCATTGAAGTATATACATCACCATTAATACGCAAAGCCATTCGTGCGACCTCGTTCCTTACGCCGGGTCAATTTGAGTCTAATAAGAATCTTGAGCCAGCGGGCTATGTGTGCTATAGCAATGCCATAAGGTTATCGGGAGAATCAGTAGCAGCAGTACTTCGGGCGTTCCACACAATCTTGATATGTGAGCGGAGGTAGCGGTGATGGACGTAATTCTGGAGGGTAGTGGTTGCGGTAGTATCACATTAGGTAAACACACGTACCTGAAGTACAAATAAGTCTTGACACCGACAGCCCGACTGGCGAGGAGGCGTGTAGTGGTGGTAAGTGAAGAGCAAGAACAGATGACCCGTGTTGCAGGAAGAAGGGAGAAGGCACCACAGTGGCACACACTGCTGTCTGATTTTTGTTTGTCGAACAGGAGGCATTGTACAATGATCATACGACTTCGCATAGCTAGCTACATACGTACTATGTATCTAGATATGAGGTTAGCAGGGAAAATTCCCAGTACCTGTTAGTTTTATATTTTGGTGCGAGAAAACAAACTACTCTTCCTAAAGGCTTCCTTATAAGGGTACCACATTGCGGATGTCTCAGAACAAGGGTTTCTCAATATGGGAAATATAGCTGTTCTACTGCACGTCTTACCTGAGAAATCATACAAAGCTAGTGAGCGGAACGAGTTAAGACTGATCAGGATAATGTAGCAGCCTGAGCCCCTCACTTTCTTTACTCGTCTCAGGAAAGCATGTTCGCGTTCTGACCAGCTTTCGTCCTCTTCGCTTTCGTTCGTTGTAGCGTCCAAGCAAGAGCTATGGAAGAGCTGTACGTGAATTTTAACCACGCAAGCTTAAAAGAACAAATTACCTTATACAGCTGACTTGGTACATTACTAGGACGACTATAACATCATACATCTGGCGTACCAAAGGTTTGCTGCACATCGATGGTGGCCTGAAATATATGGTCTTCTCCATGACTCCCGTTGTCCCGGATCGCATTTCGAGAGTTTTGGCTCGTGACTATAGTAGAGAGGGTATGTGGGCCCCCACATTCAATATCTGGTTGCCCGTGTCGAGGGGAGCTTGCATTTAGTTTGGTGTGGGAACTCTGAGTTCCATTGCTTCTAGACATACGGAAGCTGCCTGTCGACTTCCTCACAGCCTGACAGCCAGTATGGCTTATGTGACGGAACCAACGGCAAAGTGGACGGAGCGTTACCAGGCTTCCAGCGGTGATACCTAGGCCAGCTTCAACATTTGATGAGATAGCAATACCGCTTGTAGTATCTGCAGCTGGGTCAATCTTTATGCTCTCGGAATACCGTCATGGTTCGTTTTGAATAACGTACAGAGGAAATCGGCACGCTTATAGTCCTGAAGAAAGGGGATGCGGACCACAACAGCTGCACTTGCACTATACAAGCAGTTAGCACGAGAAATGCGGCATAGGGAACCAATGCCACTCATGAGCCTACACGCATCCCAAGCCAAGAATTCCCGTTAAGGCCCATTTCGACCGCCAGCTCAGTTGCAGATCTCTGAGAAGGTATATAGGGTAGAGCCCGAGAGTAAAATCGCACAGACAGGCTGTTGCACTGTAAAGGTAGGTGACATCGATGATATAAGTGGTATTAATGCAATGACCATCGCCCGTGCGTTGCCAGAACTCTTGCACCGGATGGCATTGGAGCATCAAGACAAACCAGAAGGGGACTCCAACAGCTACGGTCAGAGCCATTACCACATACGTGACTATAGAGTCACGCCGTCGAGAAGTAATTCGAAGAAGCAGCATTGCAATGGACAGCCTCGCAATCGTGACTACCCAAATGTACGCCGACTGGCCGAGCCACCACCACTGGTCCGGAACTAGAGGTGAGGAGTATTCCTTGTATTTTAGGTCGCATCACAAGACATACTAATAAGGCTGTTTGAATATCCTGAGGCCGATCAAAGTCTTTAAACTTTCTGCCGAATCCCGCCAGTGATCCAGCGATACCGCACGTTGCGAACCAGATGTTCAGGGCCTGTTCAGTCGAAAATCATCTCTTGTATGCTACGTTTCGCAGAGAAGCTATGCTACTTACCATTGCGAACACCATCAATATGTCATCCCACCCAACAGTTTTGACGAGCCTTAACCGCACGAAGCACCGTAAGGCTGTCGCCGTCAGTGAAACACAAAGGGATACTGTGGCGACCACGAAGATCGACTTTCCACGACCCTCCAATGTCATTGTAGAATGGCCACACCAGCCGACCAAATTCCGCACAAAGGTTGATTACAATAATATCCTTAGAGTGATCGCAACTCTGCCGCAGTCGGGTCAGTACATGTGCTAGGCGAGGAAATGGCACCCATACCAGGTAGTGGGGCAAAGCTAGTCGTAGGTTATATCAAAGGAGGGATGGGTATGTGCTGCGCATTCTAGCAAGTGATATGTAGCCATAGTCGCTGTTGTTGAAAAGTCTGCAGTCCAGGCGTGAAGATCCCTTCAACGGCAAGCCCCGTCGGAAGAGAGTACATGGGTGTCCGTTCCACGAAAACGTTACATTGATGTCGCATGATCCATGGAATTGGAACCACTACGATATGCCGACAGCCAGTTGGAGGACCGGCCCCACCTCTACATAGCAATTTGCGAGCCCCACAAATTAAGCTTGGTGTTTAGGTCAGATTGGCTCGTCGGTAAATAGGGTTCCGCTGAATGATGGGATGAGGAATGATATCGACGCATACAGGAAGTTTGATATTTGGAGTAGAAGTCTGTCTCCCTTCCAAGCGAGTACCACCCCAATCCAAGAAAGGCATGAATATATTAATTCCCACACAACTCTTTCGCAGTACACTTCTGCCAATCTCAAATAGTATAGTAAATCTCTGTTTCACTCCGCTCTAGACAAGGGGCTCAATGGCCTTGTTACAGAAACCATTGCTAGTTAATACGCTGGCTGTTTGCCCGACGCCTGAATGATCGATTCATGCTATTGTGGCGGGTATACGTGTCCTCTCAGGAACAAAAGCTCAGTCCATGTAGCTAATATAAGACGGCTTAGGGTTAGAATGTTGTTTTGTGGTCCAAGTTCCTTTGACTGAATACCGCGGATATTAGGGTTCTATATTAAAACATAATAATAATAGAATAGCCATTTATCACCCATTACTGCCTCTTAAAACTAAGAAAGGCCACCCCGCGCAGTTGGTAGACTGCTCAGATACGCGCTCAAGCCAGTGCAAACGGAAGGCCTCAGAGCCCCGACGCTTTTCTCAGCCTGAGAGGAATGCTAGCTGTTTCAATCATCAAAACCCTCTAGCCAGGTATCCTACAACCTTTTTTGTCTCTCCTTCGTAGATTAATATGAGCGGTACGTACAATCTAATCCCGCAGATTGAAGCTATATTGTGATTAACTCGCAGCTCCCATGATTCAGCATCACTGGTCACAATTTCCTAATATCCCACAGGAAAGGCTCGATTATTGACTGCCTCCTGCTCACCAAACATGGGCCAATATATCCGTTCATATCTTAAACTTAGGTACATATAACTATCCTCGATTTAGACGATACCATGGAACCCGGAACTCTCACCGTGATACTCAGCCGATAGTTGTAATAGACCCAACATACACGTTATAATTCCAATACTTACAAGTATCGTTGATCTGCTTGGGCGCCCACCCACTAAGAACTGCCTTGCCGCCACGAGTGACCCAGAACTTCTGAGACCCCACGCCCATGGGAACACTCGAGGTGACAATCCCCGCCGGAACATTAATGAAAACGGGCTGGTTGGAGCCACTCGTGACGATCAAAGTAGCAGGCTCCTTCAACATGGTCGCTACAAACACACTGTCGTGGAGCATGTCGACGCCGTTGGGCTTTCCTAGGGGATCTCCATTGCAAGGCGCGTTTTTCGGCGTCGGACGATACCAGTAGACGATTTCCTCTTTGTCAACGGTAGGGGACGTGGCGCCCGATTTGTAGGCTTTTATGTATGGTTTGTAAAGGTCTCGCCAGGCGTCGTGGGGCATTCCTTCCGCCCATTGGGAAGAGCCATCGTCACTGTGACGGGCGGAGTAGGGGCCGATGTAGTGGGATTCACCGTAATCTAGTCTAGGTTAGATCAGAAGAAACAATTGGGGATGGAGGAGTTACCATTCCATGATACGATCTCAACCAGCTGTGGTTGAAGTCGGAGCATCTGTTCCCATCGAAGGGTAGGGAGATCCTCGCAGATAAAGACCCAGTTTTTGCTATTGAAGTGGGTTGAGAACCACGGTGACACAGCTATGCTTGATTAACTCCACTCGGGTGAAAAAGACAGGGAAGGGGTGCTAACGAGCCATATACGTATTCCCAGCAAGTTGCTTAATGTACCGATCGTCCCAAATCGTAGTCATTGGACCTGGGATTATGCTATTCCCTCCATCGGTAGGCCAGGCATACCAAGAGAACGCACCATCAACGGATCGACTAGGATTAGTCGAAACTCCCGCAGGGTCCTGAAGGTGCGGCACTGCCCAAATTTTATGCGGCGTGCCTTGCTTGACAGGGCCCCAGTTGAAGCTGTCTCCGACAAATGTGCTCACGAGCGCGCCGCCATTATACTGCATCTGAGCTGGATGGCCGGCATATTCCTTCATATAAGCAGTGATTTTGTCTGTGTCTCCGTTACTCCAATAGGCGAAGTCGAAGGAGATAAAGACTTTGAAGCCGACCTGCTCGGCCGCTGTGTATGCTAGTGCTAGCTGGGTGGGAGTGTACTTGTCTATGCTTGCGCAGTTGAGAGCAAATGCATCGATGCCGATATCTTGAGCTGTCTTCATGTCTTCGATCCAGTCAGACAGCTGATAGTGTTCCACGATGCCGACCTGTACAACATTAGCCATGGACAATGAGGACAGTCCGCACAGCACGCACCATGAAGTGAGCAAATACATATTTGCTTTGGGATTGACGTGTTTCTAGCTCTGTAGCGGGAAGGCCCCAGACCCTCGCCAGACAAGCCACAACCAAGAGAAGAGCTTTCCAGGTCATGATTTACCAGAATGTAAACCAATTTGCTTGAATGCATTCACTCTGGATGAATCACCCTCTTCCTTATATAGAATTCTATCTTATTCCATACCCCAGAATACCCCACAAAACACAGGCACAAAAATACATCCCCTCATTCTTCTGTCATTTCACAGGTGTAACCCTTGTTCCATTCCCTTGTGGTATTTAGGTGCATCTTCTGATACCCAACAAACACATAGTGCCGTGCCTGACATAGGCAGCAACCAGTTGAGTCTTGGAAGAGACTCCTATTCTCCAGTTGTGTCCCCTGCAACCCTGTTCCGTTGCGCGTTTAATGTCCGACAGCCACGCCACGTTGGGGTTGGTTACACGGAAGATTAATGCCTCATGACCCTGCGTCTGTTCGCATGCAACACTTGGATGTCACCACGCGATCAAGAAGCAAACAAAGTGTCCATTCGAGAGTAGTTTAACTATCGCACACCAGCATGGGGAGGATCTGCATCTGCACGTACAATGTTGGACGTCAACAGTCACGCAGCAACGGCATTTTAATCATATTGCCGAACGCTAAATTAAAGGGTGTTCGATGCGTATCACCTGTTGGACTCCGCCCCACATTTCTCAACGTTCGATCGAATTTCTCTACTTTTTCTTTTTTTCTCTGTTCCCCTCATATTGTCCTCCCATGTCCTACCTCTTTTCTAGTGTTCCCGTGCCGTGTCCCAAGTGGAAGATCTCATAGGCCGCGTCGAATTATATTGAGGACAATATTCATGTATGTCCTGTGCAACAGCCAATACCATCATGATTGCACTAGTCACCGGAGACGTAGGTTTGGAGACGACTGCTCTCCCGGAAAAGTATATACGACGCCACTTACCTGTTTCCAATATTGATTTCGACAGTGCTAGGTAATCGGCTGATCTAGCTGGAGTCCTGTGAAGGGATGCAGCCAAACTCAAAACAGTATCAGATATCAGAAATGTTCAACTGTGGCCATTTAATTTTTGGTCTCGCCAATAGACATCGCCGTAATGCGTCGTTGTTGTCGGCTGATAACGGCTTCATGCGCCAACTTGCCAAAATTGGCATTCTCATTGATTATTTTCAAGAAACCTACAACGCCGATATGGCGTATGGCTATGTTGTCCTAAAGATGATACAAATGCCAGAACGACTAGAGTAGCTGTTGGCTAATTCCACCTGTCTCATACGCTGCGGCTTTGCTTTCATGAAAAGGTTGAACTACACATGCACAGATTACCATACATCGTATCTCAGCCCTCGAATTGGGATATATTTGTGATAGTATAGTATTCACATCCATTCTGCTACATAACCCCCACTGATACTATAATTACACTAGAACATATTGAAAGAATATATATTCAAGCCCATCAACCATCAATCTTGACAGTAGTACAAAGCCCAGACCTCAAGCCTAACTTGGCCATACCCTACTTGATGAGCTCTGTCCGACGTAATTAGTACGTAGCAGGTCTGATGATCTAAGAACAGTTTATCATAAAAGAGTCTTCCAGGATAAGACATTATATACCTCAATGATCAACTCACAATAAATGCTATATGTTCCCACAGCCCCGAGGACGGTCCAACTGCCACAGTGTTTGGCACTGGGGTGACATCTATCCCAGTATAGCTACTCTGTTGCCAGGCTCAGTATCGTAAGCAACTAGAACTAAAGAAGAGTTACTAGTTCCACCATACCGCTTCGCCAACTGCCTGAGGCGGGATAGGGGTCGATGTACTACCGAATGGCCATCAGCTCTTGTAGAGCCCAATGGCCTGCAGAACGTCTAGTACTATCGGTTCAGGATAATGCTAAACTGCATTAGTATAACGAAAGGCAACATTGTCTACAGCACAACCGCTGCATCGGCCGCTTCGAGTTATAATCCGCGGCCGCGACCCTAGCCTAAAAGATTTGTATATCTCGGGCAATCAGCCGAGATGCCCACTTGGATCACCATGTCGGATGCGCCTGATATATTAGTTCAATGGCAGGGCATGTTTCCTATGGGCACGTAGGTGTGTTGGGCATTGTGAATCATCTACCCCCTCATGCCTGAGCTTTTATTGATGATAAGGCTTACCCTGCTGGGAACCACGCATCCATTTGTCTTGGGTCGCTTTTCCTGTCTCACAATATCTCTTTGCCTTATCGTCTATTTGTTTATTTCTTGACCTGTACTATCTCGCATGGCCTTATCCGATGTTGTATCCGAAAACAAGGCAAGCTCAAGTCCTTATATTTCCACTGAGGATAAAGTAGCCTTGAGTTCTTATGTCTCCCGCGACGGCGAGGAGGACACGTACTTGTTAGGTCTCTAGTGATAATGAAGAGTACTCCAACGATATTCTTGCAGAAGAAATGACGCTCTGTAAATTAGAGACAGTTCATTCTATCTTTTATCCAAGGTCGGTTTTCCTAATCGCTACACCAGGAGTGCGTGAGAAATTTTTCAAATATTTATTTTTCCGGATCTAAGCGGGTTATGGATCCTTATGATACAGACCATAATGATGATGATGATTTCATTTACCCTAACCTCTCACCAAAGTTGTAACCCTGAATTGAGGTACAAGTGTGATGATTATTTTTTTAAACTAACTATGAGAGCAGGTACGGCTATTTATAGCCAAAGTAGCTGCCTTCCTACTGCTCAGCGCACCAGCTGCCTAGCAGGCTACCCCTGGTAGCCTGCTGCTTCTGGTGACCTGCTACTTCTCATATGGTGTATCATATGGTCACGTCATCTTGGGATCCAACATAGAGAGGGTATGAGTTCACCACCACCACCGTCTGTACGTATATATGTCTATATCACAATAACCGAATTTTCTTTAGACACTGGAGAATAATTGCTGATCATGATTGATATGGATCTATATGAGACACGTGATCGCCTAGCGGCTTGGCCGGATCACCAACTCTTCAGCCCCTGAAGGCTTTACCCATCAGATGAAAAAAAAAAAAAAAAAAGCGCTCAAGATAGTTGATATATTCGTCCATAGAATTGAGTATTGATATGTGTTATGAATCTATACGAGACCACGTGATCCTAGTGGCTTGGCCGGATCACCAACTTCAGCCCCTGAAGGCTTTACCTAAGAACAGAGGAGAAGAAGCGGTCAAGATAGTTGATATAGTCGTCCATAGAATTGAGATCTATCGGAACGGCATCCGGTCCTCAGTAGGCTACGTACGTGTAGCCGATACAGCCTCATCCTGCCCATCTTTCCCCTGAGATCACAACAGAACTAGATAGTTTAGAATGTATAAAGAGAGTGTACCAATCGAACTGAGAGGAGGTGGAAAAATCCAGCACAGTTCTTTTGGGTCATCAGTTTAAGTGACCTGTTGCTATGGGTGTGCTAGAAAAAGCAAACATGCGGCTCAATTGTTTTCCCGACCAATTGTTCACACTCTGTCAGCCAAAGCCGTATCTGTATCTCGCCTGAGTTGCCGCCATATTGTCTTTTACGATCGAATAAACCTGCCCAACGTTTAACACCCTAAGCACCCTTGTGGAGCAAAAAACAAGGTCTACCATAATGTGGCTCGTCAACGCTGAAACTATTCGCCTTGAACGGTTCATTGATGAGCGACATGCCCCCAATTACGCTATCGTCTCCCACACTTGGGGCCCGCAGAATGAGGAGATTACTTTTGACGATATGAAAATCTGGTCAGCTAGCACACCGCCGGAAGGGTCAAAGCTCACTGGTTGGGAAAAGTTAAGAAATGCTTGTGTGAAGGCGCTAGTTGAGGACTACAATTACATATGGGTTGATACTTGCTGTATCGACAAGTCAAGCAGTGCTGAGCTTCAGGAGGCGATCGGCTCAATGTTTTCCTATTACGCCACATCAAGCATATGCTTTGCCTATCTTGCTGATGTCCAGAATTGTGGCCTTAATGGCGAGCAGGGTCATGAATTTCGGAAGGCGCGGTGGTTCACCCGAGGCTGGACGTTACAAGAACTTCTGGCTCCAGAGTCGCTTATATTTTTCAACGCGGCATGGGATCGTATAGCGGAAAGATCAAAGATACCGGGACTCATTGAGGAAGTTACGGGAATTTCAGGCTATTTTCTTGATGGGTACTCTCCTGGAAACCGGTTCTGGAATCGGGTCAGCGTGAGCGAACGGATGTCATGGGCGGCAAAAAGGGAAACAACCAGGCGTGAAGATATGGCATACTGCCTGCTAGGCTTATTCAACGTGTCCATGCCATTGCTATACGGTGAGGGGGATAGAGCCTTTCTGAGACTACAGGAGGAGATCCTGAAATCTCACGACGATGTGTCCCTATTTTACTGGGGCTTCCAGTATTTTTCAGGATATGATGACTTTGATTTCGCCACTGCATGCCAGAATGGCAGGTTTTCTGAATCAGACGTTTCATATGCTCCAATTATGGCCCCACACGTTAAATATTTTCGCAATCTAACATACCTTGGTTCGTGGACGACACCAATGGATCACTTTAAAGCACCTTCCTTCGCTATGGGCCAGAGAGGCCTAACGGCGCACCTACCCCTTTGGGCTGACCCGAGTCACGAATGTCTTGTTTACGGTATACTAAGTTGGGACAAGACCAAGAACAAGGCTATAGCACTGCCATTGATATCCGCTAGAGCTTGCTCAATTTCACCTGGGCGAGTCGTGGATGACGAATACTTGCGGCCAATCTGGTGCCGACCGATCTTTATACCTCAATCATTTGCGGTAAAAGCATCCTATGGAGAAATCCTTATCCGACGTACCTCTCCATGGTCAGAGCCTTTCTGCCATCTCCCATTTGGACTAGGCATACGCAGCCCAGAAACTATTACACTGAAAGGGGCTTATCCTCCCAGTCCTGTGGAGAATTTTGTACCGCTCTGTAGATCACCACAGCAGCGTCTGAAGACCTTCGAAATTCAAGTAAATGGAGACTCTGTAGGCGGCCATTTAACTGGTTTTAACATACAGGAGGGAAGACGAATGTTCATCATTAATGTTGATACAACCACTAGGATTGTTCCGCTCCTACTTGTTATGGACTATCATATGGAACCATATTTCCGTCCCCGTTTGCGTAGACGGGATGCTCCCCGCAATTACCCTGGGGTGTTCAGCAAGTGCACTTTAGACTGTTATGTCTTTGTCTTGCCATCGCGCCATTTCTCAATAGCAGAAATGCTTGATTTGAAAACCGGGAAAGGCTGGGACCAATTGAAAGAGCTCCTCCATATACCTCACGAAGGTCACAGTTACTATTGTTTGGATGACTTGAACGACGAGTTTCTGGAAATTCACATTAATCCTTGCTCCGCAATGCACACAGCATCCTCCATCGTCGTGAGCCTGGTTGCCAGAACACCGGTTACCAGTAAAGGAGAGTCTCAAAGGTCCAGTAACCCTGAGCGACAGCCTTGGCGATTCCTTCATCATCCAGGTTATTTGAGTCATGTGTGGCGTGGAAGTTGGGAAGACTATTTCAATACCTGCCCTGTCCGTGAGAAAGAATCGGTTCGCGATATAATCAAAAAAGATCATGCGAAGAAGCGAGTGTTCAACGACTTAGGCCTCGTTCAAGGGCCTACAATCCTACGGACCTGGTTCGATTTTATCCTACAATTTGTTATGCATCGCTCCTAACTGGTCCAGCGGTCCTAATCGACAAGCCCTGGTCGAAGTTATGTTGTACAATTACCTGACTATCTCAGGTGCTGATCTAAGACCTAGTCTTTAACTTCAAATACTACCTCCTCGCTGGTTTGCAGCATATAATATCCGTCGCTATCCGAAGCGATGATAGAGGTGGGAACGCAGTTGTTGGATATTCGATGCTTGGGTTCTGGAATATTTTCGGCTTCCCGCATCTCATATTGAGCAGCTAGCTCATTCCAAGTTATTTCCTCGGGTCTAGGGTAGTACGAGTCCTAAAGTCCGTTAATATCACCATCATGATTCGGTGGCCAAAAGAAGAATTGCCTACCAACTCATCGCGTGAGGGATGCCACTGACTGTCGGAGTTGAAGTTGAAGACTTGACCATTGTGCTGCAGGCGAATGACCAGGGTAATGTCCGCTTCACACAAGTTACAGTACTCGAAAGCCTTTAAAAACAGGTTGTTCTTTCGTCGAATACGTTGGCATTTGGATCGTCTGTTATTGGATCTCCGTGTCGAATGTTTCTCTTCTTTGCCGCCATTATAACGGTCGGGTGCACGTAAATTTTGTCGAGATCTAGGACAGCAGGGCCTGAAAAGGTTGAGGATTATCTGCTCGACTAAACTAGGAACATGTCGGATACTTACTCCTGGATTTTCTTTAGAAAATTACCTATAACTAAAGCTTCACATGGGTCCGCCTGAGATATGGAAACACTATATCCCGCAGCCGGTTTGGCGTGCAGGGATACTAGCTGAAGCCATTCAGCTCCTGAGCCTTTAGATAGGGCCAACCGAGCCGCGCGGTCGATAGTAGGCAGAAGGTCCTCTTGGTAGTTATAGATCTTAAGTATTATTGGAAATATAACATAAGTGCTACAAATGAGCCTTAACTTGTATGCGTTTACAGTACTCCGTAGCCAAACTGCCATCCAGATCCTATTGAATCCCCCATATATTTGACGTCATAGGTCCGAACCCCCTCAATTCATTCTGATATCATCGTGCTGATCCCCTCACATATATAGCAGTGCTTAGCTATCCATTTTGTAATTTCACCCGTATTTTCACTACTTTAGCCTTCCACAGTCACCATGGTTCGCATCTTCATAACCGGCTCCAGCGACGGCATCGGTCTCGCGGCAGCCAAACTCCTTGCCGACCAGGGCCACTCGGTCGTGCTCCATGCCCGTAACGCCGACCGTGCCGCATCCACCCGAGAGGCCGTCCCCAACGCCTCAAACGTATTAATCGGCGATTTACGCTCAATCTCCGCTACGAAGAAACTAGCCTCAGAAGCCAACGCCTTAGACCCCAAGCCATTCGATGTGATCATCCACAACGCAGGAATCGGGTACGGCGGCACGTCCAGCCGCGAAATCACATCCGACAAGATCTCCGCCGTGTTCTCTGTCAACACCCTCGCACCCTACATACTCACCTGCTTGATGCACAAGCCCACCTCCCGGCTTCTGTTTATGAGCTCGGATAGTCACTACGGCGGCGACGAGAGCTTGCGTAACGTAACGCAGAGTCACTCGTACAGCGATAGCAAATTACACGATGTGATGTTGGCTAATGCGTTTTCGAGGCGGTGGGGGAATGAGATTCAGGTGGTCAGTATGCACCCTGGATGGGTGAGGACTAAGATGGGAGGGAGTATGGCGCCCGGAGGAACTAGTACACCGGCTAAGGCGCTGGCAGAATGGGCGGCCGGGAGGGGCCCTCTAGCTGCGTTGACGAGCGGGGCATTCTTTACCACAAGTGGGGAAGATTCGACACACCCTGGGGCAGGGAGTGTGAATAAGCAGGAGGAGCTGTTGAATATCTGCAAGGATGTTTCTGGGGTGTCGGTTCCGGGGGAATAACGTGGTGTGTCAGACAGTCAGTGCGTCGGGAGTTCTACGTGCATTGCCCTGCCATGATCATCTTGTTAATATGACATTCTATTTCCATAAATAGCTTGTAGGCTTATGTGTACTGGAATCTTACCTGTCACTATATAGACTATCCTTTCCACTTAGTGCTTCCCTCTCGCCGAGGAGCACCTTGAGGCGAACCCTGAGCAGGAGGTGAGTAGGGTAGGTAGGCTTGAGGAAGGTATCCTCGATAGAATTGCACAACGCTAAAGTTTCATCCGATATTCAGCTCGTCGGCTGCCGAACCTTTTCCGCCTCTAAGATGTATTTGTAAACTTAGAAATCGGGTAAATCCGGGTCTCGAACTAATAAACGATCACACACATCATACCTTCCCACCAGAAATACAATATAGAACGGGAATTCGCCGCTGGCCAGCTGGCTTTTGAGTCATGGGGACACGTTACCCGTATATCCTTTCTCTTTGCCGAACTGCGTGCATTTAATGGAGATTCAGTCGACCCGGGAACGTTGTGTAGGGGTCAGTTAGTGGTTGGTAATTTAGGTCGGCAAAAATACTGGTTCTAATAAATAGACAATCCGCCTGGGCCGTGAATCATTACAGGGTTCATCATTCCACTAGTATTTCTAGTAGGTCAGATACTTCTGGATGGGTCTTCCTAGCCCTAACCCAACCCAGAATGGTGTATCGGAGCAGTAACTTTCTAGTCTGAAGACGATGTACTGCACAATAGTCAGGGTAATCCCATATTCGGGCTGGGTCCTCCCCATAACAGGGAAAAAGAAATGATAGGTGCTAACCACTGGTGAAGGATTACCCGACCCAGGAGGGTCAGGCCCTAGTCCCTGACGCAGCCACAGGGCGAGAACCCCAAAAAATCAAACCATCTTGATTTCCTGAATAGGTTAAAAGCTCAATACCAACATACCACTCTGGGATGGCCTCTGGAATAATTACACGAAACGCTCAACCGCGGCCCTTGGAAGTCATCAGTCTCAACATGTCAAGAATCTCCGGGCCTTCTACAGCTGAGCCGCGCATACAGGAGCCACCACGCTGCAGTGATTTACATACGCACAAATACACAAAGAGACAATATATCAATCAATTAGTAATTAATTCTATGTTAGAATGCCAATTTTGGGGGTTTTTAAGTGGATCCCTTTTCATCAGTCAGGAGAGGTTGCTTGCTTGCCTACCAAATACGCTGTTGTGTGTCTATAATTTCTTCATCTAAAATTTCTCTATATTTACATACTTGGATATCTGAATTACATCATAATATTAACAAGAAGTCTACTACACGCCTTGTATTCTTATATAACATTCACAAATATTATATTATACTGTACTTTATTGTAGGATAATCCTTCTAAGAAATTGGGGAGTGCTGATATCACCCTTCCTTAATTTACATGGCTGAACTTTTCCGATAGTTAAGAATTATTCCACATTAAGCTAGATACTTTTCTACTACTTCTATTCCTACTGGTACAAAACCCACTTTCCATTCCATATAATCGGAACCATGTTATATCGTGCCCTATGCCAAGGGTTCTCCCTGTGTCTGCTAATATATTAAGACCATGTACCTAGCTAGGTGGCCAAACACAGGGTTAAGATATACACAGTACTAATCTAAATTCACCTCTCTTCACTGCCATTTATATAAATAATATCAGAATGGGTCTTAGGCTTTTTCTAGTCCTGGGACTGCTCCTATAACTGCTCTCTGTCCAGAGACTATATACACGCCAGAGCGTTACCTGCGAGTTCAGTGTGGCTGCCGCCCACAATAGACAAACGTGCGACTCTTTCACCACAATGTAGGATATTAATCCATTCAAATTTCTATTGTTAAACCCTGGCCTTGACTGCTCCAGTCTTTCCAGTGATTATCTCTACTGTCTGAAGGGGAGTGTCTTGTCAGTCTCGCCTACATCTATGGAAATGACCTTGTCTACAGCAACCTCCCCAACAATATTATTGACAACCACGGGCAGCTCTACAGCGACATCATCCACAGCCACGGGCAGCACTACTACAACATCATCTATAGCCACTGGAAATTCTACAGCAACAAAGGAGACTACTATCCCTACAGCGAGCACCTAATCTGCCGCTACAGCTCTTAGTATTCCTCTGGAAATAACAATTATCATTATACTGTTATTATTTCTTTGCTCTATCTAGCTGGGATTGCTTGAAATAGATATTATATAAAAAATACTGTATATATACCCTAGCTATGACTCTCCAAGAGTCTATGGACTTACAGGCGTCTTATTAGTATTTTTGAATTGATAACAGCCCTAAAACGCCTGGTCTGGAGCCTTCTGTCAGTTTGTACATAACTCGCAAATTAGATATTTAAATATAATATATTAAGATTCAAGCTAGTTCACATTATTATCTAGAATGAAATGTGGATTGTGGTTGCAGATCAGCTGGACCGTACTTCCCGGTGGCGCCACCCTTGAGGCGCTTAATAATCAGGTTTTGGTCATGTGATCGTAAGGTCAGGTGGTACGCCGTAAAACCAAAACTTTCAATCTAAGCGACCTTTACATGTCCTTTACAGCTTACTTACCACTACGCGCCCCTCCCCCGGCAACAGCCATGGCTGCACTGGCTAGAAATGTATGTAAAAGTGCTCACTAATTGCTTATTTACCACTTGCTTGATGCAGCGTTCTAATTTTTGATGATTTCAGCGCTATTATCAATGGTATCTGCGTGAGGTGGAAGCGGGTCAGTTGGAGCTCCCTGAATACGATGAGGTTAGTCATCTCCCCAGTCGCCAACTGCTTAAGAAGCAGTTAGCAAGCACCTCATAAGACAAGGAAGAGCTTAACTGGTTGCTAACTGATTTAAAACTGATTAGAACGAAAAAGGCGACAGACCATCTTGTATTACGGCGAGGTGTTCTGTCGTGTGGAGGATTGTGACAAGGCCAATGTATGGCCCTTCTATGAAGGTGAGATGACCTGTGTACACAAAAAAGAGGCTATACAAGAGAAAAGAAGATTAGATAAGCAGTGGTGAAAAATATATGGCCAACCGCTACTCACAGCGCCTACAGGAATATAAAGTATATTGCCGTAAATGCCAGTAGCAGGAGGCCAGGAGGACATAGGTTTTATTTGGGACTTGCAAGGCAGAGGAGCTAGGTAGTGGGAATAGTACTAAATCTGCCTTTCCGCGGGTGAAATGCCTGATCGCTGCGCTGAAGGCAGTGGGGGTGCACTGGAACGCACTAATAGGGTAGCTGTGTGCTATAATATTATTGAGATATCGTCCCTACTAGGCAAATGTGCATGTAGCTATCAGCCGGCGAGCCACGCTTCTATTTCCCCTGGACCCGTTTCAGAATAGGAACAGATAGTCTGGAATGCAATTTTCGTCTATAAGGAATATCAACTAATGACTTGTACTTAGGGATAGAACAATTATATGGTAGCCAGATGGAAGAGACAGCGCTAGCAAATCCAGAGAGCGAGTTCCATGCCCAGCTGTTTATTGAGTTAATGAAACTAACAGAGCTAGAAGTCGATGTATTAAGTAAGAAGAATGCAATTAACCGAGAAAAACAAAAGAATATGTATCCACAAATGCAGCAATGCAAATACAATGACTTTCTAGTTTAACTCTAGATTGTAGAAAACTGATCAGCACAGACTTACACTTATACATATAACGCAACAGACAACGCGGGGTGTAAAATCAGTACAGAGACAGATATTAGTCGGAAGTATATAGGGTCCCAAAAGAAGGAAAGTTGATACCGTTAGGTTACAGCATCTCGTGGCGATGGTTATTGTGGAGGAGTAACTAATGGATGTCCTAGAGGTTGGAACCAGTCCGATTGAGGAAGAGAGGCAGGACATGTGCCGGCTGTTGGATGAAAAGGCTGGAAGATGAGGGAGTGTAAAAGGGTGACGGCGAGTAGTGGACCGCATCATCTAGTAACATTCCATACCAGGAAACCGCAGGCCGTTGCGGTGATGCTATTTCTGGCTCTGGTCGCTCCACAGGTGGGGTGCAATAGTCGCTGACAGAATAGTGAAGGCTAAAACTTAGGCATGTTAGTCACGCCTTTGAACATATAAAGCTTCCGGCAGTAGAGGCTGGTGAGAGATAACCTAGGACAGTATCCAGATGGAAGATCATGACATTCACACTGCGGACTCACTGCCGACATGGTCGGAATAAAAGAATTACTGATCGTGTGCGGAACAAGAACTCTTGTAGTGGATGGCAAATGTGTAGTACCGCCGCTTTCGGCAGAATACCGGTCTTCTTCTGGTAGAGTTTTATTCATTGTTGCCGGTGCTGTAGGCTGCGACGCGTCATATCTCGAGTAGACAGGTGTCTGGTCTGCTGATGACGGTTTCTTAGAGAAGCTTTTAATGCCACTATCTTCCAGCTGATTAAGGAGAGATCTCTTATGACGGCGGTGGGATAACTTGGTGATCCGCCATTTCTTCAAGCGACTCCTCAGCTGAACCTCACTGTTGATACACAATTCCCGTCAGTCAGGGCATTTTTGCCTCAAGGTTCTATGTGGGTTATCGCACCTTGGATTGAAGGTGTGGGTTCGTATTCTCTTGAGAACTTGTTTCAGAGGCCATTCTTCATCTTGATAGAGTTGGATAATCAGGCCTTTCTTCGTCTCCCACATGTTCGATGCAATTTTGTGCTTCATTTTCAGGACCTGTTTGTCAAGTGTACCAAAACCAAAGGGCTATTAGACCATGATACGATATCCCAGGTTCGTTTGAAACATATATAGAAGAATAAGCCCTGATTCTAACTTATGGAAGGAGAAGGCAGGCCAAGATGATCACCCCCTTGAGCCGCACGACACTAAGTTCACACGACGGTCGCGCAGGTATAGTAGTCCAAATAGAGATCTTTGACAAGAATAAGGGTAGGGATTCCCGAGTATGGCGAAAACATGTAAATGTGATAGTTGTAAGCCCATCCTATGGGTTGCCGGTTTCATTACTCACTTTTAAACTTCCTACGTTAGCATTTTTGGTCTGAGTAAACCCATATTCCGCCGTGCTGTTCTCTTCCCCCACCCACAAAGCCTCGTATTTTTCAGTGGAGATGCAGACCCAGGACTCCATTTAGACCTTAGACGGAGGTTTCCCCGTTTGCCCCACGTTTTATGGTAAGTTTGAGTCAGTTGGAACACGTCGACATGCGAGCCAACAGTACAACCATGATGTTCCTATCCTCTCTATGGCGATAAGACAGGAACGACTTCCTGTCAATTAGAAGTTAAGTCACCTGTGCCCTTTCGGCTGGATGTAACTGATGATAGTAATGTGTACGGCTCCGGCCACATTAAGGCGTGGAGTGGGCTGTTGCTCAATAGTCCTTGGTCAAGCCATGTCAGACGTGCTTCTCAATCCGAATGATCGGCCCCCTTATCTTCTTCCTGTGGGGTTGCAAGCACGGCCATCCATTCACCGATATTAAACGCCCCGTCCGCGGACCTTTTCCGCATATGTTGGGACTCTGTCCGCAATCCTCATTACCTTTAGTCAGCAGAACCAGATCATGTCAAGGTTGCCAGGTCCCAACACCCAAGGTACATTAGCGTTTCTTGATGATTGGTGCCCTCCGTAATCGGAATGCCTTCCCTATTCTGGGCGTGGCGTACGTGAGTGGCTTGGCTTTTGCTCGAAAATACGTCACTGGGATAGGAAAGATCCAGACAAACATCTGCTGGCCAGTTTTGCTTTGAAACAAACTACTACTGCACATATCCCGATAGGGCCTTCACTTAAAGGCAAGGGGCCAATGATGGAACTATGGGTGCCATACAGAAGGTACCAAGGAGGTAGATATTTTGAGTGAATGTGGAGTGAAGCTGATGTCTAGACGGACTGTTGATTAAAATCTTATCACCTCTATACGATGATTCTGTAGTCTGACAGTTAGATTGAACAGGGTTGGGGAGGAACATAAGTCCAATTAGGAGGCCCTGGGAGTTATTATCAATGCTAGTATCGCAGAATAGAGTAAATCAACCTACATCCATAAGGACAGAGACAATCATCATTCAGACATTGAAACAGACCAGCGGGCCATATTTTTTTAGTCCAGTTTCTCGGATCAGTTGTACCCGGACAACTCGTAAGAACCTTAAATTCAGACATGTGTCCACGACGCATACAAGTACCTAGATATTATGTCCCAGTATCGATTAATAAAATGTATCTGTACGAATAAATCAGGGGTATTCTTAGGGGGGTAAGAGAAAGGACACATATATTATTAACAGGGGGATTTATGTATGCTGGGATCTATATACAGAACACGGCAATATTGATTGTAATGATGAGACAGACAGTTACCCACTTCACTCTCCTGGCTTTCAATCTCTTATCTACTACAACGTAGATTCGATTGGTAATGACCTGTATGAGGTATTGTATCTCAATAGCCCAGCAGAGTAGTAGCACCGATAGCACAGATGCACTGAGGGGACAATATTAGTACAGTAACATAGGATCAACCGGTCTTCTAGGGTCATACATTATAGGGATCACTTCTTCAAACACTAGCCACTCTATTACTCCAATTGACAGATTTGACAAGATCTCAATCCAGATAAGAATTATATAAGGGCTCTTGTACAGCTTCTTAATAGCCGCAGTCTGTTTGATTGCATTCCAGACAGTAAGAAAGCTAAAACCCAGTATGAAGCCGGTGGCCAGCCCGATCAGCTTAAAATCAGTGACCGGGGCGCTCATCTTTCCCTCAAAGATTAGGGTGGAATGCAGTAAGATACAGTATAGAAAGATGTGCACTACAAGACATACAGTCAACACGCGCTAGAAAAGATCTATACCAATAGCTATAAGGCTTAAGAGTCTCTTCCCGGATGGCTCATTTACAGTCCAGGGCTATTAATATCCTTCAAGGACTGTGATAAGGCAAACATCAGGAAACTAATTTCCTAGTGAACTAATGTGAAGGGCAAAAATCCGATTATTCACAATTCAAGGCTAGTTTAATTTTAGTAATAAAAACTGAGGTAGTGTTGTGGTTTGCCTTTTATTCAGCATATGTGGGAAGTGAAGTATCCTCTTGACTTGTTTTTGTGCCCAATGTCTGTTTGATCTGCAGTGACAAGCCACAAACTAATTGAGAATACCCTAAATTCTTTGTTTTGGGAGACCAAGCAAAACCGCTGAATCGTAACCTATGGTTTGTTGCATAACTACAGGGGTAGTGGGAAACTCAGCATCAACAAGCTCACCGTTCTCCAGCTAGTCAGCACTTTTAAGTTGAAGTTTTTAGATTGCAAGCCAGAGAAAGAGAAGACAGGGAGGGGAAAGAGAGGTTTCGTGTCATTATCCAGGGAGCCGTTCAGCCATCCTTTTTGATCTGGATATGCTTTATGTACACTCAGAACAAATTAATTAGATCTAACGCTAGACAAACCTCCTTGGCACTACAAAGAGTAAGACGCGGAGTACAAGTGAAAAGGAACCTACTATACAAATAGAATAAACCCCAACCCCATCGCCTCCCCAACCCCAAAAAAAGATAAATCTAAATATAAAATACTTAATTCCTAAGATGCGCCAACAGAATCTCCATAAACAGAAGCTGCCTTGTTTTCGTAGCTTCTTAGTATCGTTTCGCACGCTAGGGTACCTATAATGTATGACCCAAAAATAAAAATTCGGCCCGAAAGAAGACCCGACACGCAGTGGATCGACTTTCCCGAAGGGGGTCTAGGGCATTTGGACAACATGGCTGTTCTCCACTTCGCCTACTGACCGATTAGATCGTCCAAAGGCTTCGCTCATATGTCAGCTCCACTGTGGCAAGGGGGGTTCGTCGTCTGGACCTCGCTATCATAGCATGGCCATGCGTACCTTCCAGATAAGGAAAAGTAAGTGTGAGTCAAGCCCCACCGATCCATTCAATACTACCCCAAAGCAAACTCTATATGGGTTTATCCAGTTGAAACCTACACAGTAGACTTGTATCGCGGTAGTCCCCTGCGCCACCTTTGTAGCCATTGCCCTAATTCCTCCATGTATACATGATACACCCATTTACACTCGCTGTCTGCCTATCAATTGGTCCCAAAATAAAATAACATAAAATAAATAAGATAATATAATAAAAAGTCAAGAAATGAAAAATTAGAAGTGAGAATACAACATGTCAATACACAAACAATCGACTCTAAGCATGACCGTGTTACGATAACATTGTATACAGGTGGTTACGCATATCAAACATGTCACTGTATCGGTATTGTCCAACATCATTTGCTAATTAGCAGGATTTCGAGCGTCATATAAATTGGTTCATATTCCGTCATTGTGGCGCAGCTCTTCGCAGCGAAGGATCAACCAAAATCTCGATCTGATCAGCGAACCCTCCGCTTACAGTGAGATTGAAAGCTCGCTGGTTCACGAACCAGCCCTTACCGGCCACAAACAATCTAGCTGGTTCCAGAAGAACCTTATCTAGAATCAACATGACTAGCAGAGACTACAGAAGACCAGATTGCTTATCAGGTCCCGTTGATTGGCATATTGTGCAGAACGCCAAGCCCAATGAAGTTCGGGAGCTTCTTAGTGAAAGTAAGTTTTACCTTGTCTCTCTCTTAGCTTGTAAGCCCAACTGTAGCTCAGAAAATTGCAGAGAACCTAGTCTTCGGTAAACGCAACGGCCGCCTACGATGTCAGGTCGTATTTGCCTCTTCAATTCCTGCCCGAAAGTAAATTTTTCATCATCTCTGTAGTATTTACTTTTAGTTCGACTTCTCACCGGGGTTTCTTCTCACCAGTGGCGATTTACCCACCCGTTATTATCCGATAGTCTCCAGAGTCATCCATTGGGTGATCCAATACCTGATTCCCAACCGAGCGCCGCACCTCATATAAAATTCAGCCCGTGACTGAACTACTAGGGCCTTTATCGACATAGCAATCATATTTCTATACAAAATCTGATTAGGACGTTAATTAGGACATTGTCTGCGAGTGTTCCCTAGAACATGACGATCACTAGAATCACTAGAGCGCGGGGGCGCTCGTACGCGCGGCCTTATTGGAGATAAGCTCTTGATCTATAAGTATAGTATCTTGATCTTCTTTAGCCTCATTTTCATGCTGTATATACTCCCGAGCTTCCTGGGCTGAAAAGTCATCCATATAAGTGATTTGGCGATTAGATCACTTTTTTTTCTGCTGTAGTTCATGGATTGTAGCCCGTAAACATTGATTTTCTTGAGCTAAAAATGCCCCATCGTTGTATACCATTTCACATCGTTTAATCAACTGACTCAATGCAGTCTTTGTAGGAGAACGGGGGCTCGGGGGCTCTGTGTGCGAGCCCTTACTAACTCTTTAATTATAGTTGTCTGTTACTGTAGCTGCTTGATATTATAAGGAGATTTCGGCACAGAATTAGTTGCTTGACGGCCTGGTGGTTGAAGGGGTGTTAAGCCTTATAGTAAGGCGTCCAAGAACCTCTTCTGGGTTGAATGGAACTAAACCAGCACCTTGAAAAGCACTTAGAACATTACCTATAGTAAATGCTATATCAGGAGTTTAGGATAGATCTTGATAAAATCAAGCTTGTCTATATGGTTAATTCCAAGTATTTTATCTTGAACTAAGTGTCCGCACGCCTTTTTTAAAGGTGGAAAAATGCTAACATCAAGGGGTTGAAGTGTATTTGAGGAATGAGGCGGTATGTAGATAGGGACCGTTTTCACTGCATATCTTATCGAATTCAGGAGTGGGATAGCTGCCGTGGCCATCTAAAATAAGTAACCGATATTTTTCAACCGTACGACCAGCTGTAGTAGGCATAAAGTCCTTTTGAAGCTGGCGTAGTCCAAATTCATCAGTTGCCCAGCCATTCCTACTGATTTCGAATCTCCAATGATATGGAATATTTGGATCTTTGTAACAACCCTGTATATGAACTTTTCCCTTGAAAATAGTACAAGGTGGTAAAGCATATCCGGTAGAGCCAACGCACTCAATTGAAGTAACCCATTCTCAATTTCCTGGCTGAATAACTTGATGGTTTCCATATAAATGGGACCTAGTAGCTACTTTTTTAATAGCTGTAAGACCCATTGTATCCTGTCTCATCAAAGTTATAGATATCTACAGTAGCGATACCGTACTGCATTACAGCAACCTGAACAAGATTAAACCACTTTTTTAGGATCTTTAGATTCTTACATTTAGCGCGCTGATAGATATATCGACGAGAATAAATAGCCTTTATTTCACATTAGCGTTTGACTGCTGACCCAGTTTTTGCCGATTGATTGAGATAATATTGAAATCAGAGTCTGTGAGGATATTGGCCATGTGTTGGACCTGAGATGGCCGGGAAGCTGCTCCGTGTTTGAACAAGGGGATTGTATCTCAGTCAATCTATGGCAATCTGCGCCGATTTTCAGTGCGTGATAGAGTGCCATTTAAACAACGACGTATTGTTCTTTCCGTTGTGAATTAAAGCTCGATCGATAAACTATAGAGCTTTATATTCAGAATAAATTTTGTGTAGAATCAGGTTGATTGGAAAACAATCTGATGCTCAACTTGTATATAACCCCTCAGGTTTACAGAAGAGAACAATCAATCAATCCTCTAAAACACAACTCTTTCTGATATGAATCTATAGGAGACACGTGATCGCCTAGCGGCTTGGCCGGATCACCAACTCCTTCAGCCCCTGAAGGCTTTGCCGATTAGTTAGCCAGATAGAAGCGCTGAAGATAGTCGATAGAGTCGTCCATAGAATTGAGTATCTATCGAAATGGCATCCGGTCCTCAGTAGGCTACGTACGTGTAGCTGATACAGCCTCGTTCTGCCCATCTTTCCCCTGAGATCACAACACTTTCAGAGACATTAAAGATGCGTGCAGCCTCACGAATTGGCTCCTTGCTTTTTAATAGCGGAAACTGCAAGCAAGACCCTTCTCTCTTTCTCAGCTGAATTATTTGAACCTGTACGCGCTTTTGGTGGCATGGTAAGTGGTTGAACCGAGCGAGAGTTCCAACCGCGCGGAGGTGCGACGCTCGTTTGGGAATTACGTTACAGTATTCTATTATTTTGTAGTCAGTAATAATTACCGCCACTAGCTGTAAATAGGCTCCGGTGGTTACACAAAATCCTTTTGTCTAGACGGTACCGCGGATATGTCGAAGACACGGTAATAGGCAGGGCTAGAATTTGTCCGGATCCTAAAATCAGCCCAGTGGCTATGCTGACCGCGCCTACTACCGATCCTTAAGATGGTCATTCATTGTTCTTCTGTAGTATAGCGAGGAAGTCTAAAATTGGCGTCACACGCCCTAGGTCTAAATGTCTTTGTCCATGTACTGTATCAACTTATTCTATGTCCACTTCTAAAAAGAACGCTGAATAGATGCTAGCTTGTGCAAATTTTATTAAGCGGGCCCCTATCTTCGAGTAATGAAAACATGACTTTCTTCAAACGGTTATGCCGTTATATAAGTACATAACTAACTAGGAAAACAGACGCTTACATAAAGTAGGGAAGTAACTAGGTTTATGTCCGTGTGACTAGGTCCTAGCTTAAGGCAGGAAGTGGACCTGGATGTCATCCTTGTTGAGAATCGTGGTGATTGCTGATTGCAGCATTCGCCACGGGAAGACCTTCATGTCTTTTCGGATGGCGACTGCTCTCGGGTTCCGAAAACCTCGGACCATACGTGTAAATTCAAAGCTTTCCGGGTCCGACTTTGATATAAAGTGCGGTTGGAAGCGGTCCAGATTTCGTCGGATCCGACATCTCTGCAGTTGCAGTATACGTGTCTGGAGGAGCCACTGAAGAAGCTGAATAATATCAGAACTGGTAATAAAACGGTCTTCTCTCCCAGGCCAGTAGATACAGCTAGTGCATATATAATCGACTTCCGTCAGCTGATAGAAAGGAGGGGAAAAGCTAATATCAATAAATTGACGGTTCTCCTGATCACGGATAAAGTAGACAATTCTTCGACGTTGGGCTGTCTCCTCTCTGGTCCAGTTAAACGCCATATCCATAACGGCGGATTTCATGTAGAGTAGAGAAGAGTCGGACAATTGCGGGGTGGATTTCACAGAGGCGTCGCTGTTGTCTAATTCTGTGGTCGGTAACGTCACGTCTGTTGAACCACTAAATTCCCAGGAAGGTTCAAGTTTATGCCCCTCACTAATCACGTACGGTTCAGCCTCAGATATCACAGTAGGGACAGGCATTTTTGCAGCAGGAATGTTGTTAATAAGGTAGTATGGCCGCTGAGATGGTTCGATTATTTCCAAAAAGTGGCCTGGCTGATCTATGTTGCTCACATCGACGACGCCAGCTTGCGGTTCGAAGAATGTATTGTAGGACATGAGCTGTTGCCTACCCTGTAATGGTGGAGAGAGGGAACATGGCCAATATCCCTGATTTCTGGCTGCACAGGGGTCACTGATATTTGGCTGGAAAGAGATCTCTCCAATATAGAGAATATATGGAGCTAACGTTGCCGTATCATGGACCACTACCCAGAGAGGGGTACGGGGACTAGTACCCTGCTCGTTAGGCATGTGGTGAATACCGGCGCTCACGGAATACTGGTGTTTTGAGCTCCAGATTCCTGAGTAGGAGATGCTGCATTGGATATTCCCGCATGTGCCAACTATTAGAGGGGTCCACAGCTCATCGGCTAGCAACAAAAAAGGCGACTGGAGGTGGAGGTAGACCAGTATCCCTTCTGGCCCGTTGTCAGGTAGAAAATAGAGAACCTCAGGCTGCAGGGCTTCTTGATGGCAGACTATCCCGGACAAAGTATTGCTGTTGTCAGAAGAAGAAAGCTCCTGGCTAGATCGTAGGACCGGTGTATCCTGAACGAAGCCCAATTCTTTGTGGATCGACATGTACACAAATAGACTGCTGTTTCCCCAGTTGGAAATCTAATAATGATAATATTAGCAGCTGTTGCATTTGATGGCATGAATTGTATTGGAATATGAACACAATAAACGGAAGCAAAATCAAAAGACAGAGAAGTTATAGGCCTAGTTAAGACAATCTGTTATAACACGAGGACGTTGGGCCATATATTTTTAGCTTCCACATACCTCAATATTAGGAACAGGCGTTGTGGCTAAGCTATTGACGTCTTTAATCTCCTCGCGTAATGAGTTCTATATAGCGTAGTAAAAGAGTGTAAGACTCACATAAGTCTGAATTTATATCTAATTTATCTTCCTATGTTCCATATGTTACCTCTTTGTAAACTTTGTGCCTGAGATTTAGTCAAACATCTCTGTTTTACTAACCTGTGGGCCTGGAGATCTCTGTACATCGTTCTAGGTTTGAGTAGATCTCGCCGTGGGCCTCAAGCCAACCCTAGTAAGGATCATACCCAGCCAAAAACAATCCTTATCCAATTTGTATTTATATTCAAATCGGTTTTCCAGAACTTCCCTTAACGAACTGTATAAGAAGAGTAATATGGTCATAAGTTACTATATATATATATATATATATATATTATTATTATCACCATCATCATTATTGAAAGGGCCTCGCCCATTGCATAGACCAAGAAGTAGGATAACAATAATACAGAGGGAAGTTTCATTAGAAAACAATTTTTCTTGTTAACTAGTAACCCTGCCCCATCAATAAAAGAAAACAAGCTTGATAACTAAGTTAATTATTTATTATGTACCTATCTACTATTTGCCTACATCTTCCGTTCTACATCAATATTAGCTAAAGGTTATACACTCCTTCCTATTGTACTATCTGCTGAAAATGTTAACGACACTTCACAGAAACCTTGGACCTCAGGCCAGCCTTAGCATGACTGCATGAGTAAGAAATATATTCAGCAATGGTTACTAGAGTGGCGTTTTGCAGTATGATACGGTTTCAATACATTCAGTATTACATTCCTACTCACCCTATTCCAATAATAACTGATAATCATTACTATCCCATAATGGAAATTTTCTCATGGTCCCTAAGAGAACCATAGATTTTACATAGATTTTAGTAGAAACCTAAAGTACACTAATATAGTGACGCCCTTCGGATATGTTCGCAATCCAAGCCCCACACAGCAGCCCTATCTCCCAAACCTGGGACAGGTCGAAGAAGTCAAAAGACCTTCCTATCCTATAATTTCATTTTCTCCTCAATTTTTTAAGTGTCGCCACGTCATTGTGGGAGCAAATTTCCTCATTTTCGGGTAGCTAGATTACAAGATGATCACTAAGCACGCTGAAACAGAGGCTTAACTATGGTAACGATCCTTGGCATTTGTAGTATATCATTGGCTCTAACTCCATTCTCGGTCTCGACAATGGAAGATATGCGGACACCATATCTCTCAAGGGGATACCAAGCAGAGCACCACACAGAGTATTCCCACCTGTTCATGCTCTATTGTATAAGAATCACGCCATATGGCTGTAACTAAGTAAAATTGCCCTACTGTAATAACCGTCTATTGTATTATTGCGTGCCGAATTCCTGCTATTACTCCTAAGTGCCGGTAAGTAATTGTTGTATTATTATTACTATTAATCAAGTCTAACGTCCATATCGAGCCATTCGCTATGACAGACACAACTATTGTATTTTGTTGTGATTCCCCAGTAGGCCAGGGGAATTAACATAAAGAGAACTAAGCCATTGAATTGGATGAGCAAACTTGGTTAGAACACAAAATTCATCTGTGGGAGGCGCATTATATAGGCGAGGAACTAGCTGATCCTTCGGATCCTTCAAGGTTGACCTCAAATTCATCACACATACCAAAGCCCTTCGAAACTAGGACTGTAGAGCATTGTTTCTGCTAATAGAACCATGTTTCACTCTCAGGGTGGCGAGAAGATAAGGATGACGAATTAGGGCATTGCAGCCATTTCCTTCTCTGAAATCACCCTAGCAGAAAGTTCACGCAACGGTTGATCCAGGCCACTGGATACAGCAGTCAAGATGAGGCTGACCTAGAGCAAACCAACGCTACTCAAAAACGGCGCGCTATTCTTTCCGCTACTTCTACTGCTAGGCCTGAGAAAATCTGAACCACAAGACAGCATTCATTTATCCAAGGGCCAATATTGCCGGGTCCGGGTGAGTCAAGACCACGCACAAGGGGGCGCGACCCTGTTCTGGTGTTTATGATACTCGGCAACCGCTGCCGCATGTCATCTGGGAAAGCACTATCTTCATCCTAGAGATAGGGACTGTTGAATATCTCTCTATCCGCCCAAGTGGTATCAATGGGTCTATGGCCTTGTATAACCAGACAGTTGTAGCCAGCGTTGGACTCCTCGCGGTAGTATTCACGAACCATGGAATGGCATCTGTACCTGACTATAGAGGACTTTTTATATGTATTATGCTTAATATCTTAGAAACCGTGCTATTTAGGAAAGATATTAAGGCAAGATTAATTTACGTAATATTTGTCATATTTAAGAAGAAAGACATTATCGGATACATTCCTGCTATTAGTAATAAATACGGCACCCGCATTGGTTAGTTATATGAGATAGTTGGTAAAGAAATAGTTGGTAAAGAGAATCGATCTATGTTAGCGTGAAGAGCAAGCTTAACAGTAAGCTCAGTAAAAGCCCTGTTCACTTTGGCAGGGGTATATAGGTCAAAGTAGGGAGCAGACACTACTAAGACAGGAGCCTGATGTCACAGATCGGATAGCGATCCGGCCTGATAAACGTACAGGATACCCTGACCCAGGTGCATGGACAAATGGCCGCCAATGTGGAACATCAGGCCATACAACGGTTTGATTTCCAATAAGAATTCTGAACCCCTTTAGGTGTAGCGCCTTCAGCTATAAATTAGCGAACCATTAGTAGTAGTAGGGGCAAGAATCAGTTTCCTGTCTGAATAGTATCTACTGCCTGTCTTTAATCTTCCTATGTCCTAGTTGACAGGGCTTCTACCCTAATAGTAGATACCCTTGACTTCCTATACCACAAACGATTCGATAATTTATAGCTGAAGGCTCTACGCCTAAAGGATACAGAAATGCCCTTGGAGATCCTAGCCATAGGGTGGTCTGATATTCCTTATCGGTGACAATCGGGGGCCGATTCGTTCATGCACATGGGAGAGGATATGTTGTACGCTTATCAGGGAGAATCAATCTGAGACATTATTTGCCTGTACAAGCAAAAGGTCTCTACTTGTTTCCATATATGAAGTATTTGACTTACAGAAGCAATTGGTAATAGCATGTATACAATATATACATATATAAATTATACCACATTGTTACGCCTGGGTATTCGGGCAGGAGCTATATGTAGTTAGCTGCTCTTGCGTAGCGGGAATACAAACCTGTGACCAACTATCCAGTGCGATCCAGTAACTAATAAATACCGCAGTGCCGAGGTATCACGATAGTGGCCTTATCCAAGGTCGCTCACGGTTTGACCGAAGTCCGAAGATAACTCAAGTCCAAAAGGCCAGGCCTACTAAGTACGTATACTCAGTAGTTAAGGAAGTGCGAACGAGTCGAATACTAACTTGATACCAAAGGTGTATCCTAAGTAACAATTAAGATTGATCACGAAGAACTAAACTAAGTACATGAACGAGTGTCCTTATATATCTTCTGTTGGCTACTCCCGTGGTGACTCCCTTGGGGGTAGGTAATGGACTATGCATCACGTGATCTGGAGACCCTTCTTAACCCGTCCTGCGTGGTTCTTGTCATTGTAGTCCTATCACTTTCTGCCTTGCGTGTCCGCTTTTCCCGATAAGGGGCACTGTAACACACATATAATTAATTATACTTTCAGTACACACATATATTTCCAGGTATACTAGTTTATTCTATTAAAATATACCTTTATTTTTTACCTCCAATATATACCCCTAGGCAATCTATACTTTTTAAGTAAGCTAGTATAATAATTACTGTTGTGAACCAAGGCTCGATCAAGTAAACTATAGAGTTTCAACTACGGAATAAATTCCGTATGGAAACAGATAAACAGATTGATTAGACCTTGAGTTGGAACCGCCAAGAGATTTTCTACGCATAAGTAATCATAAACTATTCTAAATAAGGAGCATGCTTATAAATCACGATTTATGCACCTTTATACGTCTTGGCAGCTCCCTCCTAACCTTGGAACCTGAGTCGGACCATTTCGAGGCCTAAGATTGATGCCAATCAATCTGTTGTTCATGCTGTATATAAACCCTTCAAGCTCATGATGAGCAAATTCTACAATCATCAATCTTCCCTTGAAATATGTGATGAATTTGAGGTCAGCCTTGAAGGATCAGCTAGTTCATCGCCTGTGTAATGTGCCTCCCACAGATGAATTTTGTGTTCTAAGTTCGCTCATCCAATTCAATGGTTTAGTTCTCTCTATTTTACATCAATTCCCTTGACCTACTCTGAAATCACAACAGTATGCAACGGCAGCTCGCATTGTAATAACACCATTCGCTAGTACAAATGGCACCAAAGGCTTCATCCACTGCCGATTCTGGCTAGTTAGTGAATATCAGTCTAGATTCATCGGCCATTCCCATCGCAAATCCTTCACAGCTCCGGTTGTTCTATTATCTAGTCACCCTCTTGCAGGATCAGGCTAGTAAAAACAGCAACCACGCATCTTTGTAAATACTGAAGAATCTGGAAAGCCTGGCCACAGTCATTATTAATAATTGCTTTAACTCCATCAAAATAGGAGGCTGTAAAAGGGCCAACATTTGGCGTAGTGTTTTCAGAAATACTTAAATATGCGATGGCCAGTTGATCTTGAGCTCCCAGCATTAGGAAATAGGCAGGGGGCCAAGCTAGTTGGGAATATCGAAAGCCAAATCATCGACTATCGTTGTCATACACGTTTCCTAGCTCAGGTTGGTTTATCATGTACAGTTTCCCAGATATGGTATACCGGTGTGTCGGCATTGTTCCGCACCATTTCCAAATCAGCAGGATTTTGGTCGGTAAAATCCAGGCGATGATTGCCGATTGTACTTGTGAACGTAGATTCGCTGTTGCCATTCGGCCAAAAAGTTTGGGGTGTGGCGCAGCGCCTCGTAGCGAAGGGTAACCAGAACCTTGATCTGTTAGCGAACCTCCGCTGAGCCTGAGATTGAAAGCACGCTGGTTCGCTAGCTAGCGGAACCTGCCCCCACGCGCGCGCCTACTGTACCATGAGTAAACTAGCGTCCTCCACAGTCCCTCCACAAGAACCTCATTTACGATTATGATTCCCCCGTAACAGTGTCTCGACCGGGTTTATCGGTCGAGGATTTATTCCCGGAACGTCAAGCCCAATGAAACTTGGATGCCCGGCTAGTGAACCGTGCATTTTTAACTTGCTCCACGAACGATGGTTGGTTGAGGAACTAGCTTCGGCTATAGCATCGAACCAGGATACTGTTTATACAGAAGGGAAGTGGTATTAAAAGACACAATTTTGAGGCTCCGAGACAACTCTAAAGATAAATGAACTCCACATGGTCACAAAGCCTAGAATAAGCCAGGTTTCTGTATAGCCTACACAGACCTTACCGATGGTCTCTGCTGAGAGGGACAGTGGAACCATCGGTGGGGCTACTAGTTTTATCTTTTCAGATTCGTTATTAAGTTTTTAAATCAATTCATTCTGAGACGGGTGGACTTATGCTGTATGCTAGGCGTTTGATCCTGCTGTCTTACAGGCATAAATCCCACCTAACATGAATGATATTCCACCTCACAATGGGTTTGGTACAAAGCTTCTAATTGGCAGTCGTGTCAGGGTACTCTTTCCCTGTTGTACCGATTGTGTAATATACGGAGAGCAGGCGTCTGGACTAACCTAGAGTCAAAGAATAGTCAAGGGATCCCCAAGGCACCAGAGACTTTTATTTAAAAGGGACGCCATTTATTCAGGGGCGTATAGCCTATGATAAGTTCCGGAGACGATATACTAATTAATCCATAGTTTGGGCAGTGGGAGGATGGGCAAAAAACCGAATATTATGCGGTAGCGGCGGTTCTCTGAATCATTGACTCCTGCTCGTATATACACTATCGTTGGCTTATAATGGTGGGTATCGGCCGTACTGGGCCTCAATAAATCTGCCTAAGTTGTTCCTAGGAGCTCAGAACCTAGCTAGGAGATATCGCAAGAACTATATAAGGCTATAGCAAAGCTCAGATTCAAGGCTACTCACCATAGAAAACTCAATTTCTAGATTTAGTTAACTACCTTGTCTACAACAACATAGGCTAAGCTGACTTTTCTAGCCAAGCTTCACTGAATGTTTAGATAGTGCTCGAACAATTTCAATGTTTTTCGCATTGTCAAGCGCTTTTATTTGTCAGTGCCCCTGGCACGCTAAGAACTCAAACACCTATGTTTCACTAAACTGAATATTTGTCTATGAGTAGCAAACTATAAGAGGCTATATGTATCCAACATGGGACTTGATACTTTGTCACAGAACATTTAAAGAGCGTGCCAACCTCTGATATTTCTCAGTGGAGGTCAATTCTTCCAGTACTCTAATCAACTAATCATTGTTTCCTAACTGCTTTTTACTGTATTCTCTCTCTTTCATTGTTCATTTACTATATACTCTGTTTTCAATTTATATATTGCCAATATCTTAACTATAACCGGTTTCCTGCTGAGCCAAGTGATTGCTCATGGCGTGAATACCTGTATCAAGAATAATAACGGGATAGCTATGCCTGGTCTTACTGGTATATATTTATATTATTAATATATATCTATCTTAATAGAGTTTTAGGTGTCTAACAGTTTTAGTTATAGATAGAATGCTATGCAGCTGCCCCTCTGCCGCCTGTGGCACGCAAGGGTAAACCATGATTATCTGGAATCAGGAGATAGATAGCAAAAGGCCTCTCTACTCAGCTAGGCTAATAAAGATAGCTCTATAAATCCTGCTACTGTTATTAACTCTTTTATAGAACTAGTAAGAGTAACAGTAAACGTGCTGTCTTTACTGATTGATATATAATCTCTCATTACACTATTTTGCCTCCTAAATTCTAATGCTTCGGCAGGTCACTAAATGATCAATGATGCAGCTAGTATTATCACCAATCCCGGCGTGCTATTCTTAATGGTTCCTACTTTTTCTCCCTACGTACATGGCATGCTTGGGCTGACTCTCTCCAGATACTCAAGACCTTGCCAGCGCAACACCATTTAGAGGCGTCATTAAGAGTGAGATATTGCTGGTAGCCTATATAGAAAGCTGACTTGGATATCTAGATATGCAATCCACTGTTGATGATGTCGCTGGTCTTGTTCCAGAATGGGGTCTGGAGCAATGACCTCCAGTGATTCCAAGGAGAACAGGAACTAATAATATGATGGACATGATTTCTCTAAAGGCCTTCCTATCCTAAGTATAGACAGTGATATTACTATAACCTATTACTAGGTATATCCATCTATTCCTGGTCAAGTCTCCCTTATTAACCATGTCCAGGTGAATCAAGATGGTGCCGTTCTTTGTTCGCTGATATTAATGCCACGAGTAGTGGAACCGACCCAAGGGCTTTTAAAAGTGCCCAGGTTATCAAGAATATTCCCGGAGTTACTGGTTTCCCTACTTCAAGCACCATGAACTACGATGTCCAAGTTAAGGTGCCTTCCGGTATGAAGTGCAGTGGAACCGTTGGTGCTGCTCTCAATGTTTGCATAGTTCGGGTGCGCAACAACGCCATTTCGGGGCCCTTTGGTGGCTCGGCCGCTTTTACCAACTAATTAGGTACAGATTTGTGTAAACTTGCATATGACCTTACACTCTCCATATATGGTTTGGTGTCCTTCATTTCTTAATTATTATCGTGTAATTACCCCCATGCCGCTTAGCTGGCTATCGTGCTATTAATGCATTATTTTGCTATAAAGGTCACATGTTCTAGACTGATTTATATTTATCACGTCGGTTATCCGGTTATATTGTATCTTTATCACTGAGGCCAAGTTTCCAAATGGCAGATTTCCACTTCCTTGCCTTCTTGAGACTGTTCCTACCCACCCACCATGCCAAAATCAACCGGAGAACATGAAACACGTATAATCGAGGCCTGCGAAGCTGCCCGGACGGGGAAAAAAAAAACTGAAAATCGCACAGATTACACGACAATTTAATATTCCACACCGCACACAGTATGGCTGACTTCATGATGGAATACAAGCCCTTACAGATTATATACCTATTGTCAACCAAAATGACCTAGCGCTCGGAACATCAAAATCAACACCCAACCAAAATACGTTATTTTAACGCGTCAATCAATCAAGTAAGGCCTCCTAAGGCCCCAGGAACCGCTATGGAGGCCTCAAACCCCCGTGGTGGTGGCCTACCGAGCGCGTCGAGGTGGATGCCCCTGAGCGGGATACCACCACCACCAACACCAACACCGATATATCGAGGGGCCCCTAGGTCCCTAGAGATGCCTGCAGATCTGGAGCAGGATCTAAGCAATAGCGAATCTAGCAGAGCCCCAAGCAGGGCCAGTTATAGGAGTAGCAGGAGCACACGAAGCGCCCAAAGCATTCGAAAACGAGGCGGAAGAGACCAGATACAGCTGGGTCCCAGCCGAAATTCAGGTCAAGCCCTGCGCAAGCAATGCCAGGCTCCAGTAGAATCACTAGAGGACCAAGAGCTCGAACATCAGTTAGAGCTAGAGGAGATACAGGCCTATATCAATCAGGCAATAGAGGCTCAGATAGCTCAGCAACGAGCCAGCAAATTACCATATGAGGCCCGAATCAAGGCCTTAGAGGAGACAGTTCAACAGCTTCAACAGGCCCAAGCAACTCAGGTAGCTCCCCCTACAGCTCCAAAGCTTCCAGCAGCGCGAAAAGCACCCCAAACAGCACTAACTCAGGCTCCCCAGGGGCCCCGACATCCCCAAGGCCAACAGGCAGAGTTTTCTGCGTAGAGACCACAAGGCAGAGCCGCATCTAAGGCTACTAGGCTGAGCAAACCTGAAGCTACATATGCAGATATTATAGCTCTACTAAACACGAATCCCGGAGGGCAGGGATGGCAGACAGTCACCAAGAAACGCTCTCAAAAGGCCTCTAGAATCCAGACTGAGATATCACCACCATCTCAGCTAAAAGCTGCGAAGCGGACCCCATTAGAGGCCCGCAGATTAATCTTCAGACGAGAGAATAGCCTTGAGACACCTAAAGCGGAATGTGAAGATATTATTTTAGGGCTTAATATCGCCCTTACCGAGGCAGGACTGCCGGACTTTCTACGGGTAGTAGATGCAGGCTACACCCGGACCGGGGCTATTTCTATCATTTTGCAGAAAGGATCCCTGAATCACATGCTATTATCAAGATATACAGACCTTTTGATAGCAGCTGCTAGGAAGATAGATGCTGCAGTTATCTCATTAGAAGCACCAGAGCAATGGTATCGACTAAAGGTACATGGGGTGGGTTCCTACCAAGCGATATCTTAATCTAGGCCTAGGCCTCGCAAGGCAAGAAATTGAAGCAGGCAGTGCTGTTCGTCTGAAACGGGATCCTACCTGGCTGAAAAGTCCAGAGAGCCTTAGAAACAGCACCCAGAAAGGATCTAGCATTGTGATTACAGTAGGATCACTGATAGAAGCTCAACAGATCCAAGCAAATGGCATATGCTTTGGAGGCACGAGATATAAAGCGGAGCACTTTTGGGAGCTAGGACCTGATACAGTGTGCCCCCGGTGCTGCGGAATAGGACATAAGAGCTTTAGGGCCTGTGGTGAACGCCCACCAAAATGCTATATTTACGCTGGGCCCCATGAAGGCCTAAATCATGCTCATTCCTAGGCTGCTCAGCTAAAGCAGGCAAGGCATGCCAACACACCCCAGCGAGGTGCGGCAACTGCGGGGTAGACATCCTGCCCTAGCTGCCAGCTGCCCAAGCAAATAGGCAGCCCGAAAATACCGAAATTAAGCTTCTAAAGCGCTATCTAGCTCACCGGCAGTACAGGTAGTCATTAGAAGGCGCCCAAGAAGTGCTTCAGAACTGGATAGCCCAGTTAGGGAAGCATCTAGTGATCCTCAGATCAACAATCCTAGGCCTAGCTCAACCCTAGGAACACCACAAACAGCTATTCAAGCACCACTGCCAAGCACCCCCCGGGACCAAGTAATGGAGGATCCTCAAACGCCCAGACCCCTAGGATCTACCAACCTATCTCAATGCTAGTGTTGCAGCAGAACTGCCACAGGGCCTATGCTATTACTATAGCAGCCTTGGAGGCAGGGCTCCAGAGACAGGCAGATGTAATCTGCTTGCAGGAGCCCTACATCGCACGTGATCTTCGACATTCAGCCTATCTATTATACTGGCCGGAGAGGGAAGAGCATAAGCACCACAGAGTGCTAATAGCAATTCGAAAGGATTTAATGGATATAATAGCTGTTGAAGCCAGAACTGATCTAATCAGCCACCTCTATATACTAGCCCTAGATATCTGGAAACTTGATAGGGGCAGGAACCGTGTACGAAGAACAAGGATAGTCAATTGCTATAATAATTGGTTAGGAGAAGAATACTGCTGGCAGGGTGATAGTCCTAGGCACCGACAGGCTATCGAGGACACAGAATAGGAGCAACTGGTAGAGGGGAGATGCCTCCTCCTAGGTGATTTTAATGCCCATAGCCCCATGTGGAATCCCCAAACTAGCAAACGGATCAATGCAGCACCCCTAGAGGGCCTGATTGAGCGATTTAATCTGCATATCAATAATGAATCAGAGATCCCTACCAGACCTAAGCGCACCCCGGGCATCTCAATCATTGATTTAGCTATATCTACCGCAGAATTAGGTCCGGTAGATAGCTGGCTAGTTGATAAGGAATGCCCTACAGGCTTGGATCATGAACTGATATTAATAGCTTGGAGGGACCTAGAAAGGAGGTCTATAGAAACCAGTAAACAGGTGACTGGATGGCAGATTGAACGCCTGCGTACAGATCCTGTGGCTCTGGACAAGGCGAAGCAGACATGGGATGCGCTTGCAGCATGCCAACCAGTTCTACTAAATAGCTGCAGTAGGGCTGAGGTGGAAGAAGAGGCAGTATGGCTTCAAAATACCCTAACACAGGTGCTTAATGAACATACTAAGCCTATAAGGATGACCCCGTTCTCAAAGTGTTGGTGGGGACCACCGGTCAAGACCAGTCATCAAGAATACGCTAGAGCTAAAAGAGCTTGGGAAGCAGGTCTAGAAACTTATCAAGATTTAAAAGAGACACGAAATGCCTACTATAGCACTATTCGGAAGGCAAAACGTGAATGCTGGGAGACCTTTCTAATAGGGCAACCTAAAGAACTCCAGGCAGAGCTAAAGGATAGACTGGGACCTGATGATACAGCCCGATGCTGGCAAGCACTAAGATACTGCGAACCTCAGGCTACTGGAGCTACACCAGTGCTCCAGGGTCCCCAGGGACAACAGGCAACTGCTCTAGAGGCAAAGGAAGCTCTAATTAGGGAGATCCTATTTCCTAGAGCCCCTAGAAATGAAGCTATTGGAGATATTCCTGCAGGCAACATACATCAGGAAATCAATATTAATAGGGTTCAGAGGGCTCTGTTTAGCCAGGCAATTCAGAAAGCACCTGGAATAGACCGGCTTAACTTTCAAGCGCTACGGCTATTATAGGAATGGGATGTAACACGTATAGTGGCCCTAGTACACCAATGCTTCAGGCTAGGTCTACATCTACAAGCATGGAAAACAGCCAAGGGTATCTTGCTACACAAGCCTAATAAGCCTGACTATTCAATAGTTAAGGTATATAGAGTGATCAGCCTACTGAATTGCATAGGCAAAGTAGTAGAGAAGGTGGCTGCTAAGTCTATTTCCAGCCACTGTGAGGCTTCTGGGGCTCTACATCCAGGACAGATGGGGAGCCGCAAACAGCACAGTGCAATTGATGCAGTAGCCTGCCTGATTCAGGAGGTTCACTAAGCATGGGGTCATAAGCAACTAGTGGGAGCTCTTTTTATGGAAGTAAAGGGGGCTTTTGACCATGTGGATGCTGCAAGGCTTGTGAAGCGCATGCTAGAGTTAGGTCTAGATACAGACCTCTGCTGATGGGTGCAATCATTTCTAGCAGATCGTAAGATACAGCTAGTAATTGACCAACAGCTGTGTGCTATACAGCCAATAGAATCAGGGTTCCCGCAGGGCTCACCAGTATCTCCAATTCTCTTCATTATCTATCTAGGGGGGATCTTCAAGGCTGTTAAGCAGGCTGTTCCAGGTATCAGGATACTATCATATGCAGATGATATATGTCTTCTGATATCAGCTATCTCAGTGCAACAGGCTTGCCAGAGATTAGAGCAAGCCGCTGGTATAGCTATTGAACAGGGCAAGCAACAGGCAATCCAGTTCAATACAGAAAAAACAGAAGCAGTCCTCTTCACAAGGAAGAAAGGCAAGGAGCTTAAGAATCAGGTTTATCGGGCTAAGATTCAGATAGAAGGCCATGTTGTCTTATTCAATTCTGTAGCCACACAATGGCTAGGGGTATGGCTGGATAGAGGCCTAACCCTAAAGGCACATTATTATACCTGCCTACGCAAAGCCCGCAAGGCAGAGGCGCAGGTGCAAACTCTATGCCGAGAACAAGGCCTATTACCAGGCCTAGTACAACGCATTCAGGTAGCTGCTGTATAGGCGGTAGCTCTATACGGAGCTGGGCTCTGGTGGCAGGGCCAAAAGGATCGAGTTAGGGGTATCCAATATATGGTAAATCGGCAGGCACACTCAATCACAGGGATGTTAAAAACCACCCCTATTAAGCTACTTATCAAAGAAGCAGCTCTATATCCAGCAGAAGCTCTATTAGATAGACACCAGAGGCAATATATCCTAAGACTACTGGGTTGCATAAGGACCATCCAGCTCAGGCTATTCTACCGGTTAGCTTCCGCACAGGGGACTGCTACGCACAGCCTGGGGAACAGCCTATAGATGACCGACTATGGGCAGAAGCCCCTAAGACACGGGGCCCATAGAATCTAGGTCAGCATCTAGCAGCCAGAATGGCTAATATTTTAAGGATAGATCCCTCAGCAGGATTTGAAGAAGTAGTGGAGGCTCTTCCTAAGGCTTTTCCAGGCACTATACTAGTGCCTGCAGAGGAAGAAGCCCTCAGGCGGGCAAGGGCCCCCTATAAGGTCTAACAATATGGTCAGATGGATCACGCCTAGAGAATGGACGGACTGGTGCAGGCATTGCATGGCTAGAGCCCTCAGGCATATGGAAGACTAAGCAGGTGCCGTTAGGGCAAGGGAAAGAGATCTTTGATGCAGAGCTAGCAGGTACTTGTAGAGCACTTAAGATGGCTGAGCAACTGGGATATAACAGCTCTATTAGGGTTCTATTAGACTCCCAGGCAGCTATATCCCGGCTGCGAGACAATAGAACTGGCCCAGGGCAAAGCTGGGCAATTCAGGCCAAAAATATAGCCCAAAGGCTTGAGAACCAAGGACGCCAAATCACTATACAATGGGTCCCAGGCTATCAAGGAATCCGAGGAAATGAGAAGGCTGATCAAGCTGCTAAGATAGCTGCACAAAAGACCCCTAGAGACATAGACAGGAGCCTCAGTCTAGCTTATCTACACAGAGCATGCACTGTGACAAACCAGGCCCAGCGTCAATAATGGCTAGTACAGGCCCTGGAGAAACGATCCTACAGGGCCCAACAGCGCTACCAACCCCAGAAAGGATGGAAGCTAGATCCAGTGGCTGGAGCGGCGCCAAAGCAGCTCGCTCGCCGATACTATCAGCTCAAGATTGGGCATGCAGCAATACTGACCTAAATCAAATAGGGGTCCAAGACTCACCTAGATGTCAAGGCTGCCAGGCTCCACAGGGAACAACATGCCATCTACTGGTCGAATGCAGACAATGGTGCCACCAGAGACAGGCTCTGTACAGGGCCCTAGTCAAGGCAGGAGTATCACCACCTGGGTGGGGAGAAACAGCCCCGGAATGCCGCCTCTTTAAGGATCAGAGGGCCACAAAGGCCATAATGACCTTCCTGGCAACAACAAACATCGGCTGCTCCCCAGGGGAGGCAGCTAGGGAGATAGATAGAGCCTCTAGGGACAACCTTTGGGGCCTAGAGATGGTAGAGGAGGCAGAAAGTAGAGGAGAAGGATAGTAGAAAGGGCAATCTAGGCACGCCTAGATGATGCCCAGCAAGTCACAAATACCGAGGAGGGCATAGCCCAAAGGCTCTGGCGCAGAATGGGCGGCTCGGGCGAGGAAAAGGATTAGAATGGGCACAAAAAGGATAGAGGGGGACTGATAGAGCCCCTAGGGACCATCCAGAGGCAATGGCATAAGCCACTGCCTAGACACATGTGTCTGTCATAGCCAAAGGCTCGATACGGACGTTAAACTTGATTAATAATAATAATAATATCATATGTTTCGATATTAGGCCGTTTCTACCGCAAACGCCGAAATATATATATTTTAATATAGGAGGTAAAATAGGGTAGGCTTCCGAAAATATGCCGATTACTCAGACTTATTGCCAGGAACTATCTAGAGTATTTTAACCTGTACTTATTGTAGATTACTTCTCTTGACCTCGCTTTGGTGTTTTAAAGTCATTTTGAAGCTACCGAACTGCCTCTTTACTAACTCGCTCTGCCTCCTTTTGGCGCTTTTTTTCCTGCCTGGCCCTCGCGAAGAACTTTATTAGCAGCTCGCTTTTCCTTTCTCTCTAGAAGTAATCGTTGTTTCTCTTCCTTTACTTGCTGTTTCCATGAAGCCGATTTTGCCCTTTTGAATCTTTTGCGGGCTCTACTTCTCGCTCTTTCGCTGAATGAAGCTCGCGCGCTTGCCGTATTTACTTAGGTGAGTAAAAAATCACACCACCGCTGTCTGGCTCTTGTAGTTGAAATACCAGCGGTTTAGCGTGTTGCCGCTTTATTTTCTCATTAGATAAGGCTGTTTTGAGGCCAGTATTCTCTAGTCTTAGCAGAGCATTCTCTATGGCAAGCTAGTATATCATAGAAGAACGCTTTTCTGCATTTTTATCATAGTCATTGACAACTGACTTGGAGGAGAGGTACGAACTGCTAGATGTTGGCCGTTAGACTCCGGGCGCAGGGAGCGTTGGAGAACAGCTTCAGGATTAAATGGCCATATACCAGTACTTCTGAAGCCAGATTAAATGTTTTTGGATGCCAAAGACTTCTTCCATGCTGGCCAAAACATTCTGAAGAAGCTCCGCTTTGTACTGCTGCAGAGGCCTTGAGACTGACGCATAAATTGCTCCAGTTCGTCTGAATAGGCTTTAGCAAGCGGAGTGAAGGTACTGACATCAAGTGGCTGCAGAGAATGTGTTGGATGAGGCGGATAAGTCATTGTATTAATCCTATTTGCTTCACAGAAATCTCAAATCTTCATTGTGACATGGCATCCGTGGCCATCAAGAAACAAAAGCCTCCAGCTCCGCTTTGCCTTTGGCTTCGTTTCTCGGTCAAAAACAGTAATAAGCCATTGATATCCGAGCTCATCATCCATCCATCCAGATTCTGAAGAGGCAATGAACTACATCAGGTGTGTTAAGAATTCCATATTGTGTCGTCATTACTAGACGTGCTAGTGTTAAATAGAGGCACTATAGTGACGTCCTCAGACTAGAGACATTAAATCGACAAGGAGGAAAGAAGACATACATCTATTGTACATGTGAGGTGTGACACTCACTGGTACTTGCATTGTTTGTACATAACTTGCCTATTTCCCTGTACATGTCCCACACTCCAATAGCGCTTTCTTCTCTTTCCCCTTACGCTTGAAATCTGTTATATTAATTAGCCGTTATATAAGAAAAGGCCATAACAGGTGCGTGACTTTTCGTAGGTAGGCTAGGTAGGTAAACTGTGCTCATTGATTTCTTATTAATAGTTAAGGCAGGTGGTTGCGTATAGGACAATATTCTCTAAAGTGATGATGGTAGGGTTAGTTATTTATCCTGCTATAGTTAATGTAGAAACTTTGCCCCATTTGTAAGGGACTCTAGCTGAATCAATAGTTGATTAGGTAGACTATCACAAAGAGTCTAAGCTAAAGAGAGGAAAAGAAAAGAAAACATGAAGCTATTGTGTTGTGCTGCCGTTATAGACAAAGGGGTCACGTGCCTACTATTCATTCACTGAATTGCCCAATCCTCTATCCGTGACAATAGCCCCATTGGTCATCCCTGCACTAGGGCTAGGGGCGAGGTTGTCGCGAATTTAGACAATTATCCTCGGTTCCATAGAGCTTCTTCCCTCCTTGATCGCTTTCACACCATTTGGCGGTCCCGAGGCAGGCCTCTCCATCTGGATCTTGTTCACAGGCTATCCATAGGAAAGGTTCTTCAACCCATGGGGCCTTATTTCTAAGAGGTAGCCCTTCCAACTAGGTCCAGAGGTTAGTATTGGATGCTATCTGGGTTTCCCGGAGTCATACAGTCTCGCGAAGCTGTGTCTTGCAGCTGTTCGTAAGGCGATCGTTGACTTTTGATAGTGTCTGGGCGAAATAGTCATTTTGAGTAGTACCTCGAAGCTCGTTAAGCTGGCACAAAGTTAGGGCTTTTGTCTTATCACCTAATTTTCTTTTTCCTTTTTCTTTTCTTTTTCACATATCCTTTCACATACAGCGGCAACAAACTCGTTTTGGCAATTTGTATCTAATTGTCGAACAGCGTCTCCTAGAAGTTCAGAAGGCTGGCCATCAGCGTCTCTAAAGTTAGCGAAAGACACGCCAGTACAACTCAAGCTTTCAGAATCATGTCATACCGTTTTCTGCAAGGACTGTTCTTCATTTTGTGGCAAGGCTGCTGCTAGCCCTAACAGGGGAGCTGTTACGAAGGCAATCCAAATGTCCTTCATAATTATATGGTACGCGAAGTTGCTCTAATCTGAGGATTCAAACTGTAATTGCAAGGTATTCATCGGAGGTGCTCCTTTTATATCGCATTTGAACCTCTTAGTTGCTCCACTCACATCATCCGTAGTCGGCAGAGTGGTGGAGATTCTATTAACGATTGAGCCAGCTCCATAGGAAATTCGTTTTAATGACACAGGTTTCATTAGACCCTGCTGCTCTTTCGTTTTATTTAGCTTGGCTATTATTACTTAGGCATGTTGCACGTCACAAAAAGAGAGTTAACAAGATATTATCTAACAAAAATTATTCTGGATGCTCCTGAAATGATTTTTCGCCACTTGGCCTGAAACTGGGGTTTCTTAAATATACCTTTAAGAGTATGAATTGTTGGTTTGCTACGGTATAGCAGCATGTGTCAGATAGCGACAAGAATCAGATCACTTGCTCAGTAGTGGTACAGCGTATAGTTACAAATATGGTGTGAAATATGCACAGTTCAACTGAAGCCACATTCTTTGAAATGTTTTTGCACGCCAAGACTAATAAAACAATGCAAGGTGTATGCCAAGGCCAATGAAACCTCAGTGTCTGGCGGGTGACCGTGTCTCTTAAAAGTAACTAGAACGAACTGTAAGCGAAATGAGACTCACACAAGCTTCAACCATAACTGTGGTATGCCAAACTTTCAGAATATGTAAATAAGGCTCCAAGGAGATTGGCCGGTCCGGTTCAATCACTGAATCATCATCAAACCCAGCTTTCCATCCAATATGGCATCAATACAGCTGATTCAACTGCCAAATTAGAAAATCGCATATTACTCGCAATCAAAGACATCAAAATAGCTAGTTCACGAAAAATATGAGCAGCAGCATCAGCGTATGATGTCTCACGCTCCACTTCTACCCATCGAATCAGCGGCCGAAAAGCACGGGCTAATATGCCAGCAAATTATCAGAAGCTCAGCAGCCTAGAAGAAAACTTCTCTAAAGAAATGGATTCTATATATGGATGAGCGTAGCCTACCACTCCATAAGCGAAAGGAGAAAGCAGTTAGTGATAGATGGATCACTAGATTCATTAAACGACATGATGATCATATATCGAAATACAGTAAAAAGGACTATTTGCGTGTTAAGTGTGAGGATCCAGATATTACAATATTAATCAGTGGTCCAATCTGGTTCGGAATATAGTAAAATATGGTATTACTGAACAGGATATCTAAAATTTTGATGACACTGGCTTCCAAATAGATATGGCACATGCAGCAAAGTTTATTACTGCATCTCGTCATTGAAGCAGTCGTGTACGAGTTATTCAACCAGGAAGGCGAGAATAGGTTCTTCTTATTGAATATGTAGTGGGCTGAAGCCCGTTAGTATACTCAGGCCGTTGGCCCTCGTTTCCATATTCGTCACATGATGTATTTCTGCCCCTCCTTCCTGTCATACCTCATTGTCTCACCGTGATCCTCCTCTTTTTCTTTCTTCTTCAGCGTTTTCTTCTTGTTTGATAGCTATGATAGTTTATCGAACGTTGCGGGTCTTATCCCTTATGTGATGACTGCTCATTCATAGATAGCGATTCCTCGATAGGAAGCTAGCTATGGTAACGTTTCCAACCGAATTCAACTATGGGAGGAAAAACACATGTCAACCAAAATGACCACTATTGGAAATATAACGATATATCCGATTAGTCAGCCATCGCCATGATTTCTACTGATTTCCATGATTCTATTATATGGCAACTTTCATTTTTGACTATTGATATACGTATCAAGTTGAGCAGTATTTAGTAGTGAGATAGAGGCAGAGATTCAGGAATTCAGACCCTCACGCATTGGTTTCCTTGGCCATAGAATTGCTAGTGTATTCCGAATACAATTAATGTTGACATTATCTAAGTTATCTCTGGAGGCTGAGTAATACCCGGTGTGGATGCCTAGTTGTCTCTATATAAGCAGCAGTCATGCAATGCGTCGTACCAGCAGTACTCTATGGGGCTGAAGTATTCTATACTGATAGTAAGTAATAATATATTATTAACTCCCTACAGTTCCTGTTCCGCTTAGCTGCCTTGGCTATCCTCCCTGTCTACAAATCAACCCCTACCGCAGCACTGTGTTGTGAGGCAGATCTGCCTGATCCAGGAGCTCTACTCAACAGTACCCTCCGGAGAGCAACTGTCAGATATGTAAGCTTGGACGCTGGGCACCCGATTGCGTATATAGCTGATAAAACTGGTCTTAAATTCAAACTAGGCTCAACACTATGCTCTGACACATCCCTACCCCTCCCGCCATTACACATGCTTCCAATACCCCGCAAAGAATATACTCCCGCACCACTGCAGATATCAGTCTACTCAGACAGCTCACAAACAGGCCATGGCGCTGGCTATGGATACACAGTATGCTATGGCCCTATCCTTCTCAACCAGAGGTTTTGGCCCCGCTGGCCCGAAAACTGAGGTCTACAATACAGAGCTAATGGGCGCAGTAGAGGGTCTCTAAGCTGCAATCAAGCAGCCATGCATGCATTATGCTACCTGCTTAACTATCTTACTCAATAATCTAGTGGCAGCCAGTTTCCTTACATATAACAGGCCTGTGTCTCACTGGCATGGACTTACAGACATTTTTTGACAGCTTTCAATATAATGGAAGGAAGCCTTATCCCTCCTGGACCTGTCATATAGGCCTCTAGAGGTGCGCTGGATCCCAGGCCACTCTGGAATAGCAGGGAATAAACTCGCAGACAAGCTTGCCAAGCAAGGTATAACTATCAATAGCTTCTATATCTTTTCTCTTCTTCATATCTCAGGCAGAAGGTAAAGCAGCAACTCCGTGTAGATACTTTAGCAGTACATATGAAAACTGAACCACAGGCCTACCGTGATCTGAATATTAGATACTCTATAAAGAGAAGTCGCTCCCAGGAACATAACCTTCCCCGCTGGGTACTAGGCCGGCTGATAGCCGCCTGTACAGGCCATGGGGATTTTGCAGCATATCATGAAAAATGCCACTATTTAGACTATCTGGCAGCCTGCTCCTGTAATAGGCTAAAGTCTCCCGCCCACTTCTTCTTCTTCTATCCTTATACCAGAAAGTGCTGGAGAGATAGATAGAAGTGTCTCAAGCGTGCCTGTCACAGACAATTGACTGGCTCCTCAGCACAGCTGCTAGAGCTGAAGAGTTCAGCAGCATCGTGCAAGACATATCCTTCTTTAAGGATATATGCCTGAACTGGGTATATTCAAGCACTGAATAGTGCAACAGTCCATACTTCTACCTGGATAGGAGAGGATGACACCCCCTTCTATCTATAGGTAGTCAACGCAGGTCCCCACCTCCAGAAGCCTAGGCTAGGGTAGCGCCAGGCTCTTCTTCAACCCTTTTCCAGCATATGTTGTTCAAAGTTGTTGCTTCAAGTATGTATTGGCTAGTTCCTAGTAAGATTTTGTTTAGGTAGCACGTCCAGTTGCCCCTAGGGAGGCCGCGGATCACGTTGCCGCGTGATCCGCCGAGTGACGTTAAATAGTAACCAATCCAAACCCCTGTAGGCTTTACCTATCAGTGAGAGAAGGAGACGGTTAAGATAGTTGATACGGTCATTTATAGAATTGAGTATCTATCGAAATGGCATCCGGTCCTCAGTAGGCTACGTACGTGTAGCTGATACAGCCTCATTCTGCTCATCTTTCCCCTGAGATCACAACAGAATGCAATTGGGAAAAAGAACATAGAGCAGGAGCCGTAGAGGACTTGCTAGATATAAAAATTCTGCTTCTATAGGACTAGCCTTTGAACAGGCTAAAGACAGAAATACGCCTTGCTAAAGCAACTTCCGATTCTGTATCCGCGGTAAAGGACTGCTGCAATAATATTGCTGATATGGCTTGCAGAGTTGACTTTTTCCAATGCCGGCTGAACACTTCCGGATAGTTAATCCACTCGGCGAAAGACCCTAAGTCCAGACGTAGAGCCGAGAGGAATATTTCGGGCCCATCTTGAGCGCAAAGATCCCCATCAGTGGGGTGTCCATCTCTTAGCGGGCAAGGTATGGTCTGCAAACTTTCCGCCATTGGTATCCACTTTCCTACAGTATTGAGCCAATCCTGTGTATCTTCGATAAGTTCCCGTGCTTGTTCATGTCGTCCGTTGGCATATAGATGTAAACATTTCTGAAGTTTATCCAACGCGTAGATTCGGCATCGAACCATAAAGCTGCAGCCTTTTCGAGAACTGGACTTGCCGGCGGCATTGAGGACCGAAAATAAAGAAGGAATCGGCAGCGAAACCTCTCCGTCTCCTTGAGCATCTTGAAAGAAAACATGAGCTGAGAACAGTGGCAACAATTCCAAAATCGCTTGTTTGTTTTCATCCAAACAGTTTCGGAGATACTCCATTTCTGCAGGAAGTTCTTTCAAGGCATTCTGCAGTGTACATGTAGTCACTGATTTAACTGGTGTTACTGTTAGATACACAAGAATATCTAGATAAAATTAACCTCTGGACTTCTGTAATACGCTATATAAGTGGAGAAGAAATAGACAAATAAATAACCCACCTTTAGTCTCACCAGTCCTAATGTCATACATATCAACTTCGACATCTGTGCCCCGCTGATGCACCCATATGAATGCTGGGCATACCCCAGTCACTCGCAATATTCTCACTGAGCTATTGCTAAGAGCATGAAGCCTCAACTTCATGTTATGATGTGATGTTGACTGGAGCGCTTGAAGAAAGGCTGAGGTGGAGTCATACAGTTTTGAAATGTCTCTTACATACGTGTAGGTGGCGAAGGTATGAGTTGATAGATGGTACAAGGTGTCAGGTTCATGAAGAAGCCCAAGTCCGAAGGAATAGATAGCCACGCTAATGCTGGTCAGCTTCTGAAGTGCCGAGAAACTTGTGATTGTATACATACCTAGATGTTCGGGCTCTTCTAACAAGGTTGTCGAGGACTGTTCGATTGAGCGAAGTGTAATCTTCAAAATCTGTTATTAGCATAATTTTGGAGACGCAATTTCGTGAATTGCCAGCTTGGAGAAAACCAATTGCAATATATAATCCTTCAATCAGGTTACATTTCTCATGAACGGGGATAATTTCCTGAATAGACTTCAACACCTTGGCCCAGCCGCTCCAATTGCTTCCAGCTAAATTGGTCAGGAACCCAGTCCTGCCATGTGCCCCTAATACCGCAAGACCTAATTGATCACGTGGTCGTAAGTACCTTAAAAGGAAGGCCAAAGAATCACGCAAAGCCGGAGGTGGTATCTGCTTTGAGGCACACACCACTACCATCAAGTTTATTGGAATGTATGTGGAAGGCGACTCTTCACTTTTAGCTCTGCTCAAGTCAAACCAGCTTGAATCTGGTCTGCTCTCGATAAAACCGTCCCCCTCAGCGCTGAGAGAATTCAAGGCATTCGGTTTGGTAAGGGAAGAAGACGAAAGCAGATCAGAAAAAGCTCTGGCGGGGGACTTTGCTCGGCTGCGGAAAATACTCTGTATTGCCCTAGTCCATTCGACCATTTGATCTTGTGTTCCAAACTTGAGATATAAATGTAGGGTTATATTCAGTGATAAACATAAGACAAGATATCGAGATTCTGAATATGTTCACATAAGCATTCATCATATGTGTCATTCTGCTCCTTGACTACTTACTTGAATCAGTTTGAATGTGCTGCAGATACCTCTCAAGATGAATATACGCGTGAAGTTGATAGCAAGGAGAACGGTATAACCAGCGCACGTTATTTCTCCAGGTACGATCACTATACCTGTCCCCTACCAAAACCAGTCCTTTAGAGAATAGATAGCAGAGTGTATGTCGCAGAGACTTCTTCTCATATCCAACTTCTAGCCTTCCATATGTAAGGACCTTCCCTAAACTGTCTGCAAGTCAGTAAGGTTCTGACCAGGACTTTCGGCAAGGGAGAGGGTGTTGTTAGAGCTGCATACTGTCGTACATCCCGCCCTTTCCAGTCGTCCACTAATTCGCGTAGCTCTTCTGCCTTATCACACAATCCATGCGGCTGAAGACCATGTCTGCCGCACTGGATGATGGGTTCGACAGTTCCACTAAGTGAACAAGTATGAGTTCCATACGGAAGAACATTTGCCTCCTCCCTGTTGAATGTCTTCAATACATAAGGAACATGAAAGGTAAATAGACAGGCGAGATAATGCACACGTTCAAATCGGGCCACTGTAGAAATCTCAGTGTTAATGATGATCTTGCTTGGCTGTGAGCCTCTATGCTTTTCATATAGTGCGCTGGATTTAGTGGAAGTGTTAATATTCTCAGTCTGCCATCTTGGCTTGGTATACCCATTATTGACCCTAGAACCATCATTATTCAAGGATTGAACACGACCGGTTTGATGAGCGCTAGTTTATGATATCTGCTGGTTATTATCATTGAGTCTATAGGTCTGGAACCTAAATAATATTGATCACGACAACGTACGTCTCACAGAATTGTAATGATAAAGGGCCTCTGGCCCCAACATATTTGTCTAGCGTAGGCACTTGACTGGGGCAGTTAGAGTATAATCTCCTTTCTATGTTATATCCGCAAATGTTTTTAGCCAGCTATCTATTTCGCACTTTTGGGAGGTGGGAAGACATACCTAAATCGCATTGAAAGCATTTTTTAGGCAAGCTTTCTGGAAAGTATACTGCCCAGCATGCTTCATGGATTCCATGGTTGCAGGGAAAGTAGAAGATACTCTCTCTATGAAACTTAAGCGATAAATGTTCTTCGCATATAGCACAAGATTCGTAGCAATTAGCAGATGGCCGCATCCGATCCGGTTTTGACAAGCTCATGGTTGTTGTATGATTATAGCAAAAGTAGAGAAATTCTATAATATAAACGAGAAAATGTGCTCTAGAGCCATAAATACCCCACCCAAACTGGCAGTTAAGACAGTAATATATGAGTAATTAATGAGGAGGCTATCGTAGCACTAGTAAATAGCCATACCGGTTAGTGATTAATTTTGTGTGGAAGCCACCAAGCCTGATTAAACGGAGACTAAGACGGAAGATGCCTTGCATAGATTTCTAGTGTCACGTCTAGATGGAAAGTTAAACATACATGCCAAGTGTAATGAAACGCAAAAAACCCAGTAGGCGTAACGCTTAAGGATATAATATTGAAATACGTTAAATGCACCTGACTGCAACAGGTGATGAACGACATGCGGAACCCGTGCCAAAAACTAGTAGGGGTGTTTACACACACGGGAAGCCATCAAAAACCAGCATATCAGTGGTCCTGAAGCTATTGCCGCGACGAAAGAAAACAGCCGCCACTACTAGTGGAGGAGGGGATCATCTGAAATGCCGTATACCCCTATCCGCCCGGGAAATGAAGGGGTCAAAACGCAGGCCAAAATTACATAAATCGCATGGAAGTATGGGCCTCCTATAAGCGCGAATATTAAAGTAAGCGAAAGCTGCGGGATAACATCATAAATCTGCTCATTGTAGAGCTTTATTTAAGCATTAGGGTTTAAATGATCTAAATGTTCCGCGTAATAGTCCTAGCAGGCGCAACAACGACCTGCCTATCCAAATATTAGTGGATCGACGACGATCAGATAAGCGACGAGTTTAACTATCAATTACACTGACACTGCATCAGATCATGTTTCTACGATATCACGCTCGGCGCCTTTCCATCAATATTTTTTGGGTTGTACATTGACTAGAGCCCTACAGTTCGCTTGGTAATGAAGGGAGAACAGATCGTCCTTAGTATGCTGGATGCTCCTTACGACTCGTCCGCCACGTTACCGGAAGTTTCCCGTTGTATTAAGAGACTACTGCTCTACAGTGGTCTCTCAATACGTTCGGTAACATGGCTGAGTACATTTAATTATACTCGTCGGTTGCATATTAACGCGATTTATGTTTATAAGACATGATTCCGGAAAACGAAGGTATCAGTGCTTTATTTGCAAAGTGGGTCTACGGGAAGTGAAAGCGCAATGATGCTAAACAACATAGAGCCAAGCTGGTTAAACTGTGGCCATAAAACAAGGTACAATAGTCGCCTTCAAAAATCGATATTTCTTTAGCGTTCCGCTTTGCCCAGTGGTCTCGAACCAAGATCCCAGCGTCGGCACCCAAACTAGTCATCAGGGAAGATAATGCGATTGGGGTTCTGTGCGACATTGTCTGGGACGGTGAATGACATGGAATCCCTGGCACTGTTGTCATACTCATCTGGATATATGATTCGGTTAGGATTCTGTGGCTGAGGAATTGCTTTTGCCTGGTTTTCCAAATCCTCTTAATACTCGTCAAAAGGCTGCAATCAATAACTAAGTCATCTAGTCAAGGCCTACCTTCAGTCCAAGGGGATGACTATCGGGATCCTTAAAGACACCAGAAGCGCTTTCTCGGTCCGCCAGGCAAGCTTGCGCATTTTTATAGGAGCCCTTGGGGTACAAGGCCTCGTTGCAGTAGCGGGCGGAGCCATAGCAACTCTCCTGTGGTTCTATAGAGAACCCGCAGTCAAAATCGGTCCCCTCTACCCACGGTAGTTTTAGGGCGTTACTTTGTGCCTATTCCATTTTGTGCTTGTTAACAGACCATAAAAGTCACAACAACCTTAAGTGACATGTAAGTGGCGTTTCCTACCTGGGGCCCCAGGAGCGCCAGCACTAATGGCAACGCTGCTATGGATAGAACAACCTTAATGTTGAGTTCCTGATGGTACGTTAAAGATCTGCGGTGTTTTGATGCTATTAAGTGGTAAATCAGAGCGATCGGATAACCTTAATGACAATTAGAATGGTTTTATATATCCTCGCTGCCTATGCGCAGAAACCAGTTTATACTAGACCTGTTGCAGATCGCCAAGTCAAATGAAACAAAAGGTTTTGCGTCCAGTTGGGTTGGACTAGCGGGCGGGCTCAAGAAACGAGTAGCGATTCCACCCGTCCGCCTAATTTGTTCCTGGTTGAAACCAAACTATAGTGTATAAGCATCCATATGAGCGCTGGTCGAATCTCCGACACTCTGAAACTAGAAGTGAATTAGACACTTGTAGGCATGCCAGGACCCACAAATCGCCAGCAACCTTCATGCAATGTTTCCACCTCTTGGCGAAACCTATGATAGCATACTTCGCTTAAACACACAAAAACTCTACAGGTAAAGTATTAATATGATAGAATTACAGGACGGAGTACATAATAAATCTTTAAAGTATAGTGTAATGATACCGTATAGTATTAATATGGTTTTGCTTGAACTAAATACTATCATGGTTTAAGATGAAGCAGCTGATCTAGCTGCTAGAAAGGGAGCTGCCATGGACCCTTCTTCTTCAAGGGAATGGTCATATACGTCACTAAGGCGGCGCGCCAAAGCTGACGCTGTATCTGCTTTGCTAAGACACTGGCAGTCTGCAGCTCCATAATCTTACCAGGATTATGTATTACTTTCTCCCCCAAATACCTTGATGAACTACAAATCCCTCGCCCCCTTCTCACACGTATCCTGGCAGCCCGTACAGGACATGGTGACTTCATCGCCTATTATAGGCATTTTGAACACGAAGATGTGCACCTTCTCTGACACTGTGGCGCAAGAAAGTCCTCAATTCACTTCTTCTGCCGTGTTGCAAAGAGACGCCTGCCCCGGCCTCCAGGAACCCCCTCTAAAACAATCCCCTACCTACTAGGCACTCCAAAGGCGCAGTTAAACTAGCCGCCTGGCTATCTGAGACCCGTTTCTTTGAGGATATTTGCCCACGACACCCCCCATCTCAGCAAGGCTGAGATAACATACCTCCTCCTTTTTTTCTTTTTCTTCCAAGGTGTTGTCAACTCAAAGTAGGTCAGGGAATTTGACATAAATAGAGAGAACTAAGCCATTGAATTGGATAATTGGACTCAGTTAGAATACAAAATTCATCTTGTGGAAGGCACATTATATAGGCGAGGAACTAGCTGATCCTTCGGATCCTTCAAGGCTTGACCTCAAATTCATAACACTATCAACATAGTGCTTTAGATTGCCTCGACTCCGCGTACAGTCACAAGTCATCAATATATTAGATTCTAAGTTCTATCTATCAATAGTACTGAAAAAGGAGGCCCTGTGCTAAATGGCGCGGTACGCAAAAGGATTAAGTGTAGGACTATTTTTAGGTGTTTCAAGAATTGAGAAGTCTGGCTACCATTAATGCGACTAGAGGGTCCACACAGAGCATAGTAACTAGACGAAGCAGGCCCTCGTCATGTCAAAGTACATATATATCCAGTGCGCTTTCCTTTTGATAAAGACTGCTTTGACCAATATATCAGTCTATATCTTATATCTAGAATACTACAAAGCGTACCATTAACCAACAAACCCTATGCCACGGAACAGTATTGTACTATCAGTTGGAGCTGCCATTCTGCTGGAGAACTTCAGTCTTCAGGTACTGACTATATTAAGAAAGAATAGTGGATTATTAAAACTAACAGAAGTAGATGCTAAAGAGGAGATAGGACATACCACTTCAGTATACACGTTATTTAGAAATATGAAGTTATCCGCATAGTACGTTACCTCGCGAGCATATCTTTTCACCGAGAATAGTGGCAAACGTACCTCAGTTTAAGTTGAAGGAATTCCGGCAATTGGATAGACAATCAATAAGGCAGTTCCCCAAAAGTTAGATGGGAATTGTATTCATGGTTCTGGAGACAGTTCTAGTTCGATGGCCAGTCTACCACGCTCCAAAGTACAAAGAAGCAGTAGAAGGTTCACAAGCCGAGAGATTAGAGTTAAGACTCAAGGACTATTTTTTAACTCCCTCTTCAAGGGATGTTCTACTTACAGGAGAATGAGAGGCCTCCATTGAAGATTAGTGTCACTGAAGTTGGAGGATATGTTGTTCTAACCTAGTTAACATAGTGCTACTACCGCTACCCCTGGTACTAACGCTTCCAAGGCCTGGCATAATAAGTCCCCACTTCTATATTAAGGATTGGCGTTGTTCGGATAATACATTTGACCAGCATAAGGGCATAGCATGGAGAGCGCCGTCCTGCCGATGCTCCAAACCTACCATAGATTAAGGCAATTTCAATTGTGAGATGACTCTAGGCGCCAAGGAGCATTAATATGGCCTTGCCCACTTCTGAAGAGACAGAGCCCCAAGGATTCCATATTACGGCAGACCCTTGGAACAAAAGGGAAAAAACTGAAATTTCATGTTCACGCTAGTATTCTGCTGGCAGATACTTACATGACTTGCTTCGTTTCACCAGTTAGTTACTTATCCTGAGCATCACAGGTGCAAGCCCTTGCTCAGGTTATTGTACACAGGGCCTGTATAATTGGGGTACTGGTATTGATATAGATTCTAAATAAGAGTTTATATATATCTCTATAGGATAATTAGATTATTTTTATCTCTATTCTTTCTATCCAAGATAATTAGATTCTCTGGTGCTTTACCTTTCTCAGGGTCTAAGTATTAATTGCAGCTTAGAGAGTCACAGGTAGTAGAGAAATAGCATACTATAGCGCTGCAAGTAGCAGAAGCAGAGGACTGGATTTCTATTAAATAATCTACTACTATATATAGAGGTTGATCACTGGCTTCTGAAGCTATTAGAATATGGTAAGGATTTTACTGCAGCAGATAGTATCTTATAGCACCTGAGATTAATATAGTAGCACATGTAATCATATACTAGTTGACAGGTCTTCTACCCTGACTAGTAGATATCCTTAACAATAATAGTATTAGAGAATATATTATTTATATAAAGATCAGTAATCTCTGCCTTATAAGGCTTAAGATTAATTACTGGACAAGGCATGATAATGGCTTGTATAATAGAATCTAACTCTTGTAGAAGTAAGCTACACCGCTGGTTTTAAGAGATCTGAGCTCCAAGCAGGGCAGGCAGCAGGGCGGTAGACAAAACGATTACATGAAATTTCAGTTTTTTCCCTTTTGTCCCAAGGGTCTGCCGTACATATAATTAAGCGGGGTTGTTGACAGACCGGGAAAAGCACTCTAAGTGGCTATTGGTCCGATTTTCGTATTTTTCAGTCAAAGGAACCTGACTAGTTATACCAGAAACAATTTGCCGTTTACTAACATTCAGTAACCAACGAAAGGACAGAAAGCCTCCCGCCTGGTAGCAACATTTTATGCTTAACATAAGAATAGAGAACTGAGAATTTTATTAGGACCAAGTGCTTCTGCACAAACCAACTGTATACATTTCTTATATACCTTTGAGGACAGATGTGTCTATAGCAGTCCCGTTACATATCTAGATGCGCAGGTATCAGAATATATCCAGAGGATCCTAACTGCATCAATTTCCTAGATGGCTACTCAGAAGGTCCTAGCAGCATCATGTTTGTAGACGACTGGGAAGCTTTGAATTTTAAACTCGACGAAGTATAAGCAAACGAAGGCGAAATCACGACACCGTAAACGGATCGATGATGGTTGACGGGATGCAGCCGGAGTGGGCCGGAGAGTGCAGAAGGAGATGATAGGATACGTTATCCAGAGCTCTTTCGGCCTAATGGGCAGAACCGAGGGTTGCGCACCATCTGGCAATGAGGGTATATGGGAGAAGATGATATGATGAGGGGTGAGGTGCAGGGTGCCAACAACTTGTTCACCACGCCGCGCCAAGGTCACATCTTCAACCTGCGATTAAGGGTGAGGAGAATGTCAGGAGAGACTCGAAACTAGAAGCATGAGCGGCGATCGGCAAACCTTAGCGATCCGTGTTCTCTCCATGCCTTTGTCGTTTCTATTTCCGCATAAGCTTCGGGTAGTCATTACGACCATATTGCCCGGCACAGCGGAGACAAGTCTGGGAGAAAGGGGGACTGTGCGCAAGATCCAACCCTACCCTGCATTTCTCTGATTTGGGGTACGGAGTAGATCAGCGCATTTCGTTCGTAGAAAAATACAATGTTGAGACCTTTCCATTCCTTCCGGGAAACTGGAAAACGAAGATATCCTATTCTAAATGATCGTGGGTGGCCAATATTGCACGGGACAAAACATAAGAGTGACGGAAAACTATTGGTTGGAAAGTACCTTCTATTCTCAGTTTCATGGTCCGAGGTTCCGAACCCGAGCAGGTGCTTTGACTTTCTGCTATTTAGACTTGATTATGCTCTCTTTACCTGTGGTTCCATATTCATAGTAAGGCTGCCAATATGGCCCTAATAGCTGATATCACAATAAGCTGCCTACACAGAGAGTCTCCAAGATAAGAGACGAGGCACCAGGTATATATGAGATCTTACTTTATATTACAATCAGAAAACATAATTAAATTACATGGAGCCCATAACATGAAAGTTCCAACTATTCACCAATAGATCTATCTCTGAGTACAGATATACGGGAGTCGTAAATAATATGCACTATAAAACTAGTCGTACCGGTTGTGAACGCCTAGGTCATTTCAAGATTAATATCTATATTCCCTTTCTTATACGCTATGTGTGTATAATGTCAATAAAGCAAGAATGAGACCATAATCCTGTTCCTTTATAAGTGACGCATGCGCTGTAGAGAGGCCATTCTGGAATATGATAGTAGTTTGTCTAGTAAAGAGGGGCACCACCTGTGATATCTAATTGATCGCGGGCTTTAGTCATATAGCAGTATTTACGCCTAGACCAGCATTGAGATCCGGCCACTGCTAGCATAACGGGCTACAATAAGTTATCTAAAGAATTAAAAGTAATTAGATTAATATACAATAGTCCGCAAGATATAGGGTAGTGAAAGGGAGGTTGCAGCTATATGGTCGAGCTGGGTAACACGGCAGGCATTCCAGGGATATTTATTGCTCATAGCACTTAGGCAAGGTATGATAAAAGCGAGTCTGGAAGTATGCTCTAGAGACAATTTGACAGGAAAACAAATGCTCCAATTGTAGCACAGGTGCTATAGGCTTTACAGGAATAGGTAATCGGATGCTTGTAGATTTGGACTGGGAAACACCGAAAGAATGAAATACGAAGCCAGATAGTAAAGCCGCATAACTGCTTCTGATCTCTCCCCTCTCCTGGTTCCTTCCTCTTCGCACAACCCTCAAAAACTCGTAGGACCTTTAATTCTTTTTCATTCCATAGAAGCCGTCTTCATCTCCCAGCGTTGACAATAAGTCCAAACTTGCCCGCAGCAAATCCTGTCGATAATAGCATCTTTCCACTTTGAAGCGGCAGAGAGATTAAAGGCGTATATTGTAGTTGTACACCCACATCTATTTGAAGTGGAACCTCGTCGCCATCCTTCACAAGTGGTAGTTCAGTGGGGAAATAAAAGTGTTGGTTAAAGAGTCACTGATTCAACGTATTAGTAAAACTATAACAAGTATGAAATATAATGTACTCTAGCAAAAGAAACAAACAACCTACTGATCCTTTTTCTAGTATTAACGGATATAATCGAATAATATCAATCCTCATCTGCGGCCTCGTAAACTACAGCGAGCGTGCTTTGTCGATTCCATGAGAGTCCCAGGCGGTTGACTCCACATGCAGCATTTCTGTTGAACAATTCTCCTGTCGACCGTCCGTCTGTAAGCGCTTTTAAGACTGCCTCGGCTTGTTCAGCTCTCTTTGCTAGAAGATAGTGCAGGATAACCCCTTTATTGGCTGATATAGTGCTGCTGGAGCTTGCCAGAGCATCCTGCATGGTTGTGAGGTATCGCGAAGGCGATATGTGAACGAAGCCCCACTGTTCTTCGTTACAAGAAATTTTAGGAAGGCTTAGGTTGAGGAAAGAAAAGTACTTCGTGGAGTTTTAGAGGATTTCAGAAAAACTGCGTATGTTGATGGCTCAGTCTAGCCCGAACAAGTGTACTGGAATATATTCGGTCAGGCCTGTGATTCAAGGCTATCTCGAGTCACTCCAAGACATACCAATCCAAAACGAACTTCGCCATCTATATATATAATGCCAAGAATAAAATTTGGTAGTGGCTATTTAGCGTATTTCTTCAACTTTGGTCCGTGAATAGAAATAGTGGGATTATGTGAACGGCTAACAGAAGCGCCCATTTTCGACCTCTAATGTGTCTGTAAAGTGGAGCCCACTATCCACAACCAGGATTAGCCAACGGGGGTTGTGTTGTGTTTCCTACCATGGCAAGCTGTGAGTATTAAAATAAGTAAACAGGCCCAGGGAGGGACCAAGGCGAATTGAGTTTAATTTTTCTTGGCAGTTGGCAGAATGAGAAGTATCAACAAAGATGCCGTTTGATGAGAAATGCAGCTGAGAGGAGGAACAGCCAAATCTTAGCATCACATGTTTACCAGTGCCCAAGAACTCTATAAATGGTGCGGTTAGTTAACAATTGCTACAGTAATCGAATCACCTAGATCTCTCTCCTGCATTCAACAACCACAATCCTTCTAATAGAAAAAGTCAGCGACCACGCCAGCCCTTATTAAATGAATAGTCAGAGCGTGGTGGCTCCTTATCCTGGTGTAGTCACTAGCTGTTGTAGAGACTTCAAAGTCCGAAGACTTTAGCTGACAAGCATAAGTAAATAAAGAAGTTAGCCCATGTGGAATGTTAAACAGCCAAGGTGCTGCCAAGTGTAGTTTTTTCAACATGGCTCAGGTTAGCAAGAGCAATATCGTGACTGAGTATGAAAGGTGGAGTGGTTTTGAACGCCTCTGATTCGGTATTTATGGGGTAGCTACGGTGGGCTTTGGGCAAAGCACCATATGTTAACAAGTCCACATAGATAACTCTAGGTGATAGTGAAATATTAGTATCGGTTTGCTGCGATTCCCAGTACCTTAGCAAGTTATCAGCACCGCCCCCATGAATCGCCTATATTTCTTAAATAGAAGACGGCACGTCCGCCACGTTGACCAACACACTATTGATATAACCATGAAGTCTCCAAAATACGCTGCCAGCGTGTAGAATGTATAGCGCATTTCTACCCTCCGTTCCTTCCCCCGAGTCCTAACAGTTTTATTTCTAGTCTTGATGCTCATCTCGTATGTATAAGTACTGAAGTTTACAGATGCTGCTTAAGATTAGACCTGGATCACGCCGTAGATATGCTTCGTTTAGAAATGTAACCTGCCCTAACCCCCGTGCGAGCCAACCCTGTCCTGGTAGCTGGCTGGTCGCAGGTGAGGTTTTCAATACATGCGCTATTTTTACTGCCTCTCCGTTTCAATGATCGGATAACTTTATTTGGACAACTTGATAGGCGGAACCGATCGACATAACTTGATTTTGAGCCAGCCGTATGTATTAGGGTTAATTGCCCCTGGAAGCAGGCGCTAGGAGTATTCGCCATGATCTATGCCTCAATTAGATACACGCCATGCACCCCCTACAAACGCTTCGTGAATGGGTGTGAAGGTATTATTTAACTAGAAAAAGTATTGGATCAGTGGTTTGGTCTCTCCCATCTCGTGGAAGATGCTTATCGCACGGGCTCGCTACAATAGGGGGTCATCACGATCCCCTTTGCCACAATGGGGCTAACAATCGTACTATAAAGCGAGACACTGGCATTATCTGATCTGCCATTCGTATCTAGGTCTTAATGTTCTGGGCCCTCGGGAAAGTGAAGTCAAGCACCCGAGATCGACCACTTCGGCCTTAAGATTGGCTGGTTTTCCCCTTTGGGACGGGAATTATATCGTCTTTAGCGTGCGTATGATATGGGCAAAATTTCCGTGGATATTCTGTTGACCCAACTCTCGGATATCTTTAGTAGTTATAAGGTGAAACTAGTCAAAAATATTTGTCTCAACTCTTACCCAATTCCACGTAATAATTTGACTAGTAGACCTTACCACTGTCATGGATCGAGGTTAAGACTACAATCAATGAAGTGAGGCTGCTCAGTCATATGACCCTTTGTCTAGAAGGGCAACACATAGGGTCACGTACGCGATAGCTTCATGTTTTCTTTCCTTTCTTCACTTCTCTTTAGCTTAGCCTCTTCGTGATAGAACAACATAATCAACTATTTGGCTCAGCTAGAGCTCCTTACAACCACGCGCACGAAGTGTAAATTAGCACTGCGATTGAGGAGAATACAGATTATCGAAGGAGCTAGTGGATCTTGGGCGTTGCATTGGGAATGTAGACATGATCTGGTATCGATGACTAAAGAGCCTCGCAGGTTGAGTGTGGAATCACGAACATGCTCGAAAAGCGGACAGGATTACTACTTGGATCCTAAATAATGGATGTATCATGTAACCATAGCAAAGCCATGCTACAAAGGTATATGTTCACCAGACATCGGCTTTGAGAAGTATATCTGACATGGTTTAGCTTGGGACCATTGAGCAAAAGGCATTCCATGGTTCAACGACTCACTCAATGCATTAGCACCGCCAGGGTGTACACTGTTAGCATCACTTTAGATCGGAAGATCAACAAATTTAACAAAGAGCAAATGACAATCGTTAACATCTTATTGTCTTGGGAAGATAGGGAGAACTAATGGTAGTACCGTCTCTAGATTGTGACGGCCGATCAATATGATGATATTGGTGCAACCTTATGTAGAATTTTAAGCGTGAGGGAAAGAGAAGGAAGTGTTGAGGGGAAACACAAGATGTGTGAGGGGAAATAGCACGCTACATACAAACGGCGTAAATACTGATGAATTCGTCACATAGATGACCCGCATGAAGGGGCCATTTATCCTAAGTGGCTCTCAGCAAAATGCATGGAGGAAACAGGAGCACCCAAGACCGAAGCGAAGTTCTTCTAATGGCCATTGTGTACATTTTCAAGGAAAGATACGAGCCTTGCGGATGGAATATACCATA